CGATCCGCCTTGTGGCCGCCGTCCATTTTATCCCGCATTATTTTGTGTTCATTTTTCGTTGATTTATGTCTTGCTAAAATGTCACACAGCGCTGGCATTTATTCAAATTGTCAAAAAAAAAAAACACATACAACAAAAATAAGCAAACCAAAATAAACCGAAAACAAAAAGCAATTTTATTCGACTGCAGTTTTGGGCACCCCTCATAAAAATCCAGCAAAAAAACAAAAGTATCTTTCCAAAGAATAAGCTTGATGAATTATTTAGTTTTTAGACATTTTCGTTGAAGCATTAGAAGGTTGTGTTATTAAGAAGACTTTGGCTTAATTATTCTTAAGTCTTATTGGTATCCGCATAAGAGTTTAATTAATTGCGTAAATATATTCAGCTTAAAGACTTAAGAATCACTGACTGCTACTTGTAAATGCACAGAGAGAAAACAATGCATTCTGAAAACGAAACTGCAAATCTTGATTCCAAATTCATTGATTTAAGATCCATTAATTCAAATCAAGAACTCAACTCAACTCAAGTATGAAGAAGGGACAAAGGAATGTTTTGCAAATATTCAAATGCAAGTCTTGATTCAATCACAATTTATTTAAGATCTATTATCTCCAATCAGGAAACTTCATTCAAAGCTCATTTTGGAAGATTTGTTTTCTTATCTCAGAGAAAAAGAAATAATGCTTAACTGCAAACTTCAAATAAGCATAATTCCTGAATCATTTACTTCAGATTTCTTTTTCAAATCAATAATCTTAACTCACTCTTCTACTCAATCAAATTCTGATAAAAACGAATGCATTCTGAAATACTTTCCAAATCCTGATTCAAGAAACATTTATCTAAGAGTAATTTCATTCAAAGTAGATTAGATTCTTGGCTAAGCTTTTTGGTACTCTATTCTATAATTTTTCAAACGGATTGTACTTTCATCAAGAATATATACTCCACTGAAAGACATTAAAACTTTAGCATCATTTTTAAACTCAATCTTTGTAAACTAAAACTATATGACACAAAATATCCCTCTATTCACTTTCGATAAGTTTTCTACTTGCATCGAGAACATCAACTCGATTTAAAGTAATTCAAGCTTGATTAAACTTAAACACGATTACTGCTCTCTTTTTTTAACTCAACCTCAGTTGAGTAAACCGAATTAAACCCCTTTCAATGCCCACGCTCTCACGCTGACTGGCGCCGGTCGCATTATTTTAATAAATTAATTAAAAGTAGACTCGTAATCCTAGGCAATCAGTGGCCAGGCCCCCAACCAGCCCCCAGTCAGATCCCCCAGTTAGCCTTCCAGCCAGCCTATGGCAACTGGTTCCACATTATTCGCTTCCAGTTCCATTCGCGATGCTGAAACGACAATTAGCGCCGCGTGCGACTTGCGCGCTGCAAACCAACTATTAAAAATTATCACAAATTGTTGAATTATTTAATATGCTTCAATATTAGATTAACAATAAATATTCAAATAAAAATAGGTACAGAACATGGCTGCCAAGCGGAGCTGTAGTCTGTTTGGTAGCTGTGTCTTGGGCCGCAAATCGAATGCCAATAACTACGAGTATGTGGACATGAGTAAGTCAATATATATACAGCTGCGGACAAAATAGTAGCACCACTCTCACAAAAAGTGTTCTGAAAGGTGTAAGTTTAAGCAAGTGAGAAAAAAAAAGTACATCATGTTATTCACCATTGTCAACTCATTTAAATTTAATTAAAACTCAAACAAAAACATTTAAATTAATGAAAATAATTATAATAAAAATAAATTCAATTGTGCACTTATAATTATGAAATTTAGGAATAAATAAACAAATTTTACAAAGAGCTACTATTCTTCGCACTAAATTGAATTTAAAGGAGGAATACTAAATTATTGCTAAGTTATCAAACAAATGGATTGTTTTTTTCATTCAATGCCGAAGTGGTGCGATTAATTTTTTTTTTTTGCTGCTGTAATATAAATGTATATACAGAACGGATCGGCGAGAGATACGAGATCGTTAACAGATGCAGCTGCGCGCGGCCACCATTAAAAAAGCATCGATCAAAAAGCTACAAAAAAAAAAAGAAAAGTTAAAATAAAAAACGCGAAATTTTTGCAAATTGCTGCGGCACAGAAATACTTTGTTTTAGTGTGCACAAAATGCAAATAAAAGAAAAGGGTATACAAAGAAAACGAGATCGTCAAACAAAGGGTCGCATTTTTCTTACAATTTGCCCTCTGGCGACGACTGTTTAACAATTACCAGATGTTTGCCTCGCTGAAATACATTTTTGCACATATTACGGAGGATGTGGAGGCGAGTCTCTGGCAAAGAACTCAATTTCAGATGTCAGTTTTTTTGGGGCAAAAAGTTCGGTTGCGATTTTCGACTGTCATCTGTCATGTAATTGAGTGATAAATCTCAAACAGCTAAAAGCAAAGTTTACCTAGAAGGATAAACTTTTCATCTCATTTTGGCCACGGTCATTAATCAAACAAAACTTGTTTGTCACGCACATAGAAATAAAAGTCAAAAGGCAGGCAATTTTCAAGTTAATTATGCTGTCATGCATTTAGAAATACTACAAAACATACCCAAAATAAAAATGATATATCAAAATTGCAACAATATGCAAATGTGCAGGCAGGCATTAAACTGAACAGAGAACACAGGGACAAGCAAACGCTTCACTTGTCATTTTTATATATATTTATGCGCAGCCTTTTATTTATATTAATGAAATAAGCAAGAGAGTTTTAGTCGAGAGTGCTCGACGAGGAAATATTCTGTGCGTTTCAGCAGGAATAAAACTGAAAACACAAAAATAATAAGCAGCAAATGCTCCACTTGTCATTTTATATATATGCACAGCCTTTTATTTATATTAATGAAACAAGTAAAAGTTTCTTAGTGGAGAGTGCTCGACTAGAAAATATCCTGCATGGTTAAGCAGAAATAAAACTGACAACAGACAACAAAAAATGGCACTTATCCTTTATGTATATAAATATATTTATTCGATCTGAGTGGAATTTCTGTAGTTGATCAATATTATGCAAAGGTATATTTCTACCTTATTTGGTTCATTAAAAATAATTAGAAAATGTTTCATTATTTTAAAAATAAGTTAAAATGAGTTACTCTAGGTGAACTTCTAAAATGCAGTGCGATTTCTTTGCTGGTTTAACAGCCGGCATATTGACCATTTGTAATGTTGTACAGGGTATACAAAGAAGAGAAAGAGCTCGACTCCCTTGGCCATATAATGAGCAGCAGCTGCGAGCGTGCAACAGGAAGAGGAGCCGGCAGGCAATCGGAGACTGACAAGACGGCAGACGACAGATAGACAGACAGTCAGACAGACAGACAGACAGAGAGTGTGGCAAACTGTCGCTGCTGTTGGCGACGACGACGACGACGACGCCACCGCTGCCATTTGTGGGTGTCAAGAAGAAGTTCAGTTCGAGATGCAACAGTAAATTTCGGTTTGGCCAGGAGATAACATCATCAAGAAGACAAGAACGCATCGGCAAAAGGCGCTGCGAGTTCGAGTTTCTGCTCGATTAGTTGTGAGATTTAAACTAAATTTGTAAATGCTTTAAACGTGACTGAATTTATGATGGCCACAGCCCAAGTTGTTCAAGAGCCCGCCAAATTTATTTCTACTCTCTCTGTGTTGACAAAATAGCTGTCGAAATTACTTTCACTGTTTTCCCATTCGAAAATTTATGTTGTTTTATTTAGCTTAAATCTTCGGATGTGACAAACAAACAACATCAACTACGTAAAAACATCAGCAGCTGGCTAAAACTGAACAGTTTGCTGTGAATTCCCCTTGTGGCAAGTTTCGATTTGTGTAAAAGTCTAAGAACTTACAGCCACCAAAATTTACGACAAGAAATTCCAAAGTTTTACAAATGCATTTACGAAATAGTTTTCAAAACAATCAAAAAAATTCATTGCACAATTCTAAAAGGATTAACAAACTTGTTCGTGAGAAATTTGTAAAGTGAAAAAAAAATAAGTGAAGCAAGTTGATTGATTTTAAAACCGTTTTGAAAACGAAAACAAGAATTTTAAGTTTGTTATAATAAAAGATCAAACTATTCACAAATGAAAAAAAATTCAAGAAATTGTAAGGAACTCTTAAACTTAACGAATGGTTAAAAGGAAATTGAAATTGCCATGAAAAATTTCAGTGCACAATTCTAAAACGATAAAAGTATCTTTTTAAACAAAAATATCTTACAATAAAAGTGGAAACTAACCTGAAATAAACTCAAGCAATTTATTGGTTTCTGAAATAGTTTCCTGATTAAAAAGCAAGAAATGTACAAAATTTCATAACACAATTTTAAAAGGATAAAATAATCTTTTTCTTGTGAAATTTGTGTTAGTAAAAACGAAAACTATTCAGAAATTAATTCAAGAAAATTATTTGTTTTTGAAATAGTTGCTTTTTATATTCAAACTGCTTAAGCAATTATCAAGAAGCTACAAAATATATATTTCAAATTTCACCCATTATTATTTGTGTGTTTTTTATGTCTATAACGATCTTTATTCATGTAGATCTTCGGGTATGCAAAAAGTAAATCCTCTCAGGTAAACTCAGGTGACACAGTGCCACAAAAAAAAATCTAAAACAAATGTACAACCGACCTTTTTTTGGTTGTTTATTTGTAGTTGTCTAGTTGTTGTCTACTTAACAAAATTATCACGCATGAGAAATTGCGGCGCTTTTCCAAAGCCAAAAGGCAAACATTGAAGTCAAACATGGGCTATTTGAGGAGTCACAGCTAGGGTCATAAATCGCTAAAGTCAAATCCTAAGTAAACACATTATTTATCAAAAAGACACACACGCACACACACTGATATTTTTTTGGGGTCGTTCCAGGCCAGTGGTTTATCAGTAGCATTCTTTTTCAAGTTGTTGTTGCACTTTTTGCTCATTTGCTCATCGATCGGTTTCGTTTTTGGTTTCATTTTGCAGACAACTGCGGCAACGTGAACAACGGCAACGGAGTTGCAACAACGGCTGGCTACGGCTACACTCCGCCGGGCTACAACATGGACGACATTTTGATCATCACTGCCAAGCACAGCGAACCCGCCTATCTCCGCGCCACTTTCCTCAAGAACCATTTCGACAAGATCACAAAGCAGCGCGGACGCAAACCATTCAAGTAAGTACACCAACCACACACAAGCCTATCTGCTTAAATCTATCACGATTCTGTAAATCACGCATTTCTTCAATTACATTCTCATTCGATTAGAGTTTGGGTTTGAGTTGAGCAACCAGAACAAAAAATATTCTACGATTTGAAATAATTATTCTGAATAGATAGAGCTACAGTGGCTTACAGTTCATTTCGGGCAGTGTCTAGAAAAAATTTTAAAGTGCTATAAAGTTTAAACAAAGAAACAAACGCAAAATGTTTGAATGCCAATTTGTTTAATGTTATATCACGTTTGAAAAGGAAGCTTCAGTTTTTATTAAAATATTAATTAATTAACTAAAATTAGTCAAAACTTAAAACATATCCAAAATACATGTTACAGTTTTTTTGGAACAGTCTTGGAAAAGTAACATATTAGGCGTATAAAAACTTAAATAAGGATGTTAATACTTAGGATGATATCCTTTAGCCTTAATAACTCCACTTAACCTATTATTCATGGAAGATACCAGCTTCCGGGTCGTTTCTGGACTGATTTTGCTCCACTCATTCAGCAGAGCATTCTTGAGATCGGATCTGTGATTCCGGATGTTATTTTCGAGCAGAGCCCACAAATTTTAAATAACATTTAAATCTGGAGACTGGACCTGTGGAATTATCATGTGGGGGCAGTTCCAGATATGCCAGGACTGTATTAATCCGGACTTATGCTTAGCTTTTGTCCTGGTCGTTGTCGTGGTAGAACCGGAAAGTACGTCGGATTCCTAGCTTCTTGGCACTTTGGAGTAAATTTTCTTTGAATATATTGAAATACACACACTTGTCCATTGTTGTTTCAAAAAACACCAAATTTCCCACGCCGGCTTCCGAGATACATGCCCATACCATGACACTTCCTCCGTCGTGCTTGACTGTTGCCTTTAGGATTTTGGGATTCAGCTCAGTATCGGACTGTCGCCACACATAATTTTGTCCGTCTGAGCCAAAAATGTTGAATTTGGGCTCATCTTCAAATATAAATTTGTTCCAGAACACCAAATCCTTGTCCAAGTGGGTTTTGACGAATGCCATCCTAGTGCCTTTATTTTTTGAAACTCTTATGGGCTTATTCCGTGGTACTCGGGCATTAAAGTCATGGTTGCGCAGAACCCGGCGCACAGTTTCCACACTGCACTTTTGCCCCATTTCGTCCTCCATCTGTGGAGTCAGTTTTGGAGCCGATAGCTTGGGGTTTTCCCTTATTTTCCTGATCCTCCGCTCTTCCTGTTCGGTGAAAATCTTGTTTGGTGCATTTCTGCCCTTGTCCTCTATCCGATTTTCGTCGACGAAGAGTCGAATGATGTTGAATACAGTTGTGGTGCTTAGATTTACCATTTTAGCTATTTGGCGATGTGAATATCCAATCTGGAAGTGTTCCAGGATGAGATTCCGTTGCTCAATGGTAGTCCGTTTGTCCATATTCCTTGTTGGCTGGTGGCACCCGAGATGCAGGATATAACTAAACTGACTACGAAGGATTGGTCTATTTATTCCAAAAATAATCGTCCCGGCGTAAAAAATCCGGGTTTTATGGCACCCAGGTGTCCATAATGCCACTGCCCGAAATAATATGTAACCATAATTTCAGGTACTTTCTTACATAACCCGGCCTAGCCGGCGGGGAAACCCCAGTTTATGGGGGTCATATATTCATTATGGTGGTTAATATACGTCCCTGCCACCGGTCTTTGGAATTTTTGAAAAATATTGGATAATTTGTTAATGGCAGGCAATTAAAATTTTTGCTAGACACTGCCCGAAATGAACTGTAACACACTGTATATAGATATCATACATAGCAAAGTAATTTGCATAAATAAAAAATTCTCTACAGTTCTAATTATGAAAAAATTAAAATTAAATTTAATGGATAGTTTTTATTTTAGTTAATGTTTCAAAACATAATAATTCAACTTAAATTTAATAAATATATAAATAAATAAATAAATGATATATCGAATAGAATCTCTAAATATAATAATCAATCAATAAAGTTCCGATTTGAGTAAAATTTCAACTTAGATTGCACAATCCAGTAAAACCGATCTAGAAAGTTCTGGGCATAGGGAAATGTTGCATTTCAAGTTAGGTAGAAAAAATTACTCACAAGACGACCCCAATAATTCTACGAGCTCTTTCAATCCACCATTCCCTCAAAATGGCAGAGATTTCTGAAGTGAGAAAGTCATAAATAAATTAATGAATATTTATATTGTATTTAAGTCATTCGCTCGCACAATATAACACAAAACCAACTCACATTTTGGACAAATCCTTCTATTATTTTATATTCTCAAACTGCGCTTCTATTTTCAGTTTTCTGCACATCAAAATTGACGATGGCCCCTTCAGCGAGGAGATTGCCCAAAAGTATCACAACACGGCGCTGCAGATAGTCATCTTGTGTCCGGCATTGTTGGCACTGCCGCACAGCTTCCTCATGGCACAGCTGACCGCGATAATCCGGGTGGAGAAGGTGCTGGCCATTCTGTTGGATGTGGGCGAGGATAGGGTGAAGGAGATGCACAAGACAGCCCTGCCCAGCTACTACAAGTGGCGACGTTGCGTTGTCCGTGACAATGATCAGGCACAGATCAGCAATATACTCGGCATAGCCACCGACATTTTGGGGCGTGCTCTGTGCCAACGGCCACCCTGCCAGGACAACAGTTGCAACAACAATAGCAACAGCAACAACAACAGCAGCAACGTCTCGCGCAGCATGTCCAATTGCACGGAGGGTTTCACGGTGCTGCCCAAGAAAGTGAAACAGGGTCAGAACAAAGTGCTGGCAATGCTCGCCGAGCCGCTGCAGCCAAATGATGTACTCAAAGTGCTCGTCGAGAAATCCGGCGAACTGCTCGAGATACGTAATTTCAAATGCCGTAATCCATATACGTTGCAATTTGCCATACCCGAAACATGCATGGAAATCTCCACAATGATCGAGATACGCATCGAGAAGAATAATAAGCTACTTGGCGCTCGACCCGTAAAATGCGAGAGTCGCTTGAGAGAATTGGAGCAGCTGCTGCGTGTCGAGGATTCCCCCATTGAGTTTATGTGCCATGCTTTGGGCGTGGGCCCCTTGGAAAAGGACTCCCTCGACCTGCATCTGTTGCAGTGCTTTCAGCGCAACATGCCACCAAATTTTCATTTGCTGAACGGACCCAGCGAGCGAAGTCAACCGCATTTCTTTTCACGTCTCGAATCGAGTCCGGAGGAGTATCCCACGTTGCTCCACTTTGCGGCTCGCTGGGGCCTCAATAGGCTCTGCCTGCAATTGATGGAGTGCCCCGGTGGCGACACAGCTTGTGGTGTCAGAAATTGTTCCGGTCGCACGCCTGCAGAATTAGCTGAACAGGAGGGTCATCACAAGTTGGCTCAGAATTTGATTAGCTTCTCGGAGTTTCACAATCTGACCATGGTCTATCATTATTTTAAGGGCGTGGATAATGCCACAAGTGGCGCCAGCTCGCCAGCAGCACAAACCAAGTCGAATCCTGGCTGCAAATCCCCCCAAGTCGTAATTGGTGCACTGCCCGCCAAGCCAGTCAAACAACTGCCACTCACCGAGGAGTATATGGAAATGTCGAGCGGATCCGAGCGGGAAAATACGCCAGAGGTGCGTCCAACCAAAACGGAGACAATGGCAATCTCCAATCTCAATTATATCAGCGTGGAAACCGACGATGAGAATTTGCAGAGCTGCGCAACCGAAAAACATCTGGATGCGAGCAAAGTACTCGAAACGAATCCAATTGGCCCCGCACAGACCACCAATGAGTTGCGCATCAATGAACCACCTTATTACCAGTCCAAAGAGCAAAATAAATGCGGTCAAGATGTGGTTGATGCTGCCGCGGCGGATGATAAATTTAGCCAGGAGTGCTCGCAGCTGCTGGAGAATCAGGGCAACGACTACGTGATGCAGCCCTCAAATATACCCGTGCAAAAGTCATCGGATGACGATGGCAACTATCTGTATCAGCCCTCCAATCGACCCGTGGAGGAGCCACTGCGTCCGTTACGCGCCCAGCACCAATCCAATGGGGGCGTTGGCACACTCAAGCGCAGCGCCAGCGATGCCTCACGTGCCAATGCCGACGATGAGCTGGCCGAGATTATGCACGATTTCAAGAACAATGTGCTGTCCATCAGGGATGTGGAGCTGCTCGTGGAGAAGTGGAAGCATCGCAACGATGTACAGCAGAGCTATCGCGAGAAACAAGATCAAATTGATCAGATGCGACGCGAATACGAAAGAATCCACGAACATGTCAAATCCCAAATGAAACGGGAGACGCCCTTCGAGCGCATCACGAAATTCTTCTCCAAGCGCAAAGAGAAGGCTGACAAGTTGGCCAACTGCTGTGCCGACAGCTTGCTGGACGAGACGAAGAGTTCGATTGCAACAAGTTGTAGTCTGAAATCCTCGGCACGTCCAATTAGCTCGTTGAGTTTGCAGAGCGTTTCCAGTTCGAGTTCGTCTTCGGGTCGCTTGAGCACCGGTAGCAATTGCAGTGGCGCCTCTCTAGGGGATTCGGGCACCCATTCGGATCACGAAGAGCGACGTCAATTTGGCTGTCGGCTGGGCACGCCCGGCTCGCTGATGGACAACTATTTGGTGCCACCGCCACCAAGGCCAGTTTTTACGCCCGTCTCCACGCCGGGCGATGAGCGGCATCAGATTGTTTTCCCCTCACCGTTGTCCAGTTGCCATCGTCTGCACACGCCCACAAGTCCGACGGGCTCCGAGCATTATCAGTTATTTCCCTCGAACATACCTGTCTATGGCACTGGCGCTGGCAGTGGCAGCCAAGCGTTGAGCTCATCGCAAAGCAGCAGCTATCTGAACACAATTATGGAGGCCAAAGAACAGGAGCAGCAGCAGCAGCAGCAGCAGCAACACTATCAGAATGGCGTCACCTTGCAGCCCATCAAGTTGAACGAGCGACCCAACATCATCTATGGCAAGCTGAGCAAGAGCAGCGCCTCCACCTCCAGTTGCAGCTCCTTCAAGCCCAAACAGGTCGCCTGTCCTCAGGTGGGCAGCATCGAGGTCCAGGCGGAGGTCTATCAGAATGTGGGTAGCAACTACTCGGAGGAGGCCAACCAGGCGCCGGATGTGCCGCCCAAGCAACAGCCTACAGCGGAGTCACCCAACTATATGAACTGCTAGAGACTCTCAATCCCTCTCCCACTCTCTCTCTCTCTCTCACTCTCTGTCGTACACTCGGAGAAAAAAATCGCATTGAAATTTAGTAATTCGCCCTAAGAATTAGCAAGTTTTTTTTTGTTTTTAAACTTCATTTTTCATCAAATTGAATAGTTTTCTTATGTCTACAAATGAGAAGGTTTTCCTTGTTCGAAGAAAAATTGGCTTGCCTAAAAATGCAAAAGTTTTTCTGGTTTTTCCAAATCTGCTATCTTAAAATGGGAAAACTTGTCTTTTGTTGGAATTCATTGTTCTAAAAGATAGAAAGTCTTGAACAATTAGAAAAATTAAAATTGAGTACACTTTGCGCAATATCTAAAATTCCAAAAGTGTGGTGTTTTTTTGGCTCTTTCTGAGAAATAGCAAATATGTCTAAAATGATTAAATTCAAACGTTTGATTTTACTAAATATCGTTTCTGAAAAATCACAAGATTTTTTCAAATTATTTTATATACATTTATAAATATGTTTATTATTAATTTAAGAAACAAAAATTAAGCACAAACTTGAATTTAAGAAAATTACTTTCTTTGTTCTTACTCTCAACCCATGGCGTATTTCTAAAATTCATTGCGATTATTTTTTTCTAAGTGTAGTTGCCTAAGTTTTCAGATTATAAGTTTAAGTGCATATATAATTATATATATAATTTCGATATTGCTGGAATGAGTATAAACTAGTTAAACGAGTTGGTTGCTAATCATCAGTCAACACATATTATTATTACAATGGTATTTCATTAACTGCATAAGTATATAACTTTTCGTCATGTGTATTTTGTGTGTATTTTATCTTTATAGTTTATAGTCATCGCTCTCGAGAAAAAAATGTACATTATTTGGAAACGATTGCAAGCAACCAAAATAACATATCGTATTATCTAAGAACGGGTCTCGCACCAACGAATTGCGTATATGTAATTCTACATTTAAGTATTTCCCTATCTCCCCCTCTCTCCAAATTTGTATTAAGCAGCTAGCATGCTGCTGAGCATGAAAAACACAAACACAAACACAAAACACAAACACCAACACAAAACACAAACTCCAACGTTAAATGCAATAAATTTAATTCTTTAAGCAAACCAAACGCTTTTCACTGCACTTTCCCTTACAACTCGGAAATCATGTGGAAAACCACAACACGCAAAATGGGATTCCAGCTGCCAACGTTCATTTCCAACAACAAAGCCACAAAACGATGACCAATCTTTATGGTGAGGATATTAAAATACCCTTGCTGAGGGATACATTCAAAATAAAAGATCGCCCCGAATTTCACAAAGTCGCCTAGAAAGTTTTTCTTGTCTTTAAAAAAAGTTAGAAAGGCTTCTTTCAACATTTTTCAGTAGTATATCTTTTAAAGATAGATAATATTTCTAAAAAGTAGAAATGTAAACCGGGAGTGTTAAAATTCAAAAGCAATCTAAACAACACATAAAAATAAGAACACCCTGAAAATACGACATCTGTTTTACTTTTAAACTTCACAAAAATGTATCCCAAAATTGAGAAAAATAAACCCTGCTTTTTAGAAAGATTCTTCCTGAATAATAAGCAGAGTTACGCTTGTCGCTTTCTGATTGTAGGCAATAAATTATGCATTTCAGCTATATTTTAAAAATATTTATATTTATTTTATGAATAAATACAACTTTTTACAACTGCCATAACTTTGTCAAAACTGTTTTTTTTTTTGCCTCAAAGTTTGTAGATTAATACTACATATAAACGAGGAAACTAATTTAGTTTTTGTTTAAATTCACAAGTTAAGATTTAGATCAGTATTTAAATGTGTAAATGTACATACCCAAAAACATGTCAATTTGGTTGCTTATTGTTTGGTGATCTCTCTTTACAAAATAAATACAAGCCACCTAAAGACATATTCAAGTAATAAAAAGATACTACCAAGCAATAAACAATTAAAGTTAAAAGGGTTTTTAATATGTGCTGGCCCATTTTCTACAAAATGCTCTGTCCAGCTATGCCAAGAAAAATATTTTTATATTCCATAGTAGAATAGAATAGAGCTAAGTCCAGTTTGGTCGTAAAGTTGCACATGGAATAAAAACCAGCTCTTTAGCTATAGCACAATGCACAGAAAAGTATGCTACTATTTTTTGTATTTTAAACCCAAACTCTTAAGGAGATTATCACACACACACAAATACGCAACAAACTTTGTAAACACACATTTCACTTTTGCTATCCACGCACACATACATATAATATGTTTTATATATGTGCATATGTATCATTTGCAGGATGCAGTCAAGCTTGCTGTGAACCTGTAATTCTTAATTCAGATTCAGATTCACGCTCAACGTCGCAATTATTGCGTCGTACTCGCAGCGTAATTCTCCCAGCTGAGTACGCAGCGCGGAAAAAGCCGCCATTTTCCATTTGCGTTACATGCTGCATGGGAATATGGCTTCCCTCTTTTCCTCCCCTCCTCCTTTCTTCTTTCCATCCCACAAGATCCGGTGCTTTTCTCCCACATACAGCTGTTCGTGAATAGTAAGTTGTATTTTTTTCTTCAGTTTTATTCAGTCTCAGTTATTATGCACGAGTATGTGTGAATTTTCTCAACGAGGCAGTAGTAAGTGTGTGTGAGAGAGAGAAAGAGAGCGATTGGGAAAGGGATTTTGAAAGAGGATTGGCAGAAAGCGTTTAGTCTTTGCACAGCGTGTTTCAGGTGCAAATAAATGAGAATGCAATAAAATTAACATTTAGCATAGTTTAATAAGAATATTTAAAGCTTCAACTGCGTCTGTTTTAGTTTTATGTACTATTTTATTTTGTGTATAAATGGGTGATGCTTCAACTGTATCTGGTTAAATTTTTAATATATATGAAGTATATAATAATTATTACAAATATATATATATATATATATATATATATATATATATATATATATATATATATATATGTATGTATATGAAGCTTCAATCGCAATTATTTTATTTACATTTTAATTATTATTATGAAATGCAATATTTTTACTGAACTTATTACTATTATTTGGTATATATTTTGCACATATTCAACTGCATATTTTTTGTTTATTATTCTGTTATATTCAACCAAAATCACCCTGTGTTCAATACAATACCGAAAGCTTTTCGCCAGTCAAAACAAACGGCTGAGCACAAGCTACACCGTGTGTGTGAGAGCGAAGCGACGAGAGTGGGAGAGCAACATAAGCGAAAGCTTTTGCATTACTGGTAAAGGCTAAAGCGAACAAGTGTGTATAAAAAGGAAATTTTTGGTTCAGTCGACTTCTGTTAATTAAGCGCAACTGCGACGCAAAAGTGCGCCACAAATTTTGTTGTGCACTCAGCCAAAATTAATATTTACGCCCAAATAAACATCAAATTTGCCGTAGAAAATTAAACAAAAATAAATAACCAAAACACAACAAATTAAAGCTGTGCGTACAGAAAAATACGATTTTCATAATACGGGCAGACAGACGGACGGACGGACAGACTGAGGCGCATCCTCGGTTGTCCCTGAGTGCTGCTGCACTCTCGTGTGAAAACAAAAAAATAAGCGCACAATTTGCGTATAAACCCAACTGCGTAGTAGCCAATGCAAAAAAAGAAAGAAAACAAATACAAATACAAATACAAAGTGTACTCTCGACTCTCGGCCTAAAAGCGTTAAATAATTTAAAGCCAGGCAAGTTCGCCATGCCCAACGGTAATTGTTAAGCAGCAGCAGCAGCAACAGCAGCAGCAGCAACTGCAACTGCAACAACACAACTGAAAACCAGCGAAATTACGTACAAGAGCACCGGAGAATAGGAGAACCACAGGGATACGGCCAACGCTCTTAAATAATTTAAGGTAGGCAATGTTGTCAGCGAAGCTCGTAAAATTTATGTCAGATTTTGCAGTGGTCCTGGCCCTCGTCCTGGTCCGTGACCTGGCAGCCAGTCGCCATTAATTTTCCATCTAGCCGTCGACATTGGCTGCCTTTATTTGACTTTTAATTAATTGTTGTTCTTGCATAGCTTGTAAAGGGTATTACAATTTTCGCCACAAATATTTTATATTCTCGGCCAGCATTAGTATAGTTGAAATCACTTTCTTGTTGACTCAGATAACCCAATCAAGTTTACTAATTTCGAGAGTTATTCAGTTTTCTGTTTTAATCTAATTGAAAAGAGTATATAATCTTCGGCTTGCCAATGTTAAGCTTTCTTGCAAGCTGTTCCTGTTACGGTTTTCCGGTGAGGAAAAAGTTAAATATGAAATGTTGCCATGTGAAAACGCAACCACTTCAAAGTTTCTGCCGACTAAGGCATTTTTAATGATGCACTAAACGCTAATGGCTGCCAGCCTCTTTAAACCGGCTCTTTGCCCAAATTAAAGGCAAAGTGTCGCAGCTTAATTCGGCGGATCGTTGTTAAGAGTGTGTTAAAAAAAAGTTAGCGATAGTGATTATAATTCTGCTTTATGAGCATTTTAATAATTATGTAAGAATTGGAAGAGAAACAAAAAAGAACAAATGATTTAAGGATCAAGCATGGGTTGTTTTATTTGCTAGTGAGGCGAATTCCAGCAACCAAACGAAGCGTAGACAACAACAAACAGGAGATCCCTAGAACACCAGCAAACCAACAAAACGTAGACAACAACCAAGTCAAGATCCCTGGACAACAACCAGCAGCAAAGCGAATTCGCAATCAGGGAACATGAAGAACGGCGAACAGCAGAGACGACAACCGCCTGCGATTAGGAAGAGAGTCTCAATTCTCAAGGAGAACTAAACTTATTTCATAAAAACTGCTAAATATGAAAGGATCGTGAAGTATTATTTTTTTAGCTTTTGGTCAAATAAATGAACGTATCGTTGTTATGGGCATACGAAATAAATTGCAATGCAGTGAGTCCCTTCAAACACACTTGCAAAATTGAGGAATTTGACAAGATTTGAAAGCCCCTAACATTCTCATAAGACTTATAAATAACTATAAATCTAAAGTACATTTAAAATTAAATTTTATGTTTAATTCTGTTAAAACTATTTTCTAATATTTTCATTTATTTTGTTCGACTTTTTTTGTTCCGCTGACATTAAATACATTTTTAAGAAAGAAACCTTACGATTCAGAATTATAAAAGAGAACAGAAAAACAACAGAAAAACAAACTTTGTGTTTGCAATTTGTCGTTGATTGTGTTGCCGGTGCAGGTTTCCAGTCGGCAACTAATTAAATTCCAAAATTTAATTATCTTTGTGCCTTTGGTGTAAAAGTTTGTAAGAGCTGTTTCTCAAAAGAAGCAAAGATGCACAAGAATTAGCATAAAGAAGCTGTTGATTTACGGCAGAATTGAATTTTGTGAAATTATTAATAACATTATATTATCAATATATTCGTATTTAACTATTATAATCTTTGGCTCCGATTTCGGTTCTCCTACGTAACGTGTAAAAATGCGCTTAAGGATTCCGATATTTTTACAAACTTTTTTACACAAAAGTTTGAAAAAGATCAGTAATATAATGAAATTGGGGTATTAGCAACTGGATTGAGTTTTTCTTATACGACGAACCCATTATAATAATAACATAACGAATAATAACAGTTCGGATTGTTGAATTTTTAAACAATTTTGAATTTAGATTCTGCTTTTCAATTGGTTAAAATGCAGTTTCAATTGCAATTCCTGTTTGACAACCGGATTTAAATGCAATCCAACATTCATCGTGCCACAGTTAAAAAGCAATTTAAATTCTAAAGACACATTTGTTTTGCAGTGCATGCAACGAGTTCATTTTGTTTTTTAGAATAGTTTTGTTTATATTTTGTCGTTTCTTTTGTGGTCCTTGTGACTACCTCAAGTACACCAACAACACACACATGTATCTACTGTGTGTGTGTGTTTGAAAAGTGCATATTGCACATATTGTATAAATTCTAAGCAACACTAATATAAATGCATTCACTTGCAGCAGAGCAGAGCAGCGCAGCGCACAATGCGAACAGAAGAGATTCTTATGCTGCAATGTGCCGTTTTCTTTCTGTGTCACGAGGCGAGTGCCTTCTGTGGTATAATTTTAATTACCACTTGAGCGAGACTCGTGTTGCCGTGAGTCAGCAGCTAAGTGCATGTGCATCACACACAGTATATATATATATATAATGCGAGAAATAATAACAGCACCAGCACTGAGGCACACAAAAACACAAACCATTAGTTGTGCAATTATTTCAAATATTGCTTTGTATTCCCCTAGAGATTAATATTAACACTGCCCCAGAAATTGTTTTCAATATATATTTTTTTTCTCACTTGAGGGAAAAAGTGGAAAAAAGTAGCGAAAAAATAGTAGCACCACTTACGCATTCCTTACAGAAATCCTTTATTTATTTCAAATTTTCACATTTATATTATTCATATTTGAATAATGCTGTTATTGTATTTTATGTTTTAAATAAAATTAAATAAGTTGAAAAGGTAAAAATTTCACTTTCTTAAAAGTTTCTTTCACTTTTAAAAACTAATTCATAAGTTCCTTAAACTTACACATTTAAAATATACACATTTGAAAAACTTTCCCGTGGAAGTGGCGCTAATTTTTTGTTGGCAACTGTATGACAATATATATAAGTAAAGTGTATATATTATATATATATATATATACAATATTCAGCACTGACAATGCAAAATGCGCTAACAATGCGTTGGATGATTTTCTGTGCCATTGTTTGGCTCGTATTGTACCCTTTTTTCAGCATATTGCATTCCTGTAAATCGAAAAGACCACAACAGACAACAAACACATACGAACAGCAATATTGCGCATACGCCACATACGCCATAAGCATGTCAAAGGAATGTCCTGTCTATAATTGCGCATTTGCTGCTCCACTGAATTGCTAACCCGTAAAAACCACACCCATATTTGCTCAGTTATTGCCACTCGAATCGATTGTAAATTTTTTATATATATAAATAAATGTGGATTGTATAAAATATGCATGAACCTTTCATTAAAGTATCAAATATTAAAGCTCAAGGTAAAAACCCACTTGGAAACGACTCAAAACTTCCCAGAGCCAAAAGTTTGTCAATTGTTATAACATTTTGAAAACCTAGAGCATTTAAATCAGGGAATAATTCCGCATTCAAAGTTGAATACACAATTCAGGCTTGATTTCCAAGTTCAAGTTATAGTCTCAAAATATAAAAAAGCTATAACTTTGTCAAACTCAACCGATTTTCTTTTATTACCCACAATATAATGAAGTTAACTTTGCAAAAACATCAGAACTTTAAAACTTTTGTATTTTGTACAGCTTTAAATCGTTTTTATATGCGATTGTTTATTACATTCATTTCGTGGGAATTCGCTTAAATCGTAGCATACTTTGCTGAGTGCCACTTTGAAATTGCTGCCACTTGGCGCAAGCTCAACATGCAACAAACAACAACAAAAACAACAACAACAAATGGAAGCTCAAATGTTATGGGATCATTATAATCATGCAATTTGGACACGGTTCCAACGACCAACAGAGCCAATATGCCAAAACTGCTGAACCACAAATGGAAATTGCCATAACACACATTAGTTTTGGCACATTCGTTTTGATGATCAGCAACATAAATTTGCCTTTATTGAAAACAGCAATGTGACCTTTATGAAATTTTTTACTCTGAAAAAAGTAGCCCTGAAATTTCGAATTTCGTCATACTTTTAACTCCAATGGTTAAATGGATTTCTTTATATTAGAAAAGATTTGTAAGACATAAAAATAAACAACATATTTTTGGAATTGTTAAGTTGGGGAAAGCCTTTCTAATTCTTAAAACTATCTTTTCTTATATCTGGGAATTACTTCTAAAAATAAGATAAACTTTATGGTTTGCAGGAAATTTTACATTTAACATTTTCTATATACCTGAAGAGCAACCATGTCAACTGCGTGATAAATGTAATTGTGTTAAATAAGCTCAGAATAGTCGAACAAAAAATGTTGCACGTTATTTAACTAGCTTTTGGCATGGTCTAAATGCTCTAAGTCGTACATATGTGGCTATGTGCCACGGCTCTGCATTTGTTTTGGCCACCATGCGGCTATTTGGCAAACATATTCACAGCGTCGCGACAATATCCTCGCCAAAGGGTTTACAGCTTTTTCCGTAAATTATTCGCTCAGAAAACGGGACAGCAAATGGCGTCCAATTTGTTTTTGGTTTTTGGTTTGGTTTTTGTTGTTCTCCTGTGACCGATATGTGACCCCGACTACACTCAGAAAAAAACGAATTGCGTTTCAGAAATTCGCCAAGGGAAAGTAAGATGTTAATTAACAAATCATTTTAAAAATCAGAGTTTGCTTTACCTAATTTCAGCGTGGCTTTTTCTAAAATTTTTAAAATGTCAAATGTCCATTTAAAAAAAATCGGTATTGTATCTTATGTGTTGCTTGAAATATTAATATGTATTTATATTGTAGGATTTTTTCTGAGTGTAACACACACACAGACCACACAGACACTCTTTAGCTTTAACTTCATGGCTGGCTGGTTTTAAATTTGCTTACATTTGCGAGGGTTGTGCAATAATTCATCAATCTGAGTGTCCTGGCCACATCCAAACATTTGCCACTGCATGTTGCCGACAACCATATTAATTATGCAAGCCATTCTGTTGCCTCACACGCAACTGTTGCAACTCCCACGATTGCCTGCAACTTGAAGTGAGTGTGTTGTATGCCTCAGGATTGTGCCTCAGTTTGCAATTGCAGGCGGCATCTGTTGAATTATTAAAGGGATATCATTTGAAAGAATAATTAACTATTTGCAGGAATCTTCATTTGCTTTCCGATATTTCCGATGTTTGGTGTAACCTGTAAATGGTGATTTTAATTGTTCAATTAATTATTTAATCAGCCAATTAAGTTTTGCAGCTCCGACTGGGAGCAAAAGGAATTTTGTGATTCTCTCTGTTCAAACTTCAAAATAAATGTAAACAAATTTTCAATAAATTTACAATAAATAAAAAAAGTTTCCAGATAATCGCTTATGGGAATTAAAATTGGAGCTGTTTTTGAACTAATAATATTAAGCACCATAATTATAAAACAATTAAGGAACTGGGACAAATTATATTTAAATTATGAAAACTAAGCCTTGGTTTAGGAATTGAAAGATGGTTGAATTTATGATCTAAATAGAAATGCTTTAAAAAGGTCCCATAAAGTGTTGAGTGCTTTTGGCAAAGTGAACAAGAAACAAAAATGCCCAAAGGCAGCTAAATAAACTTTTGGACACACACATCCACACACACACAAACACACACATGCACAAATACACAACTACACACACAGACAGAGAGGCATACAAATTGCATGGCAGTCATGGCCAAATTGTCGGGCCAGACAAGTCTGACATTTGAAAACGCCAAAGGAAGAAAGCAACAAAAATAATAACAATGACAACAACGACAGATATTTGTTATAAATAAAAGTTTTATCAAGCGACCAGCAAACAAACAAATCGCAGACAGTTGACTGACTGTTAGCAGCGACTGTGACTGTGAGTGACACATGGCAAAGACAAAGGCAAAAAGCAGACTGAAAGCAATTAGAATTCAATACATTCGCCCGGACGACTTGTAATTAAGTGTAATTTGGACAGACAAACAAAGAGACAGCGAGAGCGAGAGAGACAGAGAGAGAGAGAGAGAGGAAGAGAGGGACAGAGTTGGGGATATTGAGAGAGTTAGGGAGGCAGCAAGGAAACCAGTTGACAGCAAAGAATATTAAGACGTAAGTTATGAGCCAGCGGTGCAATATCGATATATATGGCATATACACTCAGAAAAAATCTAACAAACTTTAGTAAAACTCCGTACAAACAACACAAAGATTTTTTTGTTTGTAAATAATTTCTAAATATTAGCAAAACAAATTTCTAAAATTTAGAAAGGCTTGCCCTAAATCGTCAATTAAAAAATGGTTATATATTTTAGAAATAATTTGTATTATTAAGAAATGCATTTCTAAAATGTGAAATACTTTCCCAAATTCAGAAACAAGTAATGAAATTTACTGGATCGGCTTTAGTATTATAGTTGAGCTATCTCCTTTTTAAATCCGCGTAAAATTCTAAGTTTTTTTATTGGTGGTATATGTGATATCTTAAAATTATAATGTTTAAAAATCAAATAAGCAACTAAAAAAGCTCATATGAGAATTCTTTAATGTACTATTAATTAAAGAAAACAACGCACTGAAAATTAAGCATTTTTTTTTCATTTTAGAAAAATCCAACACAAAATTTAAAAATGCAAACCCGAATTTTAAAAAGAGAAAAAACCATAAATTTTAGAAATTTACTTACTGATGACCAATTATTGGGGCCAAAAGTATGGTGTAAGACAAAAGTTGAGAGTGATTTTTTTAGTGTATATACTATATTTACTACTTTACTGCAGCCGAGAGCAATAAAGTAAATCAAAGGCTTGTCGCATTGTAAATCATAGGGGAAAGTCCTTGACAGTGTGCGCCAAAGACCGGCATACTAACTGCTCAGACTTTCAATTATTGAATGAAGCGAACACACACACACACACACAGACACGCACACACACACACACGCACACTCAGAGAGAGCAAGAGAGGGGCAAAATGAATAACAAATATTTACAGCATACCTGCAGGCGCTTTATTTATGCAAACGCCGCATGTCGAGGTCCAATTAAACCCCAAAAAACACAGAAAGAAAGACATAAAAAACGTAAACAATTTCTTGCATTTCCATTTCACACTAGTTACCAGTGAATGTAACAAGACAGAAAGTAGCAGCAAAAGCATAAACAAGCAAGTGTGCACTAGTCGAGAGTGCTCGACAAGCAGATGCCCTGCAGGCAGCTATTCAAATTCGTTTTGATTAACAAAAAGTGATCCTAATGAAATTTTTAGAGAGTCGTTATATGTGTTAGCTATTTATTGGAATGATATATCTTTACAAGTGTGACTTTTATTGATATAGTATATCGATTTGTATCGATCGTAATGGGCACAGTTACAGATAAAATTGAATAATATTGATCTGTTCAATTTCTCTGGAGCTCAACAGGCTTGAAATAGGTATCTCGAGCAATCTAGCTTTGAGCGAACCTATTCTGAAATCTGCTTAAGATATTTATTTATTTATATAAACTATAATTACACAGTCACCAAGCTATATACACTCTTAAGCTAGATTGTTCAGTTTATAACTGCCATTTTATTTGTATTTTATAATAATGGTAATAAAAATATTACTCTAGAGAGGAATGTAATCTTTTACCACATTAAAGAGAAGTTCCGATTATGAAGACATAAGTCTCTTCTTTTTTTCATAGAGAATGCTCAGTGTTGATAATATTTATTATGTTTATTGGCATATTTAGATACTTTATTAAAAGTTATACAATTTATTTATAATAACTACATAATAAATTAATTTAATGTCTTTCGAAATGGCTTTTATCTTAATAACCTCAACCGATATATACCCCTTACAAGTAACTGCCTACCAGGGCATAAACATGATTGCGTGCTGTGCTGCGCTAACTCTATTCAACTTGTTGGCAACACCCCCACAACCCACAACCCACACACACACAAATACACACACACACACACACCAACCGGCACCCCCCAATCCGTCCGACTATTATTTCCTCACACTTGGATTTTGCCTTTTGCCGCAGACCTTCCCCGATATATATCTGTGTGGTCTCGTCTGTGGTCTTTGCGGAGCCCTTTGAGCCGAAAGTGAATGTTAGCCAGCATACATACTATACAGATACACATATGTATATATGTAAATTCATATATATATATATGTATGTATATATACGCATATGTATGCGATAGTTGCATTTATCTTGTGGCTTTGTGGCATTAGCATTTTGCATTTTAAATTTCTCGCTCTTTGTTCAACTTTCGTAAGATGTTCTTTGCTCGATGTTTTGGAAACTTGGTTATTTCCATAAGGTCAACGGATGTGTTATCCAATTAGCGATTATCATTGAGTTTGTATCTTTTGCTGAGACTATGACGTAAGCAACTCAATTGCAAATCGATTAAGTGGAAAGCTTTTATCGCTGATACTTTGAAGCATTTAAATTTTCCTTTTTTTTCCTGTCAATTTGTTTGTACATTTTGCTAATTGCTTTAAGTGAGAAAAATCCCTAATGGATATTATGGGAAATAGAAAAGTGTTTCATATAACAAATAATCATGTGACTAATTGGAGACTAATATATTCAAAGCTACAGGAGAGGTCGCTAAATGGATTGAAGAACGCGGCCATTATGAATGAATTAAAATACCCTCTGAAAGAGTATAAAAATGAGAGAGCTCGACTAGGAGATGCTCTTTAACCAGCTTTTAAGTTCCCAATTGGCTTGCTGAGATAAAATTCATTTTGATTATCAAAATCTGCGTTTCTTAACCGATTTTAATGCAATTTTTACAATTGTATTTTATTTAGTTTGTATTTAATCGATTTGATCAATAATATGTCAGGGTATTTTATAAACTGTATGTTTTTATCATACGAATTTTACATTATATTCAGACAATCCCCAGAAAATGTGCGATTTACTGGCCTAGGAGAAGATAACTGAGAGTCGTGCAACGAATCATAAAAATCATGTCGAATGTGAGTAAATATTAGACGTAGATTCAACAGAACTGCAGAAAAAGGATTTCATTTTGTGCGCTATTTGCAGCTGCTTCACATGGACAAATCGAATGGCAATGGGGTGTATGCAACAGACAATGTGGCAGCGACAACAGCAACAACAACCGCTATGAATACGGCAAATAATATAACCATAATGAACGGCGCTGCGGCTGTGGCAGCTGCCGCCGCAGCAGCTGCAACATTGCCAACATCCGCCTCCAGCGAAGATCTCAGCCAGAGCCTGTCCGAGTATACAGATGCCGATGAGAGCATATCAGCACCCACTGAATTTCTCGCCGAGGTAAATCCATAAATATATATACAAATATACATACACTCAGAAAAAAAAATTGCCTTGAATTTTAAATATGCGCCAAGTTTAACACATCTTTTTATTCAGAAATTATATTTCTTAGTAATAGAACATATATTTGTAAAAATTAGAAAACATCATCTATTTGGGAATTGTTGATTTAAGACAAGCCTTTCAAATTTGTAGGATATATTTTGCTATATTTTCCCCAGTGCATTTATAAATACATAAATAAAATGTATTCAAAAGCAAATTGCGCTGGCAGCAGCAGTCGCGAGGCAAACTTAATTTGAAATCCTTTCAAGCGCCTTACGATGAGGATGATTGGAGTTGCTGAGTTGCTTTTGTGAGCCGGCTTATTGATTACTAATAAATTGCTTAACTTTGAGAGGCAACTGAACAACTTTTGCCATCCTCCATCGAAATGTGGGCCAATGGGGCAATGGACAGACTATTGTTGCTCAGCTTGACAAACAAAGATTTCTAAAGGGTTTGACGCAATTTTATTCATTTGGATTGTTCTCTCTTTTTGATCTCGATACTTTGCAGTTTCTGTCGGCTGTCATGCTCAAGGACTACAAGAAGGCTTTGAAATACTGCAAGTTGAGTAAGTATCCAAACAGACAATACTCTAAACGCTAACCTTTATAATAATCTAGTTGCACGCAGAGAACAATAACAATTGAAATGAAATTCAATCAAATTGAACTGAAATTCAATTCGAAAACCAAAACTTTATCAAAAGTCATCAGGAGTTGCTTATAAGTTTAGCTATGCAATAATCTTTATCCAACAAATCTTTAACACTATGTATTTATTTTTTGTATCTTGCAACACGAACATCAGTCCTGCAATATGAGCCAAATAATGGAACGGCCAAAGAGTTCTATCCACTCATTCTGGACAAGTTGCGCGGTAAGTTTGAAGTAATAAAAAATAATAGTAATTAAATAATCATATATAATATATACAGCTGTAAGTGACAGCGATGAGAACTACAATAAATCCTCGTCACCGGAGCTGGCATTGGATTTGGAGGCGCCTTGCGAGGATAGCGTTAGCAGCCACAGCAGTCGCAACAATTGTTCCGATGATGAAGATGTCGACGAGGAAGAAAATGATGATGTTGATGATGAGGATGACATTGATGACGAAGATGACATCGATAACGTGGATGTTGGGGACGAGGAGGAGAGCAGCAGCAGCAACGATGACTACGATCTGCCCATTGATGAACCACAGGATGCGGCTGCTGTCGACTGCCTGGCAGTCCATAGCACCTCCCATTCCCATTCGCATTCCCACAACGATTCGGGTTCGTCACGCAACTCCTCGAGCGGAGGCGGTGGTCGCAGCGACAATACCACACACTCCTATTCCAGCCTCCTGCTGGAGGAAGAGGACGACATTGTGCCCATCAATCTGCCATTTGGCAACAGGGAGTCAACCAGTGCAACAGATCTCGATATTAGCAATGGTAAGTACAACACCCGCAAACAAAAAGCGATCTGAAACAAAAATAATTAGCACAAAATTTATAAAATCGAAAAATATTTGTTGTTTCTTTCTAAATATGTGCAAAAATCGATCTGAAACAAAAATAAATTAAACATTTGTGAAATTGTCCCGAAAACTATAAAATATTACTAGAAAATATTATCCTTTTAGGAATACTTCTGATTTTTTATGAATACCTGTATTGTGTATTTTTTTAAAAATGTTTTTAATTATTAGAAAATAAATTTCTTAAAAGTATAATAAAGACCATTATTTTTAGCAAGAAATACTTTCTAAAATTCAGTAGGAAGTAATAAAACTTGATTTCTTGACTGCAATATTAGAAATCCATAACATTTTTGGGTTTTTTCATTTTTTGAAATGCACTCTCTGTCGAATAAGAATAATATATAAAAATACTTATTATATTTAAATAATTAGATATTCTGTACGATCTTTCAGGCAACAAGGTGGCATCGGCTTCATGCAGCGATTCGGAGTCACCAACAGAGCCGCTCACCCAAAGATTGGCGGCAATTTTGCGCTCCAAATGCGGCGTCTCAGCCAGCAATGATGAGGCCTATTAAAACACTGGCTTAGACAACAATTTATATACAACATATACCATATATATATATATATATATATATATATATATATACTATAACAACTATATTCTTGTACTTATACTCGAGATAAATTTTTACACACTTTCTTTGCCCAACTAAGTAACAAGTTTTCCACTAGTGCATTCGTCGCTTAACAAACCTAGAAACCGTCCCTAACAGCATACAAGTACTACTATATATATATATATATATATACCTCTCTATATATATATGTATTTCCGATTACAATACATACACAGCTGCAAGTTTTCGTTTTTCAAAACAGAAATTCCCTAGACAAACAACATATCGTACAAACATAATAAGTATACTTATATATAGTAGTCGTATTTGTATTGTGTATGTGTAAAAATATGAAAATAATAAATAAAAAATGTAATCTAGATACTATAACATTTATGCTCCATTTGTTACAGAGCCCCCAATAATATTAAATATACATATATATTTATATATGTATAAATAACAGAAACAGAATCTATTTTAGTAAGACACACTCATATGCAAACAAAGCGCACAGGACTTGGGAAAACATATTGTTGGATAACTTTACACGTTAGCATTTTATAGATGGCGACTTTTTTTCCATACAGTTTATAACACACATATATGTAGTATGTATGTAGTATTAATTTAGTAAACGGAATGCTCGGATAAGTCTGATTAAAATGGTATGGGGCAAGCACATAAGTAGTCATATGTACTACAACTGAATTGGTCCAAAGTCGTAAAACTATATATACATATATATATATATATATGAGAACACAAATACATCATTTTTATTTTGGAATAATAATGAAGCTTACAGATTTTTGAGATTGTTTCGATTGATTTGTTCAGTATACGTAAATATATACATATTATCAGATAAGTTAATCGATATACGCAACAAATACATATATGAGTATTTAAATATTCACACTATATATATTTAATTACGTTTAAAGTACTTACTTAATTATGTATGAGAATTTATAAGATTGAACGCTCCTTTAACACTTGTGTATAGTAATTTATTAGCGTTTTCATTCAGTTCTATTTCAATCCTATGTAATCACATTATATTCGATATGTATTCAATGTATATTCGAAACATGTATTTATCGTATAAAGGAATGTATCATTAAAAGATATAATAAAGAAGGAAGGCGACAAATTTTGGCATTGTTTATTGAATTTATTGAAGGTAAGCATATCAAATTTTATATATTTATAAAAAAAAAAGTACTGATCTAGATGGAAAAAAGTAATGGTTTTGTCCTTGATTGGCTTTTTATTGCTATCGGATATCGATTTCAGGCGATACTAATGTAAATGTTATCGATAAAGCAAAGAAGCAATTATGAATTTTAAAAAATGCAATGAATGTCAATTAATATAATAATGAAAGTTAACGAATTACTTACCTCAACACCCCTTAAATATTCCACAAACTTCATTAAAATGCTATTCATATTAATTTCAAACACTTCATGAGCATTTATTTTAAATCCATTATTATCAAAGAACTGTTCGTATTTCATATTAACATGACTTGCAATCGAATAAAGTATTTAGACAGTTCTAATTGTTTTTTTTTTTTTTTATAAAATTTGTTGTTCTTCGTACATAGAATGTTTTTTAAACATATATCATTGAGTTGTTTGGTTAAATTAATCGTGATAATCACTATGATTTATGTGAATGCCAGTTGGACTGTTGTTTTGTATAACTGTATATCAAAAAAGGTTGAGTGAATTTATCGATTTTATTCGATTTTCGATTATACAAAAAACGTTTCAAAATTGCATTAAGTGTGCTGAAATATGTATGTGTTTATCGTCGATCTTCCATCATCCATCCCATCACTCATTTCATCCAAAATCCTAACCATAGCCATCTGATATGTAACAAACTACTAATCTGTGTTGAACAATTTATTATTGTTTCTTCTCTTCTGATTGCGTTTTCGAATACTGTTTTTGTTTCTGTTTTATTATTACATTCAATAATACTTATATGAACCAACCACTTGAAAATTATTGTTTCTATGTTTTGTTCTCGAGCAGCAAAAACAAAATGAAAAAATCGCATAACAAAATTAATTCTATTTTCATATTAAAATAATTTAAGTTGCTCAGAATTAAAATCAGGTAATGAAGCTTTGTTTGTATCGTAAATTGCACGTATTTGTTGTATATCGTTTTTGATTTTTGTATTATTTAAATAGCTAAAGTATGCTAAATATATATATATATATATATGTGTGTGTATATGTTTGATTGATATAATGCTAGATTGAAGTTCAGTATTTTTAGCAAAGTGAATCAATTGTAATGAAACTATGATTGTGTGACGAGTTCTCAATTATTCACTTACGACTTATGAGTGTAATATATATGTATATATCTGATTTATCATACACATTAAAACAAATTACGATATTCAAGACATGAGTAACTCTTTTTTTAAATTTTGTTTGATTTCCTTTAAACTTTGCAAGTAAACCTAATCAATCCGTTATCGATGAAATGCTAATCTGGTTAACTATAGCATGCCTTTATTCAAGCTTACCATCACTAAATCTATACTTGTCCCAGACACGATTGTGTGGAATTAACAAATATTTCGCATATCTCGTAGTATGATTGATTTTTCTCTCTCAGTGTGCTTTATAAGTCTGCTAAGTCTGTTGTGTGTGTTTATCGTAGGGTATATCGTTTATATATGTATATATATATGTATCGCGCTTACATATTTAATGTTCATTAAAAAGAAACTTTCATTTGAAAACTTCAGGTGTTTCTTGTACTGTTCAGTAAAATTACATATATGTATATACACGTATGTAAGTGTGTGTGTGTGTGTGATTGTGTGTATTTATATATATGTATATATAGAGATTTGTGAGTTGGCACTACATCAATTGAAAAGAAAAAATAAAAAGCAAAACTCAATTCTCAAATTGTAGCTTAAAAACAATCATTTAAAGTATTTATTAAAAATACAACATAGCAGCAAAACAAAAAATAATAATAATTAAAAACGATAAGTTTACATATATATAAACATAATTAAAATAGCTTTAAATCGTACGCTTAACTATTTAAATATATATATATAAATCTAGTAGACGGTTGTCCACGCTCAAAAAAAGGGACAGCTTGGCAAAGAATTCAACAGTTACGAAGGAAATGAATATAAATCGAACTAAATACAAAAACAATTAAACATACGTATATGGGGGTATATATATAAATATATATATATTATATGTATATATCAGTCAATGAAGTTAATGTGTGAGATGAGCCACAGACCAATTCGTATATTTGATGTGCGTCTAGAGAATTTGTGTTTTGCCCGGGCAAGATACGTGTTTTCAAAGACTCACAAATAAACTCTAGTTTAGCTTTGTTCTGTTTTTCGCTAAAATGTCTAAAATGGGGCGTATTTATGTTTAAATGACAGCTGCCATTCTTTTTTCCAGTGTATGTTGTGCTGCCTATGCACAATACTTATGTAAAACTAAACAATTTTGAATATATAAAAATAAAAATGACGACAGGCCTCAAAATCACAACCAATCTTTTTGTCATTGGCTGTGATTTAATACCGTTTCTATAAGCAATTTGTGGTTTCCTTAGCATCCTCGATGTTGGTGTGGTTCTTGATGAGCAACTGCGTCGTCGGATATTTGTTGAGTTGTGCGAAACGCTCCATCACACACGAGGAGCTAAGACGCGCCTCCGCATCGTGATCCCAGCACTCCTCCATTGTGTCACAGAATATGCTGAGACCCTAAAAAAGATATCAAAATTAGAATGACAAATCTCAGCAAGGCTACAGCAAGTGTTCACACTAAGCAGACAATTGTTAAATAGACACAAGACTTCTTAATAAATCGAAATAAAACAATAAATAATAGCAGCATCTTTCAAATGCGCAAATTGAGAGTTAAATAAAATATATTTAAATAAACAGATACTCACCAGATGGGAACGCCACGTGTTGAGCAAACGTGGACGCAACTTTTTCATGACGACACTCTCCTGGACCTCATCGAGTGTCGGTCGCTGGCCGAGTTCGGCTTCAAATGGCAGCTGATATTCGCCGACGGGTCCGACGACTTCACAGCGTGAGACCATTTCCCAGAGGACCAAGCCGCAGGCATAAACATCGATGCGCAAGAAGGCATCCCGATTGAAATTGATGGCACCCTCGAGCACCTCCGGCGCCATATAGCGGCGTGTGCCCACCTGGCCGTGGGTGTCGCCACACGGTTTGCCCGGCTGAAAGATCATCGCCAGGCCAAAGTCCGCAATGCAAGCGGTCAAATCACCCTTGAGCAGGACATTCTTCGATTTGAAATCACGATGTGCAATCGATGGTTTCAGCCCATCCGTCTTGGTGCCCGCAATCTCCTCGTGCAAATGGGCCAAACCATTCGCCATGGACTCGGCAATGCGGCACAGCTCCAGCCAACTAATCGTGTGCGATTTTAAATAGTCGCAGAGGGAGCCATTATGCTGATACGTGGATATTAACCAATATTCTGGTTTATCCAAGTGCTTTTCAACACCCAGAAATTCGAGTATGTTCGGGTGTCGCATTCGTGGCAATTTATAGATCTCGTTCTCTGTTGTCCACGACTCCTTCTCCTGCATGCGAAAGATTTTGACGGCCACATCCTGGCCGTGCAACTTGGCCTGCCACACATCGCCAAAGCGTCCGCTCGCCTTCTGCTCGAGCAATTGGATCGGACGGTTGCTCAACAATGGCGATGAATTTGTAATTTCCGCTTCATGCTGAGCGAGAAAGAGAAAAAAAGAAATTAGTAATTATAATTTTGAATTACTATTTCGAGCCACTCACCTTGGGTATCTCATTAAAGTGCTCCTGCTTAAAGCGTCTGTAATAGCACAGCATGAATATTAGCAGCACGACGAGGACGGCAAATGCGGAAGAGCCAACAATATAATAAATCACATTGTTGTTGTCCTGCGTCTTCTCCTTTGGCACTGCAAAAAGAGTAGCAAGAAAACATGTTTTATTTGTAAAAGTAATTTAAATGTTTTCTACAAAGGAAGCCTCAGCTATATGCCATGCCCACTCACACCTCAATTAAGAGCTTAAGTTACTAAACTTGATATATCTATTAAAAGGAACCTCCTTCAAAACAAACTTAAAAGATTGATTATTGGGAACCTTCTCCACGCCCGTTCCCACCCCTAAAATTCGAAAAAGCCTATATCTACAGCAATTTTAAGGCCAAACTTTAAAGGTAGTCTTCGATGATCCTGTTTCAAATATTATTTACAGTAAATATTGCTCCGAGTGTATTTTAATTAATAGAAAATAGTAATATTAAACAGAGCGAAATGTCTAAGTTGCCACTGCTGTACTGTGCTTATTTTGTATTAAGAAAATAAATAAAAAAATAAAGAAGAAAATTAAAAAATAAAAATAGAAAAATATGAAACCCTTGAAATCTTTGCCTGTCACTTGAACTATTATGTTTGCAACAGTATGTGGCATAAATGCAGGTTGGGTCTTTAAACGCTTGCAGCGCAGGTGAACAACATCTCAAGTGGCACCTGTAGTTGATGCCGTGCAGGGTTGATGATGCATGTGGTTGTGGATGCCACAACATGCACAGAGCGCAAAGCGAAAAATGAAAATAAAAAGAAAAAAACGAAAGTTTCGCCCCCAATTTGGCATCGCTTTTTATGAGCTCAAATATACATAAAGATATATAAAGAAATATATATAAAGATGTATAGATAGATAAAAGGGAGCCAAGCACACAAAGACAGCCTCACAAAAAAAAAACACAAAATAATAATAAAAAAAAATTAAAATAAAAATATAACGAAACGTGCCACGAAGGCAACTTGCAACTTGCTACATACATACACTCACACACACAGGCAGGCAGGTCGCTTGTGGAGGCTGTGGAAAGTTCGTTAACACGAAAATGCGTTGCAAGCAAGGAGGTGGCAAGTTGTTGCCTGTGCTATGCCAAAATTGGAGCGTGCAGCAAAGGAGAAGAGAAAATGTAAAGAAAAAAATGCGGCACCTTGTGTTGTTGCCTCCATGGCGGCCGGTATATATTTGTAGTGCATGTTGCACTTGGAGCCCTTGCAACAGCAGAAATTGATGTTGCCCAAGCGGGGCGTGGCACTCGTGATACAAGCAGTCTGATTGCACTCGTGCATGTCCGTGAAGCAGCCCTTCATCTTGACTTTCTCCGTGCCTGCAACAAATGATATTAGAATTGATTAAAATCACTGTATTTCTGCCAGTGTATTCGTGTTGCAGCAACAAACCCGTCAGCTCGTCAACGGCCCACAGCACATAACAACTTGGAAACTTGTCCGTCTCCACCTGACAGCGCTCGATGCTTGTGGCACAGTTCTCCGGCGTGTTGCAATCCTTCTCGTCATAATGCTCACAATTGATGTTGTGCCCCTCGGGCAGAATGGCGCCACCAGCAACCGATTGCTCCTGATGCATCAACAGGCAGCCTGCCAAGTGGAAATAACAACAAGTCAGTAATATATTATATTTTATATTATATTATGCATATAGTTGATAATATATATTTTCATATTGATCGAATGTAGGAAGACTGGGCAGAGATACCCAATATAAAGCAAACCAATCTCAAATAACCCAAATAATTCATTTACTTGTCCAAAAATACTAAAAATAGTTTAATATTCTAATAGAGCCTTTTTCTAACGAATTTTAATACATGCAAAGCTGGGGCAAATCACTACTTTTATTATCCTTTTTTTAAGAACTTACTTTAATTGTTTTTTACTAAAAAGATTACTTCTTAGGAGACTAAACTTCAAGGAAAAATTAACACTCAAAAAATGAGAGCTAAAATTCATACATTATTTTTTTTGAAGCCTTTTCAATTTTTCTAGCTCAACTATTATTTTGAGCACCGCTGTCTAAGCATATTAAAATGTTTGGCTTTGTGGAATCGTAAATAAGTTGCTCAAATGGGCTGTAGGCGGCTGCCTTTGTGTAGATATCACATATCACCACACGTCATGTATCTGCCACACCGACAAACGACCAGCGACCAGAGACCACGGACCACGGACCACGAGGAGTTGCCAACAGACCAACGACCCCAATTCTCAAACCCCAAACACCCAAAGCTAAACCAAATCCCAAATGCAGCAAAGCTCAAAGTTGAGCTGAGCTGCCATTGAAAGTCGAATGGAGAATGAAGAACTTGCAACACTCGCTTGCAACGTTTGCTCGTCACGCAACCCCAATTCGTGTAAAGAGGGCCATACAAAATTAGCTCCACTGGCCGCTGGAGCCTTTTGAGTGGGCCTCATAACCCCAATGCTGCAACTGCAAGCTGCAACCTGCAACTGCTTTATGAGTGTGTGTGTGCTATGTGTGTGTGTGTGTGTGTGTAAATCCACGTGTGAGTGCAGCGTACAGTGGTGCGAGTCCAATTTGTAGCAAGTAAAATTAAATAATTACTTTTAGCGTTTTATATGATATTATACAAATTGTTTTTATCAATTGCATACTTAACTGGCCTATCAATTCTTGTATTTATTAAATTATTTACTTTTAAAAAAATTATTTGAAATTAAACTTACAAATTATATTATAGTTTTTTTTTAGCAGTTTATCATTTACAACCATAAATATTTTTAAAAGCTTCTCTGAACTGTACTCCCTATTAACAACATTAAGTCAGCTCTTTAGCATAATTAAGCAACTATTTAACATAGCCTCCAAACTACTGTGCAAGGGTAATCGCATCTATACATCTAAACATATATATATATATATATATATATATATATACATGCATGTGTGCGTGTGTAAGCACGCTTTATAGTAAAGTAGATACATAGGCATTATGCACATTATACAGATTGAAAGGGGATGAGTATAAAGTGCCGCTTGTTCAAAATAAAGAAACAACAACAACGGCAAAAGCAGAAACAACCAGAGTAAAGAGTAAAGAATATGCCCAAAGCAAACGAGAGCGAATGAGAGCCAACGAGAGCCACAGAGTTGCGCTCAACTAGAGTCGATTTTCACCCACGACGAGAAGCAGGCAGCAACAACAACAAGTTGCTCTAATGCAACGTCATCCATTCAAAAGAAATCATTGCACACACACACGCATACACACACATTACAGTTGACGGAAAGAGCAGCAAAACGGACTAAGAACTCGATCAAGCGTAAAGGGGAGAGCGGGGGGATGGGGACAGCAGGCGCCATTACGTACAGTAAACAAACACACACACACTCTAACAGGCAGTATGTATGTGTGTGCGTATTTGTATACATACCTATAAGCTGCATCGCCAGATAAAGCACAAAAGCGCATTTGGACATTGTTACGGCGTTTGTTATCACTACTACTTGTTTACAACACTACAAATTTATATTTTTTTGATACGTAACATAAAAAAAAAAACAACAAAAAAACGCGCTGTTTGCAATTAATTATTCTAATTAATTTCGGGTTTATTTTTGGCACAATAAATTTAATTTATTTTTATTGCGTTCTGTTGATTTCTGATTTCGTTCCACTTTTTAAGCCGTACATGTAATATTATTTTTATATATTATGTTATGCGTCTTTGTGTGTGTATTTTGTTGCGTGTGTGTTTTTGTGAGTATGTGTGTGAATTTGTGTTTGCATGTGTGTTTGTGTAATTTATTTTCCGCTGCACTCGCAGCAATTTTGCTGAACACACGTTTTTCTCATTTGCATTTTCATGGCTTGTTTTCGATTTAGCTTCTGCCTATTTATCACATTTTCAATGTTGGCACTTTAAATGCGTTTCTCTGATGCATTTAATGGTTTCTTATTTAGTTATTCTCTGGCGATTTTATTCATTTGTACGCAGATTTTACTCGCAATCACAATTCTGTGTCCCAATTTGGTACAAGTGTACCAACATTTTCTGTTCATTTACCAACACTTATTTGCGGCGCCATGGCAACGCTTTGATTGGTACAACTAATTATGAAGTTTAACAGCATTTATTTTTGCTTACTGGTCCCACTTGTTGGAAATAAAAAGCGCTTTTTTCAAACATAGAATTTAACAGCACTCTTTTGATTTACTGGTCCCACTTGTTGCAAAGAAACGCGATTGTTTATTTGAAATTTATGTTTGCTTTTTATACTGTTGCTTAAGGGTAAACAAGCTTTATTCCATTTATAAGCGAAAATGTAAAATTTAACAGCACTACCAACACTTCACGGTCACACTTCTGTAAATAAAGCAAACGCCCTTTTGAATACAATTATTTACATATAAGCAAAGTTTATCTAATTTACACAGAAGTCACATGACTAATTTCTAACAAAAATCAGAAATAATGATTTCATCAACAATGAATCACATGCTGTAATACACTTTATTACACCGCCAATTAGATAATAATACAATATGGATACAAATATATAATATATACAAATTTGAAAAAGAAAAATAACATTTTATATTTAAAATTAGAATCACTTTTTGCCATCGAGATTGGTGAGACCATCGGCATATTGAAACTCCGGACTGTTCTCATATTCGCACATATCCAGCGCGATGATGCAGCTCTCCTTCACCACCCTCCGCTCGTCCTGAGCATAATCCTTGAGGATTTGGATGCATTGATCGGTGGCAATGGCGCCCAATGCCTCGGCGCATTCATGTCGAACCATTTCATTCTCCTCTCGATCCTCCAGATTAGCCTGTAAATATTTAATGCTGCAAGGCTGCTGCAATTGACCCAAAACAAAGGCCACTTCATGACGAAAGAGAGCCGATTTATCCTTTAATCCTTCGGCGATGGCCAAGACACTTTCCTCCGTGCGCAGATTTCTTAAACTAAACATTGCCCGATAGCGATTAAAAAGATTCTGCTCCGCATTCAAATAAATTTCCTTCAATTGCTGCACATTTTGTTCGCCTGCTGCTGGCGGTGAGGGATCCACAGAGGCATATGGATTAGTATCCTGCACCTGCTGACCACTTTGCAGCCAGCGAATGCGCTCCAAGGCAATCAGACAAGTTTCTGCCACCTCCACAACCGAATCATTTTTGTATTTCTCGAGAAGCGGCAGAATTTCTGCATCTCCAATTGCGCCGAGCGCTTCGGCTGCCTCATGACGCACCATAGGCTCCTCGCTGGTATCCTCGAGCACATGGGTCAGTATGCCAATGGCCAGTTTGTCCTGCATTTGGCCCAAACAATAAGCCAATTCGTGTTTCAGCAAAGCGGATTCATCTTTAAATCCTTGACTTATTTCCCCAATTGCTGTGGCACCTCCAATGTTCTTCAACGTGAACAGCGCTCGAAATCGCTCCTTCAGCGGACGCTCCTTGTTGTTGAGTACGCCACCAATGGCTTTAATTTGTTCTTGCGACACCATTTTCGCTCTATTTCCAAAATTATAAATTGTAAATAATAAAAAGCCTGCCTCGTGGAAAGTGATTGGTTACAAATGCGATAAATTTTTATTGACCAACCACCACAATGATTGCATGCTTTGCAGCACTGTTGTGGCTGTCCAACACTTGTGTGTCCAGAAAACAGTCGAGTTATGATTTATGATTAGTCTTTCCCTTAAATAGAGCGTATTGTTAAATGAAATAAAGTGATAAGTTTATATCGACCAACCACCACCTGCAAATGCCGCCATAAGCAATAGTGTTTTTTCGAGCAAAATAAAGCTATAACTTCGTATTGACCAACCAAAACACGTACTCTTACAGCACTGTTGCAAAAGGCTGCCATAAATGGTGGGCTGTGTCAAAAAGGCAGAAAATGATAAATGCCGTCGAGTTTTGGTACGAAAAAAAAAACATCGAAAAGGTGCTAAGTATAGCGTATTTACAAGCCAAATAGTGTTTCATTTCTATTGACCAACCACCACAAGTACTCCAATATGCTAACCAACACTGTCACAAGAGGCCGCCATAAATGCTGTGCTGTGCAACACTCGCGTGCAAGAAGAAGCAGGATTTAGTCGAGTTGTGGATTACGTTTAGTCTTTCCCCATTGGCTCGAGAAAAAGCGTTGAAAAAAGTGCAAAATACAACGTATTTCCAGGCGAAATAAAGTGCAAAGCATTATCAAATATTGGCCGCTGCCCAGGCTGATCAGTTGCATATTGAGTTTTAGTGCAAACGTGCCGAAAATTGCATTTAAGAAATTTAGCGCGTACGTTCAGCGTGGCGTGTGTGTGTGCATGTATATGTGTGTGTAAGATACCTGCCAGTTGAAACCAGTGTGCAAAAAGGGGGCACAGAAAATCACTCGCTACTTTAAAGCGAAGCGTTCTTGAAAACATTGCAAAATACAAAATACAAGAAAAAAATAATTTATATTTTGTAAGTAAAAATAAGTAATACCAATTATCAAAATGTCGGACGAGACGAGCATACAAAAAACGGAGGCGGAGGCAGTTGAAGAAAATGCAGCAGCAGCAACAATTCAACCGGCGGCGACGGATGAGAAGAAAACACCCGTAAGTGTCATAAATACATATACAAATTTGTATGCATGTTGTGTGTGTGTGTGTGTGTATGTATATGTGTAGAGACAGTCACAATTAACACCGGGGGTCGTGCGATAAGAGCGCGCTTTGCAGCACACACATACAGCCACATGGAATTATCTGGAAGAGCGTGCGCAACACTTACGCAGTATTTTTCCAAAATATTGTGTGCATGTGTTTGAGTTTTTTTTATATTTTGCTTTTTACACAGTTTCATGTTAATGTTAATTTGCCCTCGTTTGCTGCGCGCGCTTTTCCCCTCGTGCTTGTGTATGTGAGAGTGTGTGTGTATTTATTTTTGTATGTCGCGTGTTTCACTCGCTACAAAGTCTCATCGCTGGGTCTGTTTTGTGCACACGTTTGGCCGCCGCGTCTCTCTCGTCTCGTTCTCGTTTGTTTTTATTTTTCTTGTTCTCTTTTCGACTTTTTGTTGTTTGCTGTACTTTGTCATACAAGCAAATGTATACGCGTGTGTGCGCATTTTTGTGCGTGTGTGTGTTTGTGTTTGTTTTTGTGTGTGTGCACTTTATACGTTTTGGGGCTTTTATTTACCGCTCAATGGCTAGGCTTCGTTTCACTTGATGTAATGTGAATAAAAAAAACACAAAACATAGTGCAATATTTTGATTAGTATTTATTTATGAAATATTTGTATAAAATAGTTTAATAAAATCGTGTAATATTTTAATTTTATTTGTTTTTTTTTTTCTTGATCTATATATATATATATATATATAGAAATACAATTCAATAATAATATCGTTTAATGTTTATTTTAATAATAATGACATGCAATAATTTGAGCGGATTTATTTGTTTCATTAATTCATTTATTATATATTTTTAGAAACGCACGCCAAAGCGTCGTTCATTTATTGAGCGGGCTCAGCAGGAGAGCGAGGAACTGGTTCGCACAATGGGCGGCAGTCTAGAATTGGGTGGCGGTCGACGTACGCGTTCCAGTACGCGTGGAACGCCAACGCGTTCAGCAGAAACCGTTACGCCGCCACCAAGCAAAAAGGCGCGCACGTCGCCAGCAACAATGAAGAGCGGTGGTGGAGGGCGTGGACGTGGAGCACGTAAATTGGATGTAGGCGGCGAAGAAGGTGTGGAGCACGAATCAGCAAAAGCCAACGAGGAGATGGAGCAGGAGGTGGAAGCGGAAGCAATTGAAACTGTTAAAGTAAAAGTATGTAAATAACATGATGTTAATACACATGTAAATATCATAACATAACACTGTGAAGCCAAATCTAAAATTTACTCTTTACAGAGCCCTGTTAAGAAAGCCAAGAAAGATGAAAAATTGGAAAAGCCCAAGGAAATTGTTGTTGAGGAGTCAAAAAGGAAAGAAGCTAACGAAACCAAGGTAAATTCGCCACAAAAGAAAACAGCAGCAAAGGATCAACCAGATGCGACTGTCCCGTCAGAGGAGCATCAAAATAATGTGGATCATATCAAGGAGAGAAAGGCGTCCGAATCGAAGGATAAAACGCCTAAGAAATTGGCACAAGGCGAGCAAACAGCGAAAGTTGCAACAAGCCCACCGAAAAGTGAAGCAACTGTCACAGCTATGGAAGTGGATGAAGATGCTGCAGTTTCTACAGCTCCAGCAGCTGTTGTTGAGGAGGAGGCGAAGCGGGAACAGTCGCCAGTTGTTGAAAGTAAATCTGCCACATCTGCCACGGAAGTTGTCGTTGTGGAAAATAAAGCAAAGGAGCAACAGGAAAAAGAGCAACTGGAAAAGGAGCAACCACAAAAAGAGCAACAGGAAAAGGAACATAAAGTGGAGCAAAAAGCAGTGCCAACTCCAACTTCAGCTCCTGCTCCAACTACAGCTTCAGTTACAGCTCCTGTTCCAGCTACAGCTGCAACTGCAGCACCAGCTCCAACCCCAACTTCATCTTCAGCTCCTCCCCCAGCTCCTGCTCCAGTTCAATCTGCCAAGCAGCCAAGTCCGGAACCAATGGAAGTCGATTCAAGTACAAAGAGCAGCTGCGATCCCGTAGAAGCAGCGCCAGCAAGCAGCAATAAGGAGGAGCAGGCGGAGGAGAAAAAAGTCGAGAAGGTGGAGCAGCAGGTTGTGGAGCTCAAAGAGGCTATGCCCGAAAAGCAGGGAAATGCAACGGAGAACAAGGAACAAGGTGTGGTTGCAGTCGAAGCACCTCTTAGCAATGATATCAGCAAACCAGTTATTGCAACAGTTGTAAATCCAGCTGTGGAATCCACCGAAACAGAATCAACTCCGGCAACAGCAGCGGAAACACCAGCAGCAGCAGCAGAAGTAGTTGTTAAGGAGCCGCAGACGGCGAACTGCGAAAACAAGTCCTCTGAGCACAATGACAACGGTGAGTGTTTACTAATACTATAGCCAATCTATCAACTCTAATCATAAAAGTTATATTAATTACTATTAATATGCGTTCCTGAGTCAATTTAATTCTTTGCTGATTCATTTATTCTTATTAATCTCGAGAGCTTCTAGTTCTTTTTACTTCTTCTTTCTAATCAAAATTATTATATCAATATTAATTTTTTCTTGCGTGAACCTTGTCGAGTACTGTTTTTAATGATGACAATAGATTTTGTTATCAAATGAATCTTTTGATCTTTTGAATTGATCTTTTTTTATATACTAATTCTGAATTTAAATGCTTAATTAGTAGTTTTAATGAAATATTTAAATTAATTGAATTAGTTTTTTTTACCTTTTGTATTTTCATTTTTTGTTTATTTAAATATTAAATTCTGTTTTAAATTGAATTTATTTTTTACTTGCCGTGTCGACTGATATTAAATAACTAAATTTACTAATTCCATATTTAACTATCTTCAACAGGTGAACCGAAGATTGTTAATAATGCCACAGATGATGGTGAAAATCATGCAACGCCGCAGGCCTGCAATTAAGCAGCATATAAGGATGATGATGATGATTATGCAAATGATGATGATGAAAACCAATAACTATAGATCGATGACTTCGATTCGATACAAAAATGCCGTAAAATATTTTTGGAATTTCCTATAAAAAAAAAACAACAAAAAAATAACTGAAACTGGATCGCGTCGCATGTGAAAATCACAGTTTCAAATGCTGTTTCTTTTATTCTCAAAACAAAACAAAAAAAAGGATTTGTAATTCACTAGGAATTAATTTCTCCAGTCTTTGTTGCTGGATTTTGAATGCTGATGCTGTGTGCGCAATATATTAATAATATAATATAAAATAATAATAATAATTGTATCAAAACACATAGCTCTAAACCCGCCAACAACAATCCCCCCAAAAAACAATCACACACACACACACACACATTGTTAAAAGCATTAAATCTATAAATAATATGTATGTGTAAATTTAATTAAAATTGGAAACTAAAAACAAAAAAACAAAAAAAAAACCAAAATACATTATTGAAAAATGTATGTAAAATAGATGTTTTTAAATTATAAGACACATAATCATTAATGCAAGCCCCTAATTTTAAAAAGCCCACACACAAAATAATTTTGACAAACACTCAAAAACAACAACAACAAGAAAAGATTTTTTAACAAATTGATGCGTAGTTCAACAAAATTTAAATATATTATATATATAAGCATATATAAACAACTAACCTTTTACTTATATATATATATTTCCTTCTATTATTTTTTTGTATTTCAATTTTGAAAACTGGCATTTAGTTTTTAACGAGAGTTTTGTTAATTTTAGAACTGAACCCAATCCAATTGTATATCAAATAAACGCATCAATTGTATTCCGTGCAAGCATAAATCAACAAAAATACAAAACGTAAAAGAAATCTTTTCCAGACGATCTTAACTAAATTACGAATAGTACTGTAATATTTTTCAATGAAAAATGCTAAGAAAAAAAAAGAAAACACAAAAAAAAACAACAACAAAACGAGAGGGTAAAAAACACTTTGGAACTCTTTTTTTTTTACAAAAAATTTGAAACCGTTTTTTGTAAGTAGCTGGATAACTTTCTGTGTAAGAAATTCTTCATTTAAAATATATTCTTTTGTAAATAAAATCTTTTAAAAATGCAAAAGAGAGATGACAACGCTGTCTTAAATTTAACTAAATAATTTCATTATATTAGAGCTTAACTTAACTTAAGCCAAACTATGCAACACCATTTTGAATTTCTTGCCCCTTCAACGGCAGCTCCTCCATTTCCTTCTCGACGGCTGGGTGCAGCATGCTGCGCACAAATGGTGAATACAATTTGGGATTCTGTTGTTGTTGTTCCCCCTTCTCCATTCGCCACACATAGCTCATGGGCACGGCCCATACAAAGATAAGAATGGCACCCATCACTTTGTACCAATAAAATGATATATCATAGATGGAAAACTCGCGATTGCTGCCAAATGCAGTTGTCACATTTGCAGGTGCCTGATTAGCTGGCGTCGTCATCATTGTTGTGCTTGTTGTGCCATTGCTAAAAGTAAGTAAAATAAATAGATTAAAAAATAATATCTATTTACTTATTTACATTTCGAATTGGGTTAGTTTTATTATTACATATACAAACATATTAGATAGTTTATAAATTAATAGAGTTTAATTTTGCGCTATTCCTACTTTAAAGCAGAAAACAGCTAAACTCTAATATAAAAGCGAAGCCAGTAAATTTAATTTATTTACATTTTCAATTTACTTAAATTGATTTACAAACATATTTTTTGAGTGTAATAACACTTACATGGCATTGAAAATGGTATCCAATCCACGTGCCTCGCACTGATCCAACGAATTTGGCAACACTTCGTATTTGACGAGGCCCTCTTTGAAATTGAGCTGTGCATTGATTATGATCCAGAGCATGACGAGTACACTGAACAAAATGCTCGTCATTGCCACCTTACCATTGACACGGGGCACAAACATGCCGAGTAGAAAAATACCAACAACAGCACCGGTATTAATGCCCGTTATTGTCCACACCGTTTGCAATATGGAGTTGAAGCGTTGCACCACAAATCCACCCAAAATACAATAACCACCCATCCCAATGATGACCAATTTCATGCATCCATTCGCCCGGGCCTCCGTGTGCCGAATGTGTGGTTTAATATAATCGAAGTAGACAACGCCAGCCAGCGAATTGAGATTGGCGGATAGGGAACTCAGCGAGGCGCTGAAGACACACGAGATGAACAAACCCGGCATGCCAACCAGACTACCCATTATATCCTGTATAAAGAAGGGCATCATTTTGTCCGGTTTGCTCACCAGCTGAAAAGCAACGAAAATCACAAATTACATCAGGATAAATATCGAAGATGGGGAATAATTTACGCCTGCCAGCATGGGATCACATCCAAAATACCGTGCAAACATTATGATGCCGGCGAAAGAGTTGAAAAATGTTATAATCAGAATTCCAAAGCCGGCCACGATAAGAGATCTGTTTGAGAAAGATAAGCATATGAAATATATATTGCTTTAACTGCACTCAGCAAAAAAAAGGATGTTGTAGTCAATATATTTGACTTTTCCTTCAAATTTTGTTAATTATGTATTTTTATAAATGAAATTATAAATCGTTTAATTGCTAATTTGTTGTCCAAATGTCCAATTGTCTTTATGAGGTTTTTGTAATTGATTGTACTTGAATTTAAAGCAGATTTCTTTTCTGCCTCGCTTACTTTTTGGCATGTGCGTACGAAGGAAGGGAGACAATCCGCTGGACACAGCTCTGATCGAGTCCAATCTTGCCCACCCAGAGCAGTAAACCACTGCTTATGTTGCTCCAGACAGTGGTGCGTAGCCTCGGATCCAGTCCAAAACTATTATAAATTTAGTTGAAAAGTAAAGAGGCATTAAAGAAAGAAATGAATCGCTCAGACATACTTGAAGTCAAGACGACCCCCTTGGGTGCCATATTCGAGGACAGTACTCAGGCCACCAGAGCGCAGGGTGCCCAAGACACCCACCATAACCACCGAGAGCAGCATAACGCCAGCCTGCACCACATCCGTCCAAACCACCGTCTTAATGCCACCCAACATGGTGTAGAAAACGCAAATCGATGACACGATCGTATTGATGATGTGTATATTTACGCCAGTCACTGCAATAACATATGTATATATATATATAATTTATTTATAATGTGTAAAATGAGCAATCAAATAATCAAGCTCTGCATACCCTGTGAAAAGGCCAAGGCGGGTATGAACATATAAACGGGCAGCATTAAAAACTGATTCAGCACAAAAGTCAGCGTCACCAGTTGACGAGTGCGTTTATTGAAACGCATTTGCAGATACTATGGGTAGTAACAATTGATGAAATATTGCTTATATATCATATATCTGTACACTCAGAAAAAACCGCATTGAATTTTAAGAATTCTCCAAGGATAACTTATTATTCAGAAAGTATATTTATAAAAATCACGGTTTTTCTTTTCTCAATCTAAAAACATTCAAACGAATTTTTACCAAGAATCAGGTTTGCATTTATACTTATTAGAAATGCACTTCTTAATAATAAATACAATAAAAAAAAAAATTAACACCATATTTTTGGGATTTGTGGATTTCGGTTAAGCCCTTCTAATTTGTAGAATTTTTTACGTATATTTAGAAGATAACTTTTTCAACTTTTTAGATCGATTTTCTAAAATGCAAGTCTGTTTTTTTTTTGAGTGTATACATATATTCTTATATCCCAACTCACCTCATAACAGTTGACAACATTGTTGTCATAGAAGACGGGCACAATGATATATATCAATATGGGCACTGTTGGAATCATGGCTAGCACAGCGAATATAAAGTTAAAGCCGTAAGTATAACTTTCAGCTGGAATCGACATGATTGCAACGCCAGAAAGTTGACTGAAAGTGAATGAAAACAATATTTATTAACTAAAATGGGTAGCCACTGAAAAACACAACAATAAAAGAATAAATAAGATTAACTGATGTAAGAAATTAAATTTAAAAGAAATGATTTATAAGATTTGTGCAAGTGGTTAAATCCAAAATGCTTTAAAAAAAAACCAATTGTGTAAAAAAAATATCGTTCATATAAATTAGTTAAGATTCAAAATTTAGTTGCTGGTGATAGAAATAGAGAACTCTGAATTGATCAGATGATGAAGTCTATTGTAATCATGATGCAATATTCGAAATGATGCAATATTCGAAGAATGAAATGGGAAATTTATGAGTAATAAAAATAATAACAATAATAATAAAATTAAGAAGCGAGCGGGAACAGAAAAATGAATTTGAATCGATTTCACAATTTAGTATTTGAATTACAAGCATAACACCTGGCATAAGATTGTGATTTATACATCTATTTGTATAAACTAAAAAAGGGGGCTCGAATTCATGGCGATATGCCGCACATGTTAGTTGTATATAGATAAGAACAAGTGACGATTTTGTGTACTGCCCGTGATGATAACAACCAACCTGGAAACCAATGAGATGGCAATGGGAAGTGTCTGCATCTTTTTGCCACCCCGCAAATATTCCTCTGTTGTATTCTTGGCCTTGGCAAAGAAGCCAAAATAGATTCCAATGCTGGCCGATATGCTCAACATGAGAATGAATACACTATAATCGGTCAATCCAAATCTCAAATCCTCCACTTTAGATGACATATTTGTGGTTGTAATCGGAGTTTATATTCCCTTAGAATTTAATTCACTTTAAGATCATTTGCGGATGCAGTCTGCACACTTACTGAACCATATTACAATCTGATCTTTGACTTAAGTAGCCATCAAATGTTGCTTATCAGTATTGTGTCTGTCATATCTGCTAGACACTGAAGTCGTAAAAGTTAATGGCCCATAAACTTATCATCTACGTATTTTTCCTTCATCTTTCCTTCACACTTGTATAACATTTATGATTACGTCGTGTTTATGATCGTAAAATACTGCCTACTTTTGGGAGCCTTAGCAAACATTACGTGCGATAAGAGGCCATGCAATTGGCGCTCAATTTATCTAATCTGTGAGTGACAAGCACATTCTGTGGTCCACAGATCACGCACAATGTAGATAAATTTGAATGACTCACATGCGTAATTAGGATAAGATATCGATAAGAAAGTGTGGCGGTTAAACAATCGATAAAGGAGTGTTGGCGATCGACGGATCGATAAGGGAATGTGGCGATCGATAAAGGAGTGTTGGCGGTCGACAGATAGATATGGCAGTGTGGTGGCTTGGCGATCGAAAATGGGATGTTGATAATCGAACGCCCGATAAGAGAGTGTGTCGATCGGGCAATCGATAGAATGTTACGTTTGGACGATTGTAGATGAGTCGAAAGTGATGCCTTTTAATTAAAAAGCTCAGTTTACAGATCGAAGAAATATATTTTGTTTGTGGAACCTAATAATATTTAATGAATTCATTTTTTTGCTCTTAAGACATTTATAAGTGACATATTTCTTTGAGGTGATGAATGAAAAATGATTTTATCATTCATAATTTACTATTTCCATTTCGATACACTTGCCGCATCATCCTCTTTCAGGGCCAACTCTTATAAATATATAGAAAATTCGCAATTAATATTTTATTTATATTTATCTTGATTGTTGCCCATTTTTAAATTGTAAGTTCAATTAATTTTATTTATTGTAGTTAATTAATATAAAACATTTTAAGACTTCATTCAACCGAGAATTAGAGAACTCTTGTCGTAGCTGTTTTCATCGGGAATCGAGCCTGTAAATAAAATCAATTCGTTGTTCTATTCCACTTAATAGAAGCAGGTAATTCAATAAAAGCAAAAATTCTTCTCGAAAACTGCACTAAAATAAATATTCTACGAAAATTACTAGACTTACAAATCTTTAATGCTCTAAAAGAACTTAAAGGTATTAATCGATTTTATTTTAACGATCGGTTGTCACATCATTTTTGATATTATCTATTTTAGTAATATCTATTTTATGCTCAGACGCTTCATCCTCTTTCAGCGGTGCTCCCTTCAGAGGCAACTCTTCCAATTCCAGTTCTGGATTCAAATTCAGATATTTTCGTACAAATGGCGAGAAGACTTTAGGATTTGGTCTCTTCTTTGCATCCGGTTTGACAATGTAGCTCATTATAACCGTCCAGATAATTGTTAGAGAAATACCCAATATTTTGTAAGAGTAAAATGATATGTCATATAAAGAAAAATCGCGATTACTGCCAAAGGCGCCAGAAATCAATTGTGGCGAAACTGTTGTGGTTAAAATTGTTGAATTGTTGCTATAACAAAGAAAGGTTTACAATTAATTTCATAATAATTTATGGTTTATAGTTAATATATTGCTCACATTGCATTTGCAATCGTTTTAAATTGAGGCGCCTCGCATTGATCCAAACTGTTGGGCAGGCCATCGTATCTGATGAGGCCCGCCTTGAAGTTCATTTGTGCATTGGCAATGATCCACAGCATTACAACCATACTAAATATGATACTCGATCCGACCACCTTACTATTGGCATTAGGATAGAGCATGCCCAGTAGGAATACACCCACAACGGCGCCCGTATTTATCCCAGTGACGCTAATCACAGTCTGCAAAAGAGAATTAAAATTCTGCACCATAAAACCACCAGCGATGCAATAGAAACCAATTCCAATAATGATCATCTTCATCGTTGCATTCGCTCTTGTCTCCGTGTGCCGAATGAATGGTTTAATATAGTCAAAATAAATGACACCAGCTAGGGAGTTTAGATTGGCGGAGAGAGTGCTCAGCGAGGCACTGAAGACACACGAGATAAACAACCCCGGGAAACCAGGCAAATTACCCATTATATCCTGTATAAAGAAGGGCATCATTTTATCCGGTTTGCTGACCAGCTGAAAAGCAAAGAGAATCACAAATTTTAATGGCGATATTTATAAAAGAGGGGGAAAAACTTACACCTGCCAACATGGGATCACATCCAAAATATCTGGCATACATTATAATGCCCGTAAAGCTCATAATTCCCATGATCATGATGAAGCCAAAACCCGAAATGATTAGCGATCTATAAGATAATAATATATTTAAGATAATAAAATATTATATTAAAAAATTTGCAAAATAATGTCAATTTCTTTTATTGTAAAAAAAACTTTTTAAAAGGGAGAAATTCATACTATAATTTGTAGAAAAATCATTTTCCTTAGAAACAAATCTAAAAATACAAGTTTTTAATAATAATACAATTTAAAAAATTTTTAAATTGTAGAAAAATCCACATTAAATTTTAGAAATACATTTTTTTACTTTACTTTTTCAATAATAGGCTGACTAATCATCGTCGCGAAAAGTATGGTGACTAACTAAAATTCAGCTATATTTTTTTGTGAGTGTATAACTTAACTTTTACCTTTTGGCATGAGCGAAAGAGGGTAGCGAAACAATGCGTTGGACACAGCTCTGGTTTAGTCCAATGTGTCCCGTCCACATGAAGAGTCCACCAAAGAATGCGTTCCACACTGTTATGCGAATGCGTGGATCCCATCTTAGACTACAAAATGCTCCGAATTTTAGGATTTTCGTAATATATTTTTAGTTGGAAAACTTACTCAAAATTGAAACGACCTCCAGCACTGGCGTTCTCCATCACAGAACTCAATCCACCCGTTTGCATTGTGCCCAGAACTCCCACCATCAATACAGAGATCAACATGGTGCCACCCTGGATGACATCCGTCCAAACCACGGCCTTAATGCCACCCAACATGGTGTAGAAAACACAGATCGAAGAGACCAATGCATTAATCACATGAATATTCCAGCCGGTAACTGTGCATGAAATATGAAAGTCACTCTAATTAATATTACAGATATGTATAAATTATGGATTTTTTTTTAACTGAAAGAAGACTTTTTAAAAAAAAAGACAGAAAAACATCATTTTAATCAAAGCATTCAATTTATTTAAATTTAACTAAAACTTAATTGATTTATTAATTAATTTAATTTAAAAATGCAATTTTTTGAAGAACAAGAAAATTAACGGAATATAATAATAGCATTTATGAAAATAAGATATAAATAAACGGTTTTTATAGAGAATACGTTGTGCTATTCGTTTTATTCTTTCGCTACTCTAAAGCACTGAAAAAATAAATTGAAAATAATTCCAGGAGCAGTACTAACTTGAATTTACAGGGCGAATACAAAACAATATATTAAAAATCAATGTTTGAAAAACGAATGGTATATTTTTATTTTTTCATTCGTAAGAAAACATGTGGTGCTGTTATTATATAGAATACTGTTTATATGTATATTACCTTGTGAAAAGGCCAAAGAGGGTATAAACATAAACACAGGCAACATGAGGCACGAGTTCATCACAAAAGTGGCTGTCACCACTTTTCGAGTGAATTTATTGAATCGCATCTCCAAATACTGCAATAATTCATACAAATATAAATACAAATACAAATCAATAGATACAATAGATATTTTAGATAAATGTTGCACTCACCTCGTAACAATTTGACACATTATTTTCATAGAACACTGGCACAATAATATAAATTAGAATTGGCACAACAGCAATCATAGAAATTACAACGAAGATGTAGTTGAAGCCAAACGTATAAGTCTCGGCAGGAACGGACATAATCGATAAGCCGGATAGTTGACTGAAATTCAAAATTCACTTGAATATTTTCATACTCTGCACTCAGAAAAAATGGCTATGAAATTTAGAAAATCGCCTAATAAGAAAATCGCCTTAAAAAATATAAAGCTTTTCTGTGAGATGTTTGGGTATATGTCAAGTTTTGAAATACAAATGTTTCATAATAATATAAGTAACAAAATAGGTAATTTGAATTCTGCAATATAGCTAGAAAAGAACACTGTTTTTTATGAGTGTAAGAAAAGGTACAGTTTGAGTTCAGGCTTATCGATAACAATTCGATATACCTCAAAGTATTCATCGATAACTTGTATGTCATTCTGCCACAATTTAAAAGCTAATCATCTAATTTGTCAGGTAGCTGAAAGATAACCATTATCCAAGGTCAGCACTGATATTAGAGTATTACGTCTTATATATTATTATATGTCTGACGTCACTTATTATCACTTCTAGATTCACTTTCACAATCCTCAAATTCGATTAAAACGCACCTTGCCACTAAGGATATGGCTATGGGCAGTGTTTTCATTTTCTTGCCACCCCGCAGATATTCCTCTGTGGTATTTTTGGCCTTGGCAAAGAACCCGAAGTAGATTCCAATTGCTGCCGATGCACAGAGCATAATTGTGAAAACCGTATAATCCGTAATGCCAAATCGAAGGGATTCAGCAGCAGCAGCTGCTGCAGCTGGCTCCGCCGTAGTTGAACTTGACATGGTTACTGATAATAATAATCAAGTTTTCACTTTCTCAGCAATGCTCTACTTGGATGCTGGCAGCAGACTTGAGGCATCTACGTCTTGTGTCGTTATTTAATGATCATCTTTAAGAGTATCTTATCTGCTTATCTGCATCTTTATAGAGCGCATAAAGCAAACAGCTTCTGGGATAAATTTTTATACTCTGAACCCATTACAAATGGATAAAAAGGGTATAATGGTTTTCTGCAAATGTAACAGGCAGAAGAAAGAAACTAGATATATTCTTGATCAGGGTGAACAGACGACGCGATATAGCCGTGTCCGTCTGTTCGTCCGTCTGCATGAACACGCGGATCCCAGACACTATGAGAGCTAGAGACTTCAAATTTGGAATATAGTTTCTCCTATACCCAGCGCAGATCAAGTTTGCTTTATTTTATCGATAACTGCCTTCGCTTATCGAATATCTATTCAAAGTTTCGATAGCAATAAATGCATATTATTGATTAACTGCCTAAATTTCATGAAGATCGGATAATTGCATTTGCAGACCTGCTCACATTTTGGTGCGAAACTTTTTGAAGGCAAATTTGCCAATAATATGTGTAGGATTTCTTCAAAAGCAGAAAATCTTACACTGCTGGTAGCCCACAGAATCAATGAAGCAAATATGCACCCGACTCATTGGTTGCATGTAAACATTGTTTCTCGCACCATCTGTAAATAGAATAACTAGCCATAATCAAAGATTATCGTCTAGGAATTTTGTATATAAACCACGCATTCATCATGAAATAAACTACATAAATAACTCTTTGCGGTAGCATACCCAACACCCTTTTCAGCATACCTTAAGAATTGACAGTAAGAAGTCTTCTTTATTTTTTATCTACAATGTGTTCAGGGTATATCGTAGTCGAGCTCACTCGACTATAGCACTCTTGCTTGTCTTAATTGAATATTTCTACTGTTGGAATTTGATTTAAAATGTTTATTTTCTTTTACATTTTGTTTTTTAAATTATAGATTATTTGTAGTCTAAATTGATTAACCCTTTTTTCGTTATTTTATTTACAATCTGCCTTCATCAGGCAATAAGCAAATTTGCTGACCTAAGTATGGCAGCTTAGAATATTTTGACTTTAACTTTGATCCCAAGGATCACTCAAAGATTAAAATAATAAAGAATTGCGCTAGATTAATACTATGTTTTACATGGTAAGCATCAAGTAATTGTTTTATTTTAAATGTATACGTTTTAGGCTATTTTAAATCAACATAATATATTAAAATCAAGTTATTTATTTTTGGGAACCCATAGGTGTTAAGACTGAGCACCTTTTGGATGTTGCTTGTCATCTTGCTAGACTTAAGATACAATTTTAATGCATGAAGCCCTCTTCAAATATTTGAATCACGGCGATAAGAGGCCATAACTTGATGATATAGATATAAAATGATATAGCAAACTATTGCTATTTTTAGATATTCTACCATGTGCGTCAACGTCAATGTAAGATAAGATCCGACTAAGTTTTTCAACTATAATTATTGTTATCTAAATTACAGTTTAAGCTCATAGTTGAGATTTGAGGGTTTTGTACAATTCGTAAAACGATATATCTAAAATTTTAAGATATTATTACTAGGCATAATACCGTCGCGTCGCACATTATGTGTCTTTATTTTATGTTTATATAATACTAATAATATAATAATGAGCTTTTCGTGAATAGACAGTCTTCAATCCATCATTTTCTCTTTTTGCTCGTCGATTGTCAACTCGGGCAATTCCTCACCTGCGGCCGGTGCGTAGTTAACAAATGGCTTTATTATCGGCGATAGAAGACTGGGATTCAGTTTGGTACCCGGCGCTGGTTTCAGGACATAACTTAAAAGTACGCCAACCACCCAGGTGATTACAAATCCAATCACACTATACCAATTGAAGGACATGTCCAACAGATTGAAACTTGAATCTGGCAAAGATTCAACTTTGACTGGCTCATTAAATACTGAATAAGGTGTTGTTGTTGTTGTTGTCATTGTTGTTGGTGTTTGGGTTGCATTAATAGCCGGGCAGTTGTCGATGGTTGTGGGCAGTTGAGCATAATGATTACGCCCCCAACTGGCCACCACAATGAAGGTCATGCAGGCAATGCTCACCAGGACACTAGCCAGAGCCGCCTGCAATATATATTTTGATATTTATATTATTATTAAACATTAGTATTTAAAACATTTTACGTAGCTTATAAATTCATAGAACTTAATTTGAAAAAAGCTATGAGCTTACAGAAAAAGATTTTTTCTACGAATGAGCATTTGAATTTCTATTTTTATGAAATATATTCTATTATTCAGAAATATAGAAAAAATTTAGGAAAAAAAATAACACCATATTTATGGAGAAATATATATTTCTGAAAAATAAGACAAATAGCATATTTTGGAATTTTCGATGTAAAAAGAAAAATTATTTGTAAAATAAGAAAAAAATTCGAATTTTAAGGGAGACTTTCTAAACTTTCAATTCAAACACAAACAATTTTTTTTTCTTTTTGGCTATTTTCTAAAGTTCATTTTGATTTGTTTTCTGAGTGTATTAAACATGCTTTGCATACATACCCGACCATGTGCTCTGGGCACCAGCATGCCCAGCAAAAAGACGCCGCAAACAGAGCCAAAACTGGTGCCACCAATGGAGAAGCAGATCTGCAATATGGAATTGAATTGCTCCACAAAAATGCCGCCAAAGATACAGTAGATGCCGGTGAACAATACGAATATCTTCATAATGATATTGGCCTTGTGTTCGGTGTGTTTGATATGGGGTTTGATGTAGTCAAAATAAACAATGCCACTGAGTGCATTAATGCTGGCCGAAAGTGTGCTGAGAGCAGCGCTAAACACGCACGAAATAAATATGCCTGGCAATCCGGTCAAATGACCAACAATATCCTGAACAAAATATGGCACCATTTTATCCAGTTTGCTGACCAGGCCCAGAGTGAGGGGATCACAGTCATGGTAACGGGCATACATCACAATGCCCGTAAAGCAATTGAAACTCATGACGAGCGTAAAGCCCAAGCCAAACAACACCAGAGCTCTGTGAAATTCAATCGGAATTGGGGTCTCGTAAGATCAAAGATAATGGCCTTGGGATTATCACTTACCTTCGAGCATGTCCCAGTGAGGGAAGTGAAACGATGCGTTGCACACAGCTCTGATTGAGGCCCACGTAACCCGACCAGGCGATGAGCGCCGTGCTGAACACATTCCAGAATGTATTCCTTGTTTTCAGGTCAAAGGCGTAGCTGTAAGTAGCAAAATGTTTATATATTATAGTGGAAATCTGATTTAGAGTCGAGTTTTTTTAACGATCTCTATTGAAGAAATTTTATTTATATTTACACAGTTGAAATTAGAAATCAGAGCTTCTTTAACTCGACGATCTCTTTGGAAAATTTAAAGTCTCTATAAGCTACTCAAAAAAAAAATAAATAAAAATTCAGACTAAAATGTAGCAAATTGTTCAAAATGAAAATCACACCATAAACTAGCAAAAATGTTCTTATTTTTAAAAATAATTTCTAAATATACGAATGCAAATTTCTTTAATTTAGAAAAGAACGAAACCTCCTTGTATTCTAGAAATTTGCATCCTAAAAAAAACCTGAGCTACGATTTGCCTCAAAACTGTAACGATTTTCTAAATGTCAGAGTGAAAAGATACCTTTTTACATTTAATTTAAGTGCAACTTACTCAATATCGAAGCGTCCACCTTCGTCAGCAATGCGGAAGACCTCGGAAACTCCACCGATTCGATAGGCACCCATAATTCCCACCATGATCACCGAGATGACCATAATGGCTGCCTGAACCACATCCGTCCAAACAACGGCCTTAATGCCGCCCTAAAATATAAGTAGTGTAAGGTAAATATAAAAAGATAAGATAAAAGGATCTACTTACAATCATAGTGTAGAAAACGCAAATGCTGCAAACTATAGTATTGATAATATGCACATTGTAGCCGGTAACTGTGAGAGAAGAGAATTATGGGCAAACAAAAGAATGAAGAACATTTTTCTCAGTGTATATTAAACTGAACTTACCCTGTGCAAAAGCCAATGAAGGTAAAAATATAAAAATCGGCAGCATTAAAAACAAATAAAGCACAAATATGAAAGTTTGCAGTTTTCGCGTGGCGCGATTAAAACGCAATTCCAAATACTAAAAATGAGAAGAAACCCACTTAAAATATATTCGAAATACGAAATGTTAATCCGATCTAGCACACCTCATAACAGTTGGTAATGTTGTTGTTGTAGAAGACGGGTATTATGATATAGTTAAGAATCGGTATAACCAAAATCATGCTGACTATATGAAATGTCCAACTAATGCCAAAGGCATACATCTCCGCTGGCACAGTCATAATGGAGATGGCGGACAATTGACTGGCCACCAGTGAAATGGCAATCGGTATGGTCTTCATCCGTTTGCCACCCATCAGATACTCCTCCGTGGTATCCTCACCCGTGTTAAAAAATCCGAAATAAACACCGATCCCCGCCGATATGCTGAGCATAAAAGCGAACACAATATAATCCGTGGTTTGGAACGTAAACTGCGCGGCTGCCTGAGCCGTGGCATTAAGCAGAGCCGACATTTTCGAGACTATATATATATATATATATGGGGATAACGAGATATATTTCACATTCACTTTGCGGTAAGTAAATCGCAATTGATCTCGTCGCGGCAGCTGTGGGGCTTTTTTATATCAGAATTTTCCACTTGAATTTTATCTGTGATATGTTTTTAGGTTTACTTGGCTATCGACTTGACTATAAATGTTCTTATCTTAATTATGGCATTATCAATTTGAACAATCTTGCCTGATAAGCTAGAGCGATGCTGACTCGGCCAATTTTACTGCAACTCGTTCATTGTTTTAGGTGTCGTTAGACATCTAAAAGTGATATCGCAAGTCACGTTGCAATAAAGAGGCGCCCGATTATAACTACATCTAATCCTGCAGAAACCTTGCTGAAAAAAAATCAAATCTTATCCGGCATTTTAATAGACTTCATATATGTGTGTGACATAACACTTAGGCGCATGGCACTTTGGTGTTTGCCGCTCTCATCTTCTACGACAGCTCTGTGAATCTCTGCATCTCTTGTGGCACTTACCACTTATATTTTTTGGATGTGCCCCCGCATGTTGCCATACTTGCGATGTTGCCATAGTTGCACGCAACATGCATTAAATTTGAGCCAACTTTGCCTTGCCGACGTTAAAATACTCTAGCTTGCATAAAACTTACGAGAGTTTATTTTTATTAAATTAAATTGGACATTTTTGGAAGCAGAAAGTTCTTCATAGAAGAGCTCAATTTCAAGGTCTACCTATACTTTCTATGTATCATAGGATCGAATCAAATAACGCGTTGCCAAAAATATAAATAGTCCACCGTTATTTTAAAACTAAGCACCCAAACTATCACATGGACACATCAATACTTATTCTAGAAAATTAAACAAATAAATTACAGCATTCCAAAAGTGTTTTCAATTGAACAATAAAATATAAATACAAAAAAAAGGAAAAACACATATTATATTATATTTTCTTTTTTAAATTTAAAATTAATGCTTTAACTTTTAATAATAAAAAGACTGTAAATAAAATAGTATCACATTATTAACAAGAGCAGTAAACTTTTTATATACATTTAAAAATAATAAGTTAAGTTAAGTTGCAAAGAAGAACAAAATTTAAGAAAACGGTTTCGAAATAATTTACTTATTTATTAATTATTTGTTGTCAAAAATATTCCTACTTCTTTTATTTAAAAAATATATATTTTCTATCTAAAACATAAAAATTCTTCTTAGTGAACCATTCAAGACTAGCCTGTGACATCGTATCGCAGCATTTGGAATATATAAATATATTTACATATTTTACATGGCTTTATTCCAATGTATTTTACTCATCAGTAATACCATCAGCGCATTGCGCACACATTTCATTACTTAAAACAAATACTCTCTGCATAGTTAAAAAATGTATAATGATGCTGAAATCTGGTTGTGAAGCCATTGCGCCGCTTGTAACGATACACTTAGGAAAATAAAATGAGATACTCAAGGAAATTTAGAAAATGTACATAATAAGAAAGTTATATATATAGATATATGGTAAATAAAAAATAAAATATTTAAATTATAAAATGTGCTCACGAAACAATAAACAATACTTTCTAAATATACCAGAACAAAGTCTGGAAGACCTGTCTATTATTTTATATTTGAAATAAAGCAATTTGCTAAGTATGAAGGTAATGTTTTCTCTAAGTGTAGCAGCACAGCTTACCATTGGCAATAATATGTGGTTAATGGTCAGCAGCAGCTGCTGATGCATTGTGACCCAATCCCCAAGCCCCCAATCCCCCAATTCCAAAAAGCCCAGGTCCAATCTCCTCAGCTGCAACTGACGCAATCTGCTCATTAATGTGCGCCTCACTTGAGACTTGAGATTTGAGATTTTGGAAAAATGAGAAGAAAAAAACCAACTAGGCGCATCTCCGCTTTGGCTGATCTTTGATATTGATGAGAGAGCTCTACAAGTCAGCTTGTGTTTGACTTGTGAAAAAGTGAAAGGATTTTTCAAGTTGAACGTTTTTAATTCACCTACCGAATTGATGTTGATGTCACGCAGCATCAATGAGAATTGCAGTTGAAGTCTCATTTAATGTCAAATGGACAGATGAACCGCATTTAGAATGTTGCTTTAAGTGATAAGTGGGTCAACTACATAATAAAAAATAACAATATAAATACAGAAGCATTGTCTACTATAAGATAAAAATCTATAAAGAAATATAACACATTACTTATATTATTTATTTAGTTTTACTACACAAAAAAAAAACTACTTCTGTTGTTTATTTTTTTCTGTTTTAGTATTAAACATTACTTCTATTATTATTTTTTAAATAATAAATATTAGAAGTAATATGTAATATTATTTTATTATTTATTGATTTTTTTTTGAGTAGTACGCATTACTCCAATTTTTATAATTGATAGTGATATAAAATAGAAGTAATATGTATTATTTCTATATGTTTGTTTTTTTGTTGTAGTAATGATTACTTCTATTATTATTATAAAATCAATAATAGAAGAAGAATACTATTTCTAATTTCATTTGTTTTTTACAATTTAACCCATTTTTGTAGTCAAATAAAAAGCTCAAGTATTTTTTTTAACGGTGACAAAATTTACTATTTTTTTTATTATTTTCATATTTTTTTTGTTGTTTCTTTGTTTGTTTCATAAAAATAAAAACACTTACAAGCTAATAATGCGTTATAACACTGTTTTTTTTGGGGGGGAGGGAGGTGTTTTATGTTTTTGTTTCGAAAACTATGTACAAAAAACAAAAACAATAATTTCAGTTCGAAAAAGTGAGATGATAGAAAAGTGTTTTTTTTTGTTGAGAAATTACAGTCACTGAGTATGGAGAGAGGGGGGCAGAGAGGGTCTGGGGGAGATTAGGCTCATGCCACAAGTCACACAAGTCTCGAACTCAGAATTGGGATTTGGAGGCATCCCAAGTTTCCTTCTGTATCCTTTTGATGTGGATAAATTCCATCAAAATTCTTTTATCGATTTCAGTTAATTGTTGTTGTTGGTGTTGTTCTTTTTGTTGTTGTCGTCAGTTCAGATTGGTATTTTTGATTTGTTGTTGTCCTCTTCTTCTTTTTGGGCAGCACACAATTAGTTGGCTTAGAAGGGCGCACCGTAGCTGCCACTGGGTCGCGATGGAGCACCATATGAACCAGATGGGCCACTGGGGTAGCCACCGCCTCCACCACCCTGCTGTGTGCTCTGCTGGGCGAATTGTGCGACTTGGATGGCCTGACGCACACCCTCCAAATCGATGCCAACAACGCGTCCACCGCCGCCGCCACCAAAGCCAGGCGCACCATAGCTCGTCGAGGGTGGACCGTAGCTGGTGGAGGGTCCGCTGGGGTAGCCACCGCCGCCACCACCGCCGCCGCCTCCTCCACCACCGCCCAGCTTACTCTCCTCATTGAGCAGGATCTGACGCACCTGCTCCAGCAGCTGAGGATCTACATTTTGACCCTCCGACGTCTGGAAGCCACCGCTGACGGCCTGAAAGCCACCGCCGCCGCCGCCGCCGCCAAAGGAGGAGCCACCAAAGCCGCCACCAAATCCGCCACCACCGCCACCGCCGCCGCCACGTGGATAATTATAGCCAGATGGTGGCTCAGCTGCGGCCAAAGCAGCCAATGCAAATACCAAGAACTGTGTGGAGAACGGGGGTAGAGAGAGTGTGGGAAAGTGGAGAGAGAGAGAGCGAGAGGAGGGGGTTGAGGGGGTTGTAATCCACTGATTTATCCACTGTAATCCTTGTTGTAGTTTAACTTACCACTGAGAAGGAGTTCATTGCCGTATTTGTGTGTGTGTGTGTGTGTGGTGTTTGGGGGAAAAGAAGTAATAAAAATTTGAAGAAAATTATAAGGTAAATAAAATTTAGTTGCTTTCGAGTGGGGAGCCAGCGACTGAATGCATTCCAAAATGCCCAACAGGCCCTCTTTATACTCCTCGGCAACACGAGGAAGACTCTTCCCCTCCCCCACCCCCTCTCTTTTTGTCTTCCTCACTCGCTCTTAAGCTATCGGCTGCGTTTCATGCGAGTTCGTCGGGTTAATCATCAGTATAGGCAACTCTTCGTCTTCTTTGCAGCCAAAATACGATGCCTGGCCTCCCCCCACCCTTTTCCTCATTCACTGCTAACCATCGGCATCGTTTACAGTGACTTCGTCGGGTTAAACATCATTATCGTCAAGTCTTCGCCTTCTCTTTATGCTCCTCAGCAACACTACGCTGCGAAGCCCTCCCCCCTCCCACACTTCTCTTCTATCTTACTCACTGTCGGTTTCAGTGACTTCTGTCCCCACTCTCCCCCTGTTCAACGGCGTCAGTTACAGTGACTTTGTCGTGCAAAACATCATTATCGGCAACTCTTCATCTTCTCTTTATGCGCACTAACGTTACCGTTGTACGCTACGATCATCAGCAGCACTCACACACAGACACACACATACATAAGCATACGTTTAGTTGTAGTAGTTTGTACCTTCATCTTCAGTGAAGACTTGTTTTTGGTGGACGACCTGCGGCCATCGTACAACATCCACAACTCCAATTGCAAGAGTCGCTTCGCGTTTCCCACCATAAAGAAAAAAATACAAAAAAGCGGACATGTAAGAATGCTGTAGTCGACCACGATATACCCTGCAGACAGCTGTTAAAAATTCCCTTAAAGTTAGTACTACCCCTGGAATTCCTTTTAATATATATTTTTTTAATATGAAGGCAAAATTGCAAAAAGGTAAGTAGAAAAAATAATAGAACGTCTTACGCATTCTTCAGAGAAATCGGTTATTTATTTATAATTTTCATAATATTAAATTATGTTGTGACGGACATGGCTATATTGACTCGACTAATCCTGCTGATAAAGAATATTTATATACTTTATGGGGTTGGAGTTGCTTTCTTCTGCTTGTAACATACATTTGCACACAACCATTAAACCCCATTTACCCATTTGCTAAAAAAAACAATAAGGCTAAAATAAATACAAAATCAAAAGAAAAAGAAAAACCTAAGAAAAATAAAAATGTCGCTAACAATTTGAGTTGCATTCGAACAGAAAAAAAATTTCTTTGGCACTTTCCTCGATTCACGTTTTTATTTTGTGTATTTTTGTCTTTCGACATTTTCGCGATTGACCAGGAAGTCATTTTAGCCAAACATTCGATTTTCAAAGGAAAAGCCAATAGACAAATGTCAGATGAGCAAATCTTCAAATATATTAAAGAAAAATTAAAATTTTACTATGCTTTAATAATTCTTTAATCAAGCACTGCTTCAACTAATTGTGTTGTATTTTGTATGCGAAACTCACCGAGTTTTTATGGTCCATAAAACAAGCCAAGTGAAGGCAAAAAAAAACACAAAATAGCTCCACAATTTCGCACCTTGGCCACGTATTACGAAATTCGGTAGCTGGAAAAGAGCTAAAAACTCATACCTACTTATATACAGTTTGTTAAGAAAGTACTTGGACACAAGAAAAAAATCAACTTTTCTCATTTCTTTTGCAAAACAATGACAAAAATAAACCTAATTTCTGTGCGGAATCGCAAAACCATAAGAGAATAAATAATTTTCGCTTTTAGAACTTTCAATCTGGTTAATTTTCGTACTATCTAATTTAAAGTAATCCATTTAACAATAGAAAAATAAGATAAAAAATATGTCAATAATAATAAGAAAAGTCGAATTTTTTGCTTTGTCACAAGACTTTCCTGCCAAACTGTATTTCAATTTTTTTTACACATATAATTTCCATGTGGAGCAGTAGGGCGCTTCGTCAGATAAGTTTCAGAGAGACGTATAATCAAATGTGGCCGATTTCCCAAGGAGTTGCAATTAAGTTGAAATTATTTAAATTCCCAGACAACGACAAAAGGTGCGAGTAAAAGTTGTAATTGTTAAACGAAAAAAGCAACAAAACATAATAGTGATACACATACACACATACAAACATACATACATATGTATCTCTGCCCGTCTGTGTATTTGTCTTGATTCGTAATTCAAACATTTGTTTCACTTCACGTTCGCACTCTCAATTCGGCGCTTTATGTCTCATTTGTAGTTTCTTTCACATTACGCTTTGGCTTTGGGTCTTCCCTTGGTGACATAACACGCAAGCGGGTGTCGGACAATGACTCATTGTTATAAATAACGTAAGTCCCTCTGTACTTACAGTATTTGCAGTGTTGCAGCATTCAGCAGCCACAAGAATAAATATATATTTTGTTTTATGAGAATTGCATTAGGTTTGTGCGGACTAATTTAATCTTAATGTCAGGTCGTTGTGCGATTTCGTCAAATACTCTCAGTTCATTGTACGCTTCAAAAAGACTACGTAGTTAATTAAATATCGCCCAAAATGCAAAATATGCAAGGGTATTGGCCCGAATTACGAAACCTTTGTCGGTTTGCCGGCTATAAGCGGATAAAATCACACACGCAGCTTCATAAGTAGGATAATTAATTAGGATAATAATTGAGTGGAGACCCAAAACCAATAATTTTAGTAGAAGTAGAAGTAGAAGTATGCTTTGTGGTTCAAGTCTCCGTTTTATAATTATCCTATTTATTATACAATATATGTCCTATGTTTGGTGGTTCAGGTCTCCGCTCGCAGGCTTATAGATCATAGTCGGTTTTTCGTCGATTCGATTTAAGATATTGCATTTTCTCAGGGCATAATCACACTATTACATAAAGTAATGATTGCTTACCTCAACTTAAGAACATGTCGTACTAAAAACAAATTGTTTTCCAAGATATCGTAACCAAACTCATAAAATATACAAATTATTAGGTTGCTTATGCCTTAAATCTAAAATGCCAAGGCAAGGTCAAGACCCAAGCTGTCCCCAATACTCGAATAAAATGCTTTTCACTTGCTAATTTTTTATCCAAAAAATATAGATTTTTTTAAAATATTAAACAGCGTATTTATTTACTTGAATATTATAATATTTGTTTACTTATTTTATGAAATGAGTTTCTTCAAAAATGCATAATGCATCATATTAATAGATAGATTTTTCGATTGTATTTTTCTTACATTTTTTTTGTATATATTTTGAACTGGGTAGGCTGAGTAGGCGTATACGTAATGTGGCATTATTGACGATTGTCTGTCGGTGGAGTTCAGTTGTGCGTATTATGTCAACAGCAATAAAAAACATGATTTTGAAGTGTACTCGAGCAAAAAAAAAACAAAATCGAAAGCAACTGAAAAATAAGAGTCAAACAACAGCAGAAAATGAAACCGAATCCCAATCAAAGCTGCCACAAGTGCCCCCTAAATTGTGGTAAATGGGCTTTATTTAAAGTTTGTCGGGGTACATCACTCATCACACAGTTTTCGACTTTCGCAAAGTGCAACAAGGCTGATTTTTTGGCTTTTCGAGTTTCGAGTTTTTTGAGATATTTTTTTTGGGTTTGACGCTGGGCAATATTCCGTATTGGAAACCTTCACGCTTCAAAGTGAAGGACTTTTGCGGCTGGCTGCGTGCCGCGTTGCGTGGCGGGCAATGACAACAGCGGCACGATTCCGACCCCAACACATACACACTCTTGCATCTTGGTGGCAACAAGAGACGAAAGTCAACACTCGACACCAACAGCAGCAGCAGCAGCAAGCGGAGCGGAAGGCAGCTTCAACTTAACTCGAGTCGGACTACAATGACAATGCACTAAATCAGTTTTTATTTTTGGTATACCCTTTAAGGGGGGTATTCTAATTTTGAGATGAGCAGCGACTTCATTAAGTATTTGCATATAGTATAATATTAAGAGGCAACTCTAGTTGATTAGACACAACTATGTCTAAGTACCCACCTAATTTGTGAACTCTCTTTTAATTTGTTAATTTACTTTGGATTAAACCAGTCAATTTAAAATTATTTTTTATGTTATTTAAATTGAATTGTGAATCTTTAAACGTTATCATATTATTAATAAACATCTAAATATAATTCAAATAAAACCAATAATATTTATTTATACTTAATTTATGTTATTTAAATTTTACTATTAGTTCTAGAAAACAATTAAAATCTGAGCATTTTCTATGCTAAATACCAAAATATTCCGCTTTCAAGGGTATATAATAAACGGCTTAAAAAGCTTAGCTGTTCTGACTCGATTTTTGTTTTTTTTTTTTTTATATGGGCCTGTCGCTGTGTCTTAACTTATTTTGATCAGTTTGTGTGAGTTGTTGCCACAGCTGCTGCTGCTGCTGCTGCCACTGTCACTTTGACGTTTAATTTGGTTTATTGTGGCCGACTTGGCTTAAGAGATGCCTTGTGAAGGTCTCTCTCTCAATTACAATTTCGTAATTGTCTTCATTTTTGTCTTTTGCTTTTTTTCTGTATTTTTCTTTTTTTTTTTTTTGGCTTGCAAAGTGTAATTGGAGTAGTAGTTATAGGGTCAGGAATCCAATCAGGTGCATATATATTATATTTAATACATACAGTTGCGGTCAAAATAATAATAGTGCTGCTTCTGAAAGCATTTAATATAAATATAACTCTATTTATGGTGATCAAAGCGAAACCTCTTCAAAAACATCAATATGAAGAACAATAACCAACAAATATTTGGTTTCTCATCTGGGAATGTTTTCAAATACAATTATTTTTAAAATATTATCAGCCATTATATTTCACTATTATTCCACTACTTTTAAAATGATAATTTAATAACTCTAAACAGAAAACAAATATAAAATTCATTAAACTTAAGGACTTTATGCCAACTTTAAATGTTGACTTATCATTAGTAATGCTTGCTTGTGTTTAATGCATCATTTTGTGAGCTATATTTTAAATATTTCGTGTAATATTTTCAAAAACATTTGAGTGCAATACTATTATTTTGACCGCAGCTGTATATTTTTGCTCGATTCTAAATTGCTGGCTTTTGGGCAGCAGCTTGGCATTGGCTGCTTTTTAGCTGTTATTTTTAGCTCCTTTTGGGCTTCTTTTTTGCTTAGCTGATATTTTATTTGTTTTTTTTTTTAGTTTCTTTTTGGCTTCTTTTTGCACGCTGTTTTGTTTTGTTAACGCGTTTTTTTTTTTATTTTTTTAGCATTCGTTTCGTTTGATTTTTTTTTTTGCAACTTTAAGTTTTTTTAGTTATTTTTTTTTTAATGAAATGCTTTATTGCACGCCACAATATGCTTATGTATGTTGTGTGTTGTGTTGTGTTTATATCTGGTCAAATCCATCATTAACACGTCCACTAGGTCAACGCAGCCGCATCATGACTTACATTTGGTTTAAAAACCATTTTTTTATTGTTGTTTTTGCTTTTTGCTATTTTCTCGGCTTAATGGCGGCCTAAGTAGCTGTTCATTATCTATGTGTGCGTGTGCGTGACGTGTATATCTGTGTGTGGCTGTGTGAGTGTGTGTGGCTGTGTGAGTGCGTTGGTAATTGTTATGACACTTTAATTGGGGCAGATGGCGGTAACAAAACAGAAACAAAAACAACAACAACATGTGTTTACATGCAATCAAAACAAAAACAATGTTGGCAACGCTTAACTAAAAGCGCGCGTAAATTGGTCTTTCTCTGCCAATTGATGCATCAAATTGATAAAGCTTGGCTTGCAAAATATGTTTTTGGAACGACACGCCCACGTCAGTCAATGATCAAATCAAATTTAATGATATTTGATTATTATTATTATTGTTATTATTATTGCTGAACTGCAAGGTTTAGTTATTTAAGTTATTTGTATCCGCGGTAATTTGTTGGTCATTAATCAAGCCGTAACCAGAAGTCGAACGCATATTTTGAGGCATATGCATATTTGGCAACATCATTAAAAATGTGTTGATTTTTTACGATTTACCATTAAATTTAATTCCATGGTTTATGACGAAATTTTCAAGCGCAACCAGCTTAATGCTGCCAGATTGTTGAAGTTACAAGTCTGGCAATGAAACGGCCATTGCAATTCTTTGCTCATTGTGAACCTTTTCTTACTTTAATGACAGTTTAATGCACTCATGTAATAATTTTCAATGCTGCCAGATCGTCGAAGTAACAATTATTTGCTCATTATGAACTTTTTATGTTTATTACAAATGAATAACGTATTTTTTATTTAAATTAACTCCATTCGTTTATCTATAAATAAAATGACACAGGTGAGAAGCTGTAGACTCACAAAAAATCACAGCATAAATAAAAACTATTCAAGCGCTGCGGAAAAGCAAATAATTTGTGACAAATGCCAAGAATATCGCAAGATGTAATTGCTGCTGATGAAGATGAATGCGCTGAAAATTGCAGACGCTCGATTACATAAGGCGCCAACGCAGAAGAGACAACCGCCTGTATGTGGCAGCAGTGTGTGTTGCAGTAGCAACAACCTCGACAAACGTCTTCCTCAAAAAGAGACAAGCAAACAAGTTTTTATTCCTCGCTCTTTATGTAAGTCAAGCGTGGCAACTGGCAACTGGCAACTGCCAACCGGCAACTGTAGGCAGATGAGTTGTTTGTCTGTTTGCATGTTTTTTGTTGTTGTTGCCAATGTTGTAGCCAGTTTGCAACCAGCAGCAACAAGTAACATTGTTGTCAAGGAAGGGGAGGTGGGTGGTTGGTTTAGCTTGTGGCAAGTGAAATTGCATATGCAATGCGAACCAAAACTAGGCAAAAAACACATAGAAAAAAAGAAAGAGGTCTCTAGGCGGGGATGAGCGGCTAGGAAATACCCTGCAATGAAATTCTTTGTTTCTCGTATAAGTATTTAAGGAAAATGTATTAAATAGAATAAATATGTGTGTATAATTCATATAATTTGCTTAAAATTGAGTTCTTTATGATGGAAATAAAGATATATACATCAATTAAATGATAAAGTCTCTTGTAATCATTATAAAGAGTACTCGAAAAGTTTCATTCAAGAAATAACTAATATAACAGCGATTAAGAGAATAGAAAAACTAATATTAATAAAAAAAAACAGTAATTATTATGTCTCGAAAGGTAACCGGAAAGATAATTTGTCCCAACAACGCGGCGGATTCGCATATTTGACACTTTGGGATTCCCCCATTGAAAAGCGCATTTTATTTTTATTTAAAAAGAACGAAGAGAAAGTTAAACATTCTTCACCTTAACTTACATTTTATTTATACATTTTGGCTTATATAATTATATAAAAAAGAGAAATGTGGAATATGCAAGTAGATGCCTCTACTTTAAGCTAACCAACCGCGCTAACACATTTTTAATGTGTACAGGGTATATACCAAAAAAAAAACAAAAAAAAAAAATTATGCTGTGAAAATCAAAGGTGTATAGAAATGCTGAAATTGTTTGGGAAATTGCCGCGACACGTTTTGCCATGTCTGCGAGTGGCTCTTTGGCTATTTGGCTATTTGACTGGAACCGGGCTTTGTCTGTCTCTCTGTCTGTCTGTGTGTTTGTCTGGTATTCCAGCGGCAAAACATGTCCATCGCTTGTGGGTTCTGTGGACTGTGTGCAAACTTTAGCCTTTGGATGCCAACATATTTACTCAGCTCAGCTTATGCAAAGCAAAGCAAAGCAAATCACAGCATGGCAGATGTTTTGTACTTGCGCAATAATCGGGCAGGCAAGCAGCTAGTGTGTATTGCCATATGGACAAAATGTGGAGATTCTCAAGGCGTCTCAAAAAAGTAAAAGTTCAAAACGGGTTAAAACACACAAATAAAAACACTAATCGACCAGAGACACCCTGCCAGGCGCAGCAGGCATCTTTTAATACTCAGCTCGTGATTAGAAGCGTCATTTTACATTGCCTTAATTATAGTTAAATTTGGCCAGCTCATTCGCTAATCACAGCCTAAGCCAACAGACTCTTTAGCGAATGTCTGGCTAAAGTAAAATAATTGCAAATTCAACTTTCGCTTTAATGAACTTCTCCAAAATTTTCTTTTTACATATGCTCAAACTTGAATTCAAATTAAAAATCGATAGGTCGGGCACTCTTATCGACTAATAATCGTTTTACTGTGGTGCATACTGTTAGGCGCATGGTAACACACTGAAAATTGTAGCACGCGCTCAGGTGTTGCAAAATACCACACCTATTTGCTTTTGGCACATAATAAATTAGCATATACAGGTTAACTTGTTTATATTTTTAAATTCAAGTGTATACAATTACTAAGCGCAGCAGCCTATCTTATTCAATCAAACTAACTAAATCAAAATTCCAAACCATAAAAAACCAATTTGATAAAGCACTTAGCCATTCCAATGCTATACTCACGCTGGTCACACTGAATTCGGCCGAACAGCTGACTGTCGGTGCACGATAAACCTGTGAATGGTCGGACGCCATTACGTTACGTGCTGACGACTTCGTGTACGTGTACAATAAAAAAACAGGCGAAAAAAGAACGAAACGAACACACACACACAGATATATATATATATATAAATATATGTAAGATACACAGGGCGAGAATTGTCAAAAAAATAATAAATAATCGTGTTGATGTCGCTACGATAATAGGTCAAGAAGGACAAGCCACAAAAAAAGAAATACAAAACAAAAACAAAAACTGAACGCAAGAGGGGAATAAAAAGACGAATTCAAGATTAATATCTTTCTGGAGTCGATCAGCCAATTGGCTGGCAGTGCGTCCAACAATATGCAGCTGGTAATTTCGACAGTTTGCCTGGCGCTGACCAGCGCCGTAATTGGCAACGCCTATCTGCAAAAGCAACAATTCTATCCAGCCGTTGTCTACATCACCAAATCCAATGCATCCATGGCAGTAAGCTTAAAATAAATAATCAAAATATAAATAATACACTCGAAATTTGATTTCATTTTTGTAGGTAATCTACATACAATTCTTTGTGATAGTCTTCATGTTTGGCAAACTATTGCGCAAGGTATTTCATTTGCAGAGTGAAGTTGTCAAAACTTATCTTTTAACAGACTTATTAATTGCTGTCTATTTGTATTTGCAGATATTTTTGGGCACGCTGCGTGCCGCTGAATTTGAGCATTTGCTGGAGCGTTTCTGGTATGCATTGACGGAGACGTGTTTGGCATTTACCGTATTCCGCGATGATTTCAATCCGCGATTTGTTGCACTCTTCACAGTGCTCCTATTCCTCAAATCATTCCATTGGCTCGCCGAGGAACGCGTCGATTTTGTAAGTGGCTCGAATAATGGAGTACTTTTTAGGTTTTATCAATTCCTAGTCAAGATGTCAATGATGATATACACATTATATAGTTTAAGTTTTAATTGTGTTGCCATCTTGTCTTCCAAAGATCAATCTTGCTGCAGGCAGTAATTATTTATAAATATATGTTATAAGATTGTCATAGAAACCATAGATCTAGAAATAGCTTATTATATTAGACAAGTTTTTGAAAGCTATCTAACTATCTAACTGCTTTATCATATCACATTAGCTATAGCTCATAGATGAGATAGCTTCAGGGTATCAATAGGTTGAGAGCCAATTTCTTTTCTTTATATATTATTTTTAGTATGTATATATATATTATAGTTTCAGTTTTAGCCATCAACAGATGGCTATGTTCTATGTGAAACGTTCCACTTTTTTTATTTATATTTTTACTAGTTTTATTTATTTATTTAATTTAAGAAATGCCAAACTGGGAAATCACATATAGATCAAAACTAAATTTAATTTTTGTTATTTACGATTTCGCTTGTTAGCAGTTATTTATATATATATATTATATATGTTTGTCATAGAAACTATCGGACTAGGAATTGCTTATTGTATGAACAAACTGTGTTGATTGCTTTAGCTATTATTTGTATCTGGTTAGAAACAACTTTAAAATTCCTGCACGAAAGCGAGCAACTTCCTCGACTTGAGGGTTTCTATATGTTCCGAGCTTGAGACATGTTTCCTCATGAGATACTACATCTTTTTCTAGCAGTCTGCTTTGAAGTGCTTTGAGAATTCTTTTTATTATTAGAAATTGAGAAGGGTTCATTGCAGACTACATCTAGTTCAGTTAGGTGACTTCTTAGTCTAAAGAGTCCTGTCCAGACATCGCTGAGTATTCCAAGTCTGTTCTTTTCCTTCGTCTTCCCATTCTCTCCAGCATACGCCATCCAAACAAGAAACTTGATTGATTTAATAGTTATAACATTCATCAAGGTCAGCCATTCTGCTCACTCTGCTCGTAGCCATATCTTATCTATGCCATAAAAAGCCAAGTTCGTTTACACTCTGGCAGAAAAATAGCACTAAATTTTAGAAATTAGTTCAACTTGTTATTCATCAAGTAAATTTCCAAAAATTGAAGCCTTTGGTTTTTGAAGAATATCCATTTGCATTTCTTAATTTTTGTTTGGATTTTTCTAAAATTTAACAAAAATATGCGTTATTTTCAGAGTCACAGTTGATATAGCTCAAACATATATCTGCTCGTAGCCATATCTTATCTAACCCTTAAATTTAGTCGATAAATTAATCTAGCTTAATTTGAAAAACTTACGAAAGGATTTGCGTTTGCATTTCTAATTATTATAAATATTTTCTAAGACATTTGTTTAGAAAAACATATTTGCGGAATTTTCAATGTAGGACAAAAGCTTTTCAATTTATAAGAAAAAACAAGAAAACCTTTCTAATTTTTTGGGGATATTTTCTAAATTTCAGTTAAATTTTTATTACTGTAAAATACTTGGAAACTTTTGCCAACCGCCGAACTTGACTATTTTATACTGCTTATTAATGAATGTATTTTTGTATCTGTTTTCTGCGCAGATGGAGCGTTCTCCTGTGCTTGGCTGGCTGTTTCACATCCGCGTTGGCAGTCTGCTGACCATGCTGGGCATCCTCGACTATGTGCTCCTCATGCATGCCTACAATTCGACGCTGGTGCGTGGACCGACGGTGCAGTTGGTGTTTGGCTTTGAGTATGCGATTCTGTTGACTGTGATTGCGAGCACAACAATTAAATATGTGCTGCATGCGGCCGAGATGCGAACGGATACGCCCTGGGAGAATAAAGCCGTATTCCTGCTCTACACGGAGTTGGTAATTGGGCTGATTAAGGTCGTGTTGTATCTGCTGTTTGTGGTGATTATGGCCAAGATTTATGCGCTGCCCATGTTCGTCTTCCGGCCCATGTTCTTCACCATCCGCAATTTCCGGAAGGCGCTCAACGACGTGATCATGTCGAGACGCGCCATCCGCAATATGAACACCTTGTATCCGGATGCGACGCCGGAGGAGTTGCGGCAGTCGGATAATATCTGCATCATTTGCCGCGAGGATATGGTCAATCATTCGAAGAAGCTACCCTGCGGCCACATCTTCCACACGACGTGTCTGCGCTCCTGGTTCCAGCGCCAGCAGACGTGTCCCACCTGTCGCCTCAATATCCTGCGCACCCCGGCCATCAATTCGATGGCCATGCCGCGTGCCGATGACGCAGCCAATCCGGCTGCAGCTGGCGGAGCGGGAGCGGTGCCAGCAGGAGCAGCAGTACCTGGCGCAGCTGGAGTAGCACCTGGAGCAGCTGCACCTGGCGCAGCGGCCGGTGAAGCTGTGGCAACTGCAGCGGGCGCAGCTGGAGCAGCTGCAGCGCCAGGCTTGGATGCACATACAAATGGCGCCGTGGCACGCAATGCTGGAGCGCCCAATTTTGCGGACATCTTCGGCGATGCCAGTAAATATTCTATTGTCTTATATCATTATTATTATATTATATGTATATATATATGTTTATATATATATATATATTATATTCCTCTCTTATCTAACCCCTGTTTCCCCTTTGCAGGTGGCTTATCCAATCTGGCTGGTTTGCCTCCGCCGCCGCCTTTGCTTTCACCATTTATGATGCAATCCCCATTTGGTTATTTTACGCCTCCAGTTGTGCCGCCACCGCCCATGCCCCTGGATCTGACCAGGTTCAACGAGGAGGAACTGCTCGCCATGGAGGGCAATCTGCGACAGCATATCGAAGAGCGCTTAAAGGTAGCTATCATTACACTCGGAAAACTCCCACTGAAATTTAGAAACGGAACTAAAAAAAAGAAAGTCGCCTTAAAAAAAAGAAGGAGAACAAAGAGAAATTCTTGTTTTTAGATACAATTTGGTCTTCAAATCATAAAAACGTTTGGCCTACTGCAAAAAGTGCTAAAATATCTATCTAGTAAATATATATCCATAAAGTATAAATGCAAAAACTTAATTTTAGAAAAACTCAATTGAAATAGCCTTTAAATTTAGAAAATCAAACAAAACTGAAAATCAACCTAAGAATTTACAATTACATTTTTCTTAAAATTTGAAATGCTTTCAAATGAAGTTGTGTGCATTTATAAACTATGTAAAATAATAATACAAGTAACAAGACCCCGGTAAAGAATTCTTTTATGAAGACAACGATTTTTCGAAAAGCACAAATCAAAATTGTTGGAAATTTACTGGCTGAATAATAAGATGAGTTAAACTATGCAAAATTTAAGAAATTCAGTGCGAGTGTAGCCAAATACAATTTTGGCAAATATTAATCTAAATTTGTTCTACATTCTCAGATGCTGCGCAATATATCGCTCATGGTGGACTCTGCCAATCTGCTAATGCAGCAATATCAGCTGCTGGTGGCCCGATTGCCACCGCCAGCAACAACGACAGCAACAACAACAACTCTTCCGGCAGCAGTCGCAGCAGCAGCAGTTCCAGTGAATTCCAGTCCAAATCCTGTCTATGATGAACCAAGCACATCGAGAGCAGCTGCAGCAAAAGTGGAGCAGACAACGCATCATCAGCTTAGTGCTGCTGCTGTAGCTGCTGCTCCGAGTAGTGTTGTCTCTGACCAAGTTACTATCGAGGATCTGGGCGCTGAGGATGATGATGATGTGGATGTGGATGTGGATGTTATGCCATCCACAGCAGACAACTGCGTCAACGTGGACAACGAGGAGAGCACAGAGCTGAGTGAGTTGCGAAAGAGACGCTTGAAATTTCTGGAGGAGCGCAACAATTCACCAACAACAACAACAACAACCACAACAATAACAACGACTACGAGTAGCGATAAAACAGATTAGAATTTGTGGAACTGAATTGAAAACAATAGCAAAAAAAGAAAGAAAAAGCAGCCCAGCTCATCCTCAGCCTCATCCGCATCCTCCCCAGCAATCAAATTAAACTCGATGTGTATTCTATGAATGGATATTGATTTAAGCTACCAAACAAATATCCTGGCGATGTATGATTTATGAATACGATGATATATCTATATATATGTAGAGAGAGAGAGAGCGTGTGGCGTGCAAAAATTCAATATATATATATATATATATATACACAATCTCGAGTTCATATATATATATATATAAATATTGTGTAAAAATTAATTTAGATATGGGGATAAACTGAAAGATTTATATTTAAAATATTATTATATGTGTATAATTAATGTGAAATATAATTAAAACGAAAAAAAGACGATGACGACATTGCTGAATTTTGATTACAAATATATATATATATAGATAGGGGTAAATAATTTAAACATATATTATTATTACTATTATTACTGCGACTACACATAGATAACAACTGTGGAACGCCGAGCGCCTCGCGCATGAAAGATCTGCATCTGCACATTGCCGGATCAAATGCGCGACTCGATTTCACGGAACTCGCCCGGATCGGTGAACCGTACAGTCAATATATAGAAGAGCGACGGAAATGGCACCAAACACAGCAACGCATAATGATAATTCAACGAGGAGATGCCAAAGGCCAGCAGCAGCCAGTGAACAGCTAAAAAAAAAAAAACGGAATATTTCAAATTCGAATTTAATAAAATTTATATACAGTGGCAAAAACGATAATAGCAACACTCTCGCTGCAAATGTATCTTTTTTGAATTGGTAAGTTTACGGAATAGTTAAAAATACGTTTTAAGAATTGTAAGACACTTAAAAAAAAGTAAGCGGGAATAAAAAACACAATTTTCTTCAACTTATTTTAGATTTCATTAAAATGAAAATTAGTAAATTAAATTTTGTAAAAAAAGGAAGGAAATTAACGCAAAAATAATAACACGATTTTTCATATGTGCATAATACAATTATGAAAATTATAAACAAATAAACGGTATTTGGAATAAATAAAAGAACATATATATGTTGAAAATAACTCCAGGAGCAATACTAACTTTAATTTACAGGGCGAATACAAAACAATATATTCAAAATCAACATTTGAAACAATTGCAAATGGTTTGATTTTTCATTCGTAAGAAAAGTGGTGCAATTATTTTTTTATTTATTTATTTATATATAACTTACAAATGATGACCACATTCTTGACATCCCACACGGAGGAGAGAAGCAGCGCCTTTTGAGTCTGATCCAGCTTCAGGGAGTAGTGTATTGCATTGGCCACCATAGACATGGCAATGCTCAAATATGGGAATGAATAATCTACAACAAAATATTAATTATATTAACTGCGCTGGGAAAATATTGATTACAATCAGAATCAAAATCCGCCTAAATGTTAAAAAGTTTTTCTTTTTTTTGGAAATATAATTAAATATAAATAAGCCTTTTTTTTAATTCCAAATATATGGCAAATTTCTAACTCTGAATGCGATATGTTTCCGAGCATAATTGACTCACAGATGAGGCCGCAGCAGGTGCCGTGAATCAAGGTGAGCAGTGGCAGAAAATAGAGAGCAGAATACATCGGCGCCTTGCCGCGCACATCCAGCATGGAGCTGATCACGGGACGAATGATGAACATATTCAGCAGACACAAAAAATAATAAACCAAGACAATTGTTTGACTGCAAAAAGAGAGATTAAAATAAATGTACCAAATTATGTTTAAATAGTTGGTACACACAGCGGATAGACGGCTTCCTGGGTGCAATGATATGCGGTCTCATAGTTGGGATTGGGATTGTAGAAGAGTGTGTACCAGTCGGTCAGTTTGCGCACCTCGCAGGCGAACAGGCGCAGCTCCCACAACGGTTCCATGAAAAGCGTTGCCAAGATTGCAGCTAATGCAACTTCGACAAATGCGCTCGCTGTCAAAATTAATTGTTTGCGCGAAAATTTGCGATCCTTAGCATCCATGTCGATGAAGAAACAGTGCATCATCAGTGGCAGCATTGTCATGAATCCCAAATATAGCCACGAATAAGTGCTTAACTCATCCCGACATGGCATGCATGCGAAACTCGCATTCACCTGAAAGAAAAACATTTCAATTTCAAATAAAACAAATTATGAATAAATTTCGAAATTACCCGTGATCCTCGTGGGCAAACGCCGCAGCTGCTCCAGCTGCCATTTTCGAGCAGCGATCGTCCACAATAAATGCCGGGGCAGCGATCCAAATAATTGTACATATTTTTATGCCACAGCGCTATTTATTTATTTATTTATTGTTGTTATTGTTCTCTTGTCACAATCTCAATCGCCGCAAATGCTTACCAACACTACTATGGTACAGCTCTGGGCACACCGAAAACATTAACATTTGCTGTAAGTTATCAGAAGCGCGCACTTATTATGGTTGTTATTTTGCAATTTACTAATAGTTAAATTAACATTTTTGAACGACTAAGTACCAATTTTATTTGCTTAAAAAAAAACAAAATCATATTAGCTTTTACCATCCCCACTTTTGTGACTATGTTATGTCAGTTAGCATAGTTCCAAACAACAGAGGCATAACAGAACAGCTGATACTTAACATTACCTATCGACTATGTCATACATAACAATTACAACGCAATTGCAGAACTATTGTTCTACACACCCACACCCCTATGCCCTAAAAATAATCGCCAATCAAGTAAAGACACCTTATCTGCATATGTCATCGATTAGCCAAACGAACCACAAACACGATGGAATGTGGTGGTCGCCCGATAGTTGCCTGAGTTGAAAGATGTTTTTTTATGTGACATCGATATTAAATTTTTGGCAGGTCGTTCATCGGCCGGCTACCAAAATTCGTCGGTCGTCACAAGTTAAAATATTTTTTAAGACCAATATTACTATTGGAAGTCGCGTAGGAAACCAAAAAACAAGAAAAACATAACGCTATATTAACTGAATAGGCAATACGCCAATACTTCAACAACAAGAACAACAACAATAATTGCAAATATTGACCACCACCAACAGAGACGCCATTTTGGCTATCGGCCGGCTGATTTGTGAAGCTTAGGAGAGCCAGCCAGCAAAAAAAAAATTGCAAAAAAAATATATAAATATATATACATAATTAGTTTTAAAATTTTGTGCTACGACAACAACTACAACTATGATATGCCCGAAACGTGTATGAGTGCAACAGTGTAAACTAATGCGTAGATTAACAAATAAAAAACGCACAGTGTTTTTAGGGCGGATGCACAAAATGGTGAGTTGTGCAAAACCAATGCGATTTGTGTGCGTGTGTGTATAGCTGCGCGTATACACATGTGTGCGTGTGAGTGTGTATTGGATATGAAAAATGTATTCAAAAAAAGAATAGAAAACGTCAAAATGTCCTGTCAAAATGCAAATACAATATGAAATGTTAACATAAAATACATATTCCAGCATTTACTGCGACTTTTCGTTATTCTGATTACACGCAAAATGCAATTTTGACCGCAGTCATCCCTGCACTTGCCCTGCCCTCTCCCTCCCTTCTACTCCACAAACTGCGCTGCAAAGTTTATGTACACATATACCCATACATATACATATGAACATATGCATATACAGTGTTGACAACGAACAATAATCGTCGCCTTTTTTTTGCACGTCAGTGTTGCCCGTTTATTTAAAATATAAACTAAAAAAAAAAGGGAACGAGCGAAGAACAAGTGCGGAAAAAGGAGCAGGCATAATAAGGATTAAAGTCAGTGGTTTTTTACGTTTTGGTTTTTGCCGTGCGTGATGTAATTTTTATTTCTTTTTCGGCTATAAGCAAAAATCTTCTTTGTTTGTCTTCGAAAGAAAAAAAAAAACAAAATAAATAAATATAAGCATGTGAAAAGAACAACGTAAAACGATAACAACAACGACAAGAACAACATTAAATTAAATTCACGGGAGAGGCGTGAATATGTATATGTATGTGTGCGTGTTAGTATTCATGTGTATGTGTGAGTATGTGGTCAGACATACATTTAACAGCGGCTCCTCAGCGCCAGCCTTTGCCCCCCTCCACCCTCTCTTCTATTAAATAATATTGATTTTTCATATTCTCAACATTGCTCGCCTCGCTCTTTTTTTTCGTTAGCTATGCGTGCGCCTGTGTGTGTGTGCGCGCGTAGATGTGTGTATTTTTTCGGTCTCCTTTTGTCGTGTATTCATTTTGCCGTTTCTTCTTTTCTCTCTTTCGTTGCAGTTTATAGATTTTTGCAAGTGTGTCCCGTTGAGGAGAAATAATGTAAACTAAATGCAGGGCGCCGCTAACAGCAGACCAACAGCAACTACAGCAAGAGTAACAGCAACAACAACAGTAGCAAGAACTAATTTTTGTTGGAATAACATTCATTGTTTCCAGTAAGAAACTAATCAAAACGAAAAAGTTTTCGTTTACCAACACACATACAGAAAGACAGACAGACAGAGAGAGGTGGCGACACAAGAAGAAGAGGAAGTAGAAGAAGCCGACGACCAACAGTGCCTCAAATGTACATTTGGCTACAAAATCAAACATAATTAACTCATTTAACAACAAAAGCAACAACGGTGGAAACAGAAGAAGAAGAAGTGCCTCTGCTCTCTTTGTCTTTCTCCTAGGACTGCCATAGCCAATAGTCAAAATAGTCAAAAGCCAAAGCCGCCCAGCGTAGACTCTTTCTATACAATTACAGGTAAAACACAATCAGCTAATAAGACAACTAGCAGAGAAGAAGAAACAATAACGGGGCTTTTGATTTGTGAGTTGAACGCTGGTGCTGCAGCCACAGGGCGAAACCACGACAACAACAATGACATTCGATACGCGCCGGGCACAAGGCAACACAGGCACAGGCCAAGCCACAACCAACAACAGCAGCAATAACAGTAATAATCCAGCTGCAACAACGGGCATAACGAGCACAGCTCAAACGGGAACAGGAACAGTCACGGGATCAGTCACTGTGCCAGCAACAGCAGTCACAATAACAACCACAACATCAACAGCAGCAATAACCGCGGCAACAACGACAACAACGAATATGATGTCCAGTGGCATTGGTGGCGACTCCAACAACAGCACCACCAACAGTCAGGAACATCTCCAAGCTACGGAGGCGACAACAGCAGCAGCTGCAGCAGCAGCCGTCGTGGATACCAGTGAGACGACTGTGTAAGTATTTAAAATAGTTACAGATTATTGTGGTCCCTGCGGAGCCTTCAGAGCTCTTCCGTCAATCCCAATTGCTTCACGAATGCGAGCAGCTTTCTATGCTCCGAATTGAAAACATGTTTTCCGGGGGGATACTACATCTTGTTTTGAGAATTATTTGGAATATTTTCAAAATTACAAAGTGGTAATAGTTGTTTCAAATTAATGTTTCTGCGTTTACTGCTTCCCACATTCTCCTAACTTTGTGTATTTTTTGAACTCTTTATATATTTATATTTAATTATAAATCTAATTAATTATATCTTCTTAATTCTTAATTAAATCTTCGGTAGCACTTTACATATTTTCATAATATACAACTCGAAAATTAGATTTGATGTTTGGGTAGTTAATTTTAAAATTTAGATTTATAATTATATTTAATATATCAAAATTATACATTTTACTTATAATTAGATATTGATTTATAGTAATATAATCCACAGTAGTTGCGTTTCGGAGCTACCCGAAGTTAGTTGCGTCATTTTCAATTTTCAATTTATCAGCTTGGATTTTTGAGATTACATGTTTTATTATTTTGTGATTGTGAAAATGTGGATATGATGAAATTAGTCTATAATATCATAAGTTTGAAAACCAAGTACATATTATATATTTATATATTAAATATTTAAATAATAGATAAATATATATGTTTACACACTTAACTTATGAAAAGAGGGGTCATCAAACACACAAAACAATGAATAAGAACTCTAGCAATAATAGCTTTATATTTGTCTTGCAACCATTTATTGTCTCAATGAGCACAATTAGCTGGCGCTATTTTGGCCAATTTTAATTGTGCTTCGATTCGAATTTCGTTGGCCTTGCCCTTATCCAGCTGTTTGTCAATTGTTTATTGTTTTAGTTTTGCGCAGTTTCTTTTTGAGAGAGTTCTGCTGTAAGAAATGCCATTAAAATATTGCTTAAATTCAATTCAATTAGTGCCCTTTTGGAAATAATTAATGTTTGTTGCGCTTGAGTTGCAGAAAGTAATTCAAATCACGAGTCTCTTTTTCACGCATATAATGTGTGTGTTTGTTTTGTGTGTATGTTAGTCGGTGATGGGCAATCTAAATAATAATTATAAACACGAATGGCGACGATAATAAAAACAAAACAAAAAACCTGGCAGAATTATCGCTTATCTACTTACGTGAAACAAGTGTGTGAATCACGCACACTCGCACACCCCAAAGATACACTCGGGAAAAATTCGATCTAAAATTTAGAAAATCGCCTTGAAAATGAAAAGCTTTTCTTGTTTTTAGAAATATAATTTTTCTTAAAATTAGAATGGTCAAATAAATTCAAAGCAAAATGTAATATTTAAATTATAAATAAAGAAATATTTATCAGATTTTTGGTGATAATTAAAGCGAAATGCTACATTTGTTGCAAACCCAATCAGAACAAAGAAATTTAGAGAATAAAAAGCTGAGTTACACTTGGCCAATTCCTAAAATTCGGCGCTACTTTTTTTTTAGGTGTAGAAACAACAAATTGACGTATTTTGTTTATTTTATTATATATAATATATCTTGTCTTGCGTATAGGTCACCGGAAAAGCTGATAGCGTCATTTCCAACGACAAAACTGCGCTCGCTGACACAGAAGATATCGAATCCGCGTTGGGTGGTTCCCGTGCTGCCCGAACAGGAGCTGGAGGTGCTGTTAAATGCCGCTATCGAATTGGCCCAAGCTGGTAAGTAAAATACCCATTTACATATCTAGTTTATATAGTGTAAAACTATCGTCTTTTAGGTGCCGATCATGACTGTGAACCATGCGTGGAATTTTATCGCAATGGTTTGACTACATCGTTTGCCAAAATCCTCACCGATGAGGCGGTCAATTCATGGAAATATAATATCCATCATTGCATTTTGGTGTCTTGTGGCAAATTGTTGCATCTGATTGCGATACATATGCAACGTGATAATCCCTATTTGCTTGATCTACTGGCGATTGTCTTCGATCCGGATAATAAGTTCAATACGTTTAATGGCGCCCGTCAACCGGAGTGTTTTGCGGCGCCCGAATGCATTTGGGGTGTGCTCGATAGCAATAAGATGTTTGCCAAATCGCCGGCAGAACCAAAACCGCCACGTGGTTGGCTCGTCGATCTCATTAATCGCTTCGGCCAGTTGGGCGGCTTTGATAATCTCCTCGAGCGTTTCAATAGCGGTTTGGAGTTGCTAAGGCGCCATCAATCCTCAGCCACAAATAAGGTGAAAGTGGAGACGGAGAATGCCGGTGGACAGGATAATCGTTTGACGTTGGCGCTGATACACAGCCTGCTGCGCCCATTTGGTCAGTGCTATGAACTCTTAACGCCAGCTACGATTGCCAAGTACTTTATGCCCACTTGGAATGTGGTCTTGGATCTGCTCGACAGTTTCACGGATGAGGAACTGAAGCGGGAGGTGAAGCCCGAGGGACGAAACGATTATATCAATGGTATTGTGAAGTCGGCCCGCTTTCTCGCCAGCCGTTTGTCTGGTCAAGAGGAATTGATACGTGATCTGGAAATGTTTCGCCTGAAGATGATATTACGTCTGCTGCAAGTGTCCAGTTTCAATGGCAAAATGAATGCACTGAATGAGATTAATAAAGTGCTCTCCTCCGTCGCTTACTATTCGCATCGATCGCAACCGTTGCCCCACAATCTGCCCGAGGATGAAATGGATTGGTTGACAGCGGAGCGCATGGCCCAGTGGATCAAGTCATCCGATGTGCTGGGTATTGTGCTCAAGGACTCACTGCATCAGCCCCAGTATGTGGAGAAGCTGGAGAAGATTATACGTTTTCTGATCAAGGAGCAGGCGCTAACGCTCGACGATTTGGATGCAGTGTGGCGTGCACAGGCGGGCAAACATGAGGCAATCGTTAAGAATATGCACGATCTGTTAGCCAAGTTAGCCTGGGATTTTACGCCCGAGCAGCTCGATCATCTCTTCGAGGCATTTCAGGTGAGACGAGCAGTGCAATTTGATCTCAATTATCTTTATTAATCTTATCTTCACAATGCAGGCCAGCATGACGACGGCGAATAAGCGTCAGAGGGAACGTTTGCTGGAGCTAATACGCCGTCTCGCCGAGGACGATAAGAATGGCGTGATGGCGCAGAAGGTGCTGAAGCTCTTCTGGACGCTCGCCCACTCGCAGGAAGTGCCGCCCGAGGTGCTCGATCAGGCGTTGGGCGCCCACGTCAAAATACTCGACTACAGTTGCTCGCAGGAGCGAGATGCCCAGAAGACCATTTGGCTGGACAAGTGCGTCGGTGAACTTAAATCCGGTGATTCTTGGGTTTTGCCCGCTTTGCGTTTAATTCGCGATATTTGCTGTTTGTACGATATGACGCCGAATCATGCGCCACGCACCCAGACGGGCACTAATCGGCTCCAGGTCATTGAACGACTCCAAAATGATTATTCGTTGGTGATCCTCGTCACAAATAGTTTGACGGCGTATATGGAAAAGGTGCGCTCCTTGGTCAATGAGACGCCCACCTTGGATGCGGCAACAATTCTGATCGATGGCCGTTTTCCGCATCATGCACAGATTGCGGAACGTTTGGAGTTCCTGAAATTTTTGCTAAAGGATGGTCAGCTCTGGCTCTGTGCCGATCAGGTGCGTTATTCCCTCTATTTATTTAGTTTTATTTATAACTTAATTGTTTCAGGCGAAACAAATTTGGCATTGTTTGGCTGTGAATGCCGTTTTTACGGCAGATCGTGAGGAATGTTTCCGCTGGTTCGGCAAACTGATGGGCGAGGAACCGGATCTCGATCCCGGAATCAATAAGGATTTCTTTGAGAATAACATACTGCAATTGGATCCACATTTGCTCACAGAGAGTGGCATCAAGTGTTTTGAGCGTTTCTTCAAGGCTGTCAATTCCAAGGAGGATAAGCTGAAGGCCATTCATCGTGGTTATATCTTGGATAATGAGGATTTGATTGGCAAGGATTATTTGTGGCGTGTCATAACTACAGGTGGCGAAGAGATTGCCAACAAGGCCATCGATCTGCTCAAAGAGGTTTCCACGGCGTTGGGGCCACGTTTGCAGGAGCATATCACCGAATTCCACGAGATGTTCATTGGCGAATGTTGTTCCCGTTTGCGCACTCATTATAGCAATATCCTGATATTGGGCAAAACCATGCTCGTCGAGGATAATGCCGAGAATAATGCGGCCAATGATGAGTCCAAGGACAGTAAAATGCGTTATATTGAGGCGGAGAAAATGTGTCGCATCATCAAGGTGCTGCAGGAGTACATTAAGGAATGTGATCGTTCCTTTAGCGGTGATCGCATTCATTTGCCCCTGAGTCGTGTGACGCGTGGCAAGAACACTAGTCTCTACATACGTTTCCAGACGCCCGGACGACCCATCGATGACCTCGAAATTGTTACGCATAGCAATGAAACAATGGCCGCATTCAAGCGTAATCTTCTCAAGCGCATCAAGGGCAATAATAGTTCCTCCTCATCGACGACCAACTCGAATGCGACGACCAACATCAAAGTGGATCTCTTCTATACGAATGGTGAACTGATCGAAATCACCGATGAAATCAACCCACTCTATCAATACACCATACGCGACAAGATGATATTGACGGCGAAGTTGACACCAGTGGGCATTGGCCTCGCCAGCAGTCCCGATTCATCGAGCGATTCGAGCACTGGTTCACCACCCAGACCCTGTCCGGATATGCAACGTGTCGAATCGGAGTCGACGCTGCCCGGTGTGATTATCTCCCAGAACTATCAATACACCGAATTCTTTCTCAAACTGTATCAGCTGGGTAGTGATCTAGAGCATGGTCGTCTGCGGGATAGCGCCAAGGTGCTGTTGCATCTGTTGCCCTGCGATCGACACACAATGCGACAGCTGCAACTGATGTGTCGTGTGCCCAAGTCAACCGCCAGCACCGGTGATGGACCCAAGGAACCGGAGGATGTCGGCGGTGATGCTGCTCTCAACGCTGATGATTGCACGCCGGAGCAAATGTTTCTGCACCCGGCGCCAGCGCAGGTGCTCTACAATTTGAGTGTGCTCCATGGCCTGCTAATACCCGCTTTGGATCCACTCGGGGAGGCAGCACTCCAAGTGCAATCTTCGTGGATGCATTCGGGCTGTGCGCATTTTGTGCTGGAATTGCTGACGAAAAACAATTTTCTGCCCAATGCCGATATGCATACGAAGCGCGCCTCGTTCCAGGGTGTGCTGCGACTGGCCAAACTCTTCCTCTACATTGTGGGCAGTGTGTTGTCGCGTGTCGGCGATGAGCCCATGATTTGTGACTATGATAATGGCGCCCGGTCTCAGGTGGATATACTCAAACAGAACTTTTCCACAATGCCGAATAATGCACAGGGCACGTTGCATGCAATTTCCGCCAAGCTGGCGGAGATTCTCGCCACCGAGATGCTTTCCGCGAGTCACGAAGGTGAACGTTGTCGTGCCTTGTTTAGTTCAACGTTGCAATGGTCCTGTCCAGATATTAGCACCATTAAAGCGGTCGTCCAATTGGCCTGGGCCTCATCGTGTGGCAACTTGCAGGCGCTGGGCAGTTGCAGCAATAATAGCAACAAAAGCGCCGACTTCGAGGATGATGCCATTGTGCCGGATGGTCAGGATTTTAGCATGTGCAAGGAGGCACTCGAAGTGATGACCATTTCCTTCATACTCAATCCCAGTGCAAATGAGGCGCTGAGTAACGATGCCAATTGGCCTAAGTTTATTACATCCATTGTGCTGAAGAATCCGATGCGACATGTGCGTCAAGTTGCCTCCGAACAATTGTTTTTGGCCTCCACTTATTGTGCCGGGGATCGTCGTCCCTTTGTCTATATGGTCAATTTGTTGGTGAGCGCGTTGAAAACGTTGGTGCCACAATATGAGGCAACGTGTGCGGAGTTCTTTTCGATACTGTGTCGGACTTTGGCCTACGGCTGCATCTACAATTGGCCACTGCAAATTGGCGAACATTTGCTCGGTGATGAGATTAAATGGTTGCGTAAAATACGCGAGAATGTCAAAATCACTGGCGATACTCAGGTGCACGAGGAGTTGTTGGAGGGTCATCTGTGTCTGGCCAAGGAGTTGATGTTCTTCCTCATGCCCGATTCTAAGGCACAGCTGAATGAACTTATCCATGAGCTCATCGATGACTTTCTGTTTACGGCCTCGCGCGAATATCTGCATTTACGCAAGCATGGCAGTCTGCGAATGGACACCGTGCCACCTCCCGTCTGCCGCAGTCCGCATACAATTGCGGCCGCTTGTGATCTCCTCATCGCTCTGTGCCAGCTCTGTGTTCCTAATATGAAGCTACTCACCAACACACTCATCGATTTCGTTTGCACGGGTAAGTCGCACATAACAATAATAATAATAATAATATTTACGAAAGTTGCATAAGATTGAGTGCGGTGCAGACATAATTAATATTTATTCGGGTTCAGTCTGAGGAGTGCTCGATCGTTATGTCCACATCCGACTTTCTGCTAAACTCCCATCAATTCTCAAATCTATAAAACATAGAAACATCAAGCAGAGTCTTCCAAACCAGATATTTTATTGGATATTGGTTTTAATTCATAATATTTATCCTAATTATAGAAATCAAATATTTTTGGATTAGAACTGTGTACGAATGGGCTGTGTGTTTATATTATTGAACAGCATTAAAGGACAAATTTAGATATCCGTGTCCCTGAATGTAAACAGACACAACAAGAGCTAAAGAATATCAGTTCTCGTTTACCATACGCAGATCAACATATTATTGACCAGCTGACAAATTTCATTAAGGTTTGCAAAGAAATGCAGATTTATTTGAACAAAAACGTATTTTCATAAACCATTACCAGCAAACCTGCTATATAAATTTATAGCTGACTTAAAAATGTATAACGATCGAATAATACACAAAAGTTAGTAAAAATTTAAATTTGCAAAGTCTAAATATCTGTATAAACTAGATACCGATCTCGGCCCAAGCACTCTTTTTAATCACCTATCATTGTCTACAATTTATATTCAGATTTCTTAGTCGATTGTTAATATCTGTACAATCTAATAATTTATTATTATTGTTAATATAATTACCATTTTAGATACGGATCCGTTGCGCGAATGGGATTATTGGCCGCCGGTTGGAGCACGGGCAGCGAAAGGTTTCTGTGGCCTGAAGAATGCGGGTGCCACATGCTACATGAACTCGGTGCTGCAACAGCTGTATATGGTGCCCGCTGTGCGTGTGGGTATCCTCAAGGCGCACGGTGCCGCCACCAATGACAACGAAGACTTTAGCGGCGACTCCGATTTAAATAGCAGCGGCAACAACAGCAGTGGCGCCAATCTGGGCCCCTCGTTCTTTGGACCCGCCCCAATGCCCACGCTTGCATCAACATCATCGGCGGCATCGACGTCCCTGGATGATGCCACTGGTGGTGCCTCCGATGTGCGCAAAAATTACCATGTGGTCATCTTAAAGCATGTGCAGGCCATATTCGCCCACTTGGGGCACAGTGCGTTGCAGTTTTATGTGCCACGCGGCCTCTGGACGCACTTCAAGTGAGTTAAAGTTATCTTCAAAACAAATTCAACATATTAGTTTCTAGAGCTATTCTAGTCGCCCCTGGCCTCTACCGCAGGGCAATCACCTGGGTCTATCCCCTTTTTACCTCTTAACGAACTTCCTTCTGTTGTATTGTATTCTTACGTACTACTATACGCAGATGACGTCAAGCTGTGCCTGACATTAAATGATATGACCTCTCAATGTAAAAAGAATTTGCTGCAATTGAATTGCTCTAAGTGCAAGGTCATCTCATTTGATCGAAACTCTCTCCAGACTGTTAGTTGCTCGCTCGACGGGTTGCCACTTGATGGATTGAGTAAAAAAAATTTAATAATTACTTCTTGACCATAAATTAAAACGCGATGGTCATATTAATTTCAATGTCAAAAAAGACTTTCAAGTTTTTTTTTTCCCCAAAGGAGTTTTATAACCCTTATATTCAATACTCGGTTCCAATCCAGATTGGACTATGTACAACATTTTTTGTTACTGTTTGCCCTTCGTTGCTACGTCTGGGTTGTACTGTCTCCATCCATAGGCAGACTTTTCCTTAATTACTTTTCCTATGTTTGTAGTTAAATGGCTACATGGTAAAATCGATTTTGCTGCGTTAATGAGCCAAACTATTTTCTGTTCCCGATCGAGATCTAACCGTTTACTTTACACACTTTCTCTTAATCGCTTTACTAATTAATAATAAATTACGTCTTTTTCGACTACTCTGTAATGAATACAATGGACTTTAACATGTAATCAATTCAAAGTTCTCTGTTTCTATCATAATTATAAATTAACCTCTTATTAGCTACCTTGTTTGGTCTCATTGGGATTTCTGGGGTTTTCCCCTATCCACCAACAAATGTAGATGCATTTTGCATTTAAATACCACCAGAATTCTATTGTCTCATAAATATTTCTGAATTTTTAATTTAAATTATAATATTGCATATATATTATAATACATCTATTTTGTACTTTATGTATTATTTTTGTTGACATTAATTATTAATATTAATAAGTAAATGATAATAATAAACACCATATTTCTATTAAAATAGATTACAAGGCGAGCCAGTGAATTTACGCGAACAACAGGATGCCGTTGAGTTCTTCATGTCGCTGTTCGAGAGCCTCGATGAGGGTCTGAAGGCGTTGGGCTACACGCAACTGATGAATGCAACGTTGGGCGGCTCGTTTAGCGATCAGAAGATATGCCAAGAGTGCCCACATCGCTACTCCAAAGAGGAACCATTTAGCGTATTTAGTGTTGATATTAGGAATCATAGCTCATTAACCGAATCTCTGGAGCAGTATGTCAAGGGAGAGCTGCTCGAGGGAGCTGATGCATACCATTGTGATAAATGTGATAAAAAAGTAAGTTTCAATAGGCAATCTTTCTATTCAAGATTCTTATAATGTTAACATCTCTTTGGTGCCCCTCAGGTAGTTACCATTAAGCGGCTATGCGTGAAGAAACTGCCGCCCGTGTTAGCCATACAATTGAAACGCTTTGAATACGACTACGAGCGCGTTTGTGCGATTAAGTTTAATGATTATTTTGAATTTCCGCGTATACTCGATATGGAGCCCTACACAGGTGAGATTTGCAGCACTTGTTGAAAATAATATCACTATTATCGACACTGTTCGTGTTTTCCATCAGGTTAGCTCAAATTGTAAAAAGCGCATTTGTTTTAATTAGTTCCTAGACACAGAATATACAATTTTATTATAAAAAAATGAACTAGTAAGTTAAAAATCATAATTTATTTGTGTTAAATTGGAGACAAAATGCAAAAAACATGAAGCACTTGGCAGAAAGACAGTTTTATTAAATTTACTAGACAAAAGATTAGAAAAGTTTAGGTAGAAACCTGATCTTTAAGTCAAAAATATAATTTGAAATACCCCGACACAAGTAATTGCAACTCGCATTAAAGCCCTAAACGCCAAATCTGGCGACCATATTTTTCTACAACATTTAGCTTAATTTATTTTGTATGGTGTGCAAAAGGTTGTTGATGTTGCCTATTCACATGGTTTGAAATGCCTGAGATACCTTAAGAACCTTGAGACTGCTAGTCAAATATATTTGTATACTACATAGATATTAAATGTTTGACCTCCTCAGCATTTAATTATGATATATACAAATAATCGCACTACATCAAATAAAAAATGATGTCTTTCAGAAATTTGATTTTTTAAGTATCGTAATAAACAAACTGATAAAACTGTTGTTCCAATTAAAACATAAAGTCCATGAAATTCGGTTGCCATATAAAAAGTAGAGCAATAAACGCATACCAGCAAAAGAGCTGGGAAGTGTTTTGCAGGACCATTTGCTTGACGTCATATTTAAAACCAAACGAAAGTCTTTTGGCTGTCACTAAAAATTTTATGTAGAAGGAATAATGATGAGCTTTGGGTTGTTGTTCATGATGCATGGCGCCGAATTTCCAATAAATTAAGCAAAGACATACTCGACTCCATGGGGGTAATTTAACAAAACATTAAAGCAGAAGCTGCAAGGCTAAGAACGAAGAGGAATAATATTTATTTTCTTACTCATAAGCTGATTAATTTGGAGTAAGTAATATATTAATTAAATATTACTGTTTTTTATTTTAGTTTCCGGCCTAGCTAAGCTAGAGGGCGAAGTTGTGGAAGTGGGTGATAATTGTCAAACAAGTGTTGAAACAACAAAATACGAACTGACCGGCATTGTGGTGCACAGCGGGCAGGCATCCGGTGGCCACTACTTCAGCTACATAGTCTCCAAGTAAGCATTAGCTAATACCCAATTATCAATATATAGTTGTTAATTAATTGATTGCCTTTTGCAGAAATCCTGCGAATGGCAAGTGTCAGTGGTACAAGTTCGATGATGGCGAGGTAACCGAATGCAAAATGCACGAGGATGAGGAAATGAAATTACAATGCTTCGGCGGCGACTATATGGGCGAGATCTACGACAACAATCTGAAGCGGATGCAATATCGCCGTCAGAAGCGCTGGTGGAATGCCTATATGCTATTTTATACGCGCTGCGATCAGAATCCCAAACAGTTTGAGACCAGCGTCGAGCAGTTGTCGCTAACCGAGAGTCGCAATGTGGTGCTGCCGCTACCAAAGCCAATCGAACGCAGCGTTAGGTGCGTCATATTTTTATAAATATATATATATATATTGTCGATATCTTATAATCTCTTTAACTCATTCGCTTGCAGACATCAGAATATTCGTTTTCTGCATTCGCGCAGCATTTTCTCGGTGGAGTTTTTCAATTTCATTAAAAAGCTGGTCAGTTGCAGTATTCCTTCGACGCGCAGCGATAAGATTGTAAGTTGTACACTAAACTAATTCACTCAGAAAAAAAATATTATTTATTAGAAATACTTTTGCTGAGTTTACTTTTTAACAATTTGTTTTTTGCCCTGCCAGACACCCGCTGCTGAGGAGCTATCGCTGCTGGGCGTGCAATTGGCATCACAATTTTTGTTCCACACTGGATTTCGCACAAGGAAATCGCTGCGTGGTCCCGTCATCGAATGGTGAGTTGTAAGAGGACAATAATGGATATTTATTATTATTATTGCTGGGTGGTTTCATGTAGTGCGAGCTGTTAGCTCTATCGTGCTCTCTGCTGAGGCTTAGCTTTACCATTAATTCCAATTCCTGCACAAATTTGGGAATCTCTGTAATATTTAGGGTTTCTATGTGCTGCGCATTTAAAACATGTTTTCCTTTGGGATACTACATCTTTTGCCAGGTATGTGATGTGCTTTGAGAATTCTTTCTCAATGAGAGAGGTCACTGCTGACTTTACCCAGTTCAATTAGTTAACTTCTTAGTCAACTTTTTTGTTCTGTCCAGAGATCAGTTGCTTTAATCGCTTTTGATTATAGCTGTCTACAAGACAGGCTTGGCTTAGACCTTATCTGGTGCCTCTGTCTGCCTTAAATTCCAGCTTTGCTCTTAAGTCGTTACCGTCTTCCTATGGCACAATATGGTTATACTTCTTTTAGGCGTCTGTCTGCACCACGTTCTCTGAAGCTGCTGCTTAAGCATATATTATTATTGGTGAAGTTCACCCTAAAGGCTGGCTTCGGCTATGATTACGCCACCATAATGTTTCATTATTTATTATGCAATATTTATTTATTGATTATTTTCTTATTTGCAGGTATGACACGCTTTCACATCACATACGTTCCTCGTCGCTGGTGCGCAAATGGTTTGCGAATCATGCGCTGCTCTCGCCCCCATCGCGTTTGGGCGAATATATATTGATGGCACCATCGCCAGAGGTGCGCACCGTGTTCGTCAAGCTGGTTGTGTTCTTTTGCCATTTTGCCATCAATGATGAGCCGCTCGTTGGCTATGAGGGCAGCAATCTGTGCGAACAGGTCCTGATCAGTGTGCTCCGTCTGCTCAAATCTGAGGCGGCTGACTATGGCAAGCATTTACCGCACTACTTTAGCCTCTTCAGCATGTATGTGGGCCTGGGCACACGCGAGAAGCAGCAGCTACTCAAGGTAATCGCTAATCTCCTCAATAATTGTATTCCATTGCTAATATGTATAATTTTTCCAGCTGAACGTGCCCGTCCAGTTTATGCAGGTGGCCATGGATGACGGACCCGGTCCATCGATTAAGTATCAGTATCCCGAGTTCAGTAAGCTGCATCAGGTTGTCTCGCATCTGGTGCGTTGCAGCGATGTCAGCGATAAATGCCAGAGCTCCAATCAGAATGGTCGACCACTGCCCAATCCGTACAAGGATGCGAGCATTGCCCAGGAGGAGATGACGCCGCTCTCCAGTGAGTGCATGGATATACTCTTCAATCGCACCAGGTAAGTCATAACTATATCATCTACAATCGTAGACAAAATAATAGTTACAAATAGTTCAAATATATTTAGCAAATATTATTTGAACAAAAGCTATCAATATTAAAGACAACATTGCAAGTTGGGATAGCTATAATATTGTTACTACAAAATTAAATCTTTGATTTTATCACAAATAATAGGAGTGAAAATTTATTATTATTAAATTGTGATAATTTAGTTAAGTACGTATAATCTCAGAAACTATTAATAAACTCGTACAGCTTTAAATATTTCGACACTTGGCTGAAAACAGCCCAAAATAGAAGATAAACAAAAAGGAATAGATAAAATGGAGTGTGAGGAGATATATCGAAGAGTAAAATGCTGCAAAGGATGAATATAATGCTCAATGAATATAAAGTTTTTGTATTTTATTATTATTTTGATTTCATCTGTAAGTACACAAAAAAAAGCTTATTAACTTTTGTTATTTTTTTGTTACTCGCTTGCAGCTACATCAAAAAGGTGATCGAGGACACCAATGTGGGCGATGAGGGATTGAAACTGTTGCAGTATTGCAGCTGGGAGAATCCACACTTCTCGCGTGCCGTGCTCACTGAACTGTTGTGGCAATGTGGCTATGCCTATTGCCACGATATGCGGCACCACACAGATTTGCTGCTGAACATCCTATTGATTGAGGATTCGTGGCAACATCATCGCATCCACAATGCACTCAATGGTGTCGCCGAGGAGCGCGAGGGTCTGTTGGACACGATACAGCGGGCGAAGACGCATTATCAGAAGCGTGCCTATCAAATAATCAAATGTTTAACGCAACTGTTCCACAAGTCACCGATAGCGTTGCAAATGTTGAACACAAATCCAACAATTAGTCGGCATTGGAGCGTGGCCGTTGAATGGCTGCAGGATGAGCTGGAACGACAACGTGGCATTGGCTGCCAATACAACTCCTATTCGTGGTCACCGCCCGCGCAGAGCAATGATAATACCAATGGCTATATGCTGGAACGTTCGCAATCGGCCAAGAACACATGGTCGATGGCCTACGAACTGTGCCCGGAGGAGGTGAGCGAGAAACCAACGTCGACGGTGCCTATTCAAAAATAAAAAACTACAACTCTTAAAATAAACATACTAAATAACAATAACTTCTTTCTCCCTTGTGTTGCCCAGCAGGATCAGGAGGAGAACAACGAGTCCGATTTGGAGTCCAACGATGACAACAAACAGCAAACGGAGCAGCAAGCAACCGCAGCAGCAACGCCAGCTGCAACTGCAATTGGGACGGATGCAACAACGCTCAATGAGCAGCCGGATAATAAACTAACAACGACGATCATCCCAACAATTGGTGGCTGGCCGGGACCGGCACCCAGCTCATCAACGCCAACCTCAGCGTCAACGCTGCCAGCGGGCACCTGCTCCAGCTCCACCTCTTCCTCGGATGTTGTTGGTGGCAGTGGCAAGTCGAGACTCTCGCGTCAACTGTTCAACGCCTATGCCTCGACGGGTGGCGTAAATGTGGCAGCAACAAGTGCCGGTGGCAGCGGCGGCAACAGTGAAACCGAGAGCAGTGCCCAGGAGACGGGCGGCAACAACACGGAGTCCAACATAAATGGACTCACCAATAGCTTGGATCACATTAAAATCTCCATGGAAAAGGTAGATTAGAACTCAGTTAAGGTTAAGGTTTAGTTTATGTTTGTATTTTTAGTTGGTAGTTCTCCCGGTTAGAAGAGTTCCTCTTACAAAACAAACTACACTTTTACAATTTTTACACTTGACAACAGACAACATGTGGTACAAATCATGGTGTAACTATATAAAGTTGGTGGCAAGACAATAATGCCTCTCATTTTCGAGCTAACAAACCTGACTTGAGTTGTTAAGGCTCAGCTTGATCGAGAAGGCCGATTGTTATACCCTTTGAAACCATTGAAACGGTTTAAAATGCTAATTCCAAAAGCATATTTTGTAAACAGAAATCAGTGCACTGCGAGAAGGCCTATATTTGTGTGTGCAAAACTTATTCAAATAAAATTTTGGCAATAGAACTAAATTATTTTGAACAACTGAGTGCAGGGTATATCTTAGTCGAAGTCAATCGACAACTGCATTCTTTGTGTTAGTATTTTTAAAGATTTATTGCTTCAATTTTGATTTGAACTCCCCGCTAAATGCGATTCCCTTTCGCATTCAGCAAGTATACTTATTAAATTGTCATGTTATCTCTTTTGTGCTCGCTCTTAAGACTGGTATCTCAAAATGTCACCACTTATATATATACACCATGTGGTAAACAAATTGTTCTAATTTCTTTCTTTCTCTCTGTATTTCAACAACTATGCGAATGAAACTCTTCTTCTTCTCCACCTCTTCTTCGATGTTTTGCTATGTCATTTTTGTTGTCCCCCCTCTCCCCCCACTACCTATGCTTCTGTGCGCAGGGCAGCCGAAATCGTATGAATCGTGGAGGTAAATTGCCGCCGGCAGCGGAGCTTTTAATGCCGCCATTGCAACAACAACAACAGCAACCGAAACAACTACAAAAACATCAACTACAGCTACAACTACAACCAAAACAACAACAACAACAGCAGCAGCAACAACAACAACGTGGTGATATTAGCAACAACAGTTCGAACAGCCGCTTAATTTGATTTGCCGCCAAGTTAGTTAGAGTTGTTCAATTTTTAATTCGTTTTGAACCCAACAACGCCCACAATTGTAAACTTGTTTTCCTTTTTTTTTGTTGTAATACAAGTATATAAATATATATATATATACATCACATATATATATATATATATATATATATATATATATATATATATATATATATATATATATATATATATATATATATTGACACGTTTGTTATGCGCCACATTTAATACTCGAGTTTTCTAGCTTTTTTCCAGCTAAAATTGCTTCAGGCACACAACACTGACACACACACACACACACACACACATCTGTACATATATCTAGCCATGCACACACTTAGCTGTTTTCTGCTTACAAAAGCGCACTCAAAAGTGTTGCACGCGCCTCGTTTGCGTTTCTATCCACCGCAACAAAAATTGAAGAAAAAGTTTTATCAACACTTATTTTTCATTCGTTTTGTCTTGTTCTTTTCATTTAATAGCAGTCGTCGCATCGGAAAGAGCGAAGAAGGTCATTGAAGAAAAAGATTGTGTTTGGAAATGCGGAAGAGGAGGAGGAGGAGGAGGAGGAAGCCGACGAAATGGTAACAACAACAGAGGCAACAACAACTACAGCAGCACCAACAACAGTGTCTAGCGTCACAACAGCAACAACAACAACAGGAACAACAGCAGCGGTAACAGTTGCTGTTGACTCCACAACAACAGCACTAATAACATTAACAGACACAACAACAACGGCAGCCAATAACATAACAGCAGCGACAACATCCACAGCAACAACAACGGGAGCGGCTAAGCTCAACTCAACAGTGGAAAAAAACTTAATTTAAAAAAAATGCATGAAAAACCAACTGAAACGTTTTTTTGCAATAAAAAATAAAATACTAATCGCAAAAATGAATAATAACAATATTAACAACAACAATAACAACTTGTGAGCAACCAACAAATGGTTTTTAGTGGGGCAACAAATATTTAAAAACAGAGAGAGACTTAAAATTAAAAAAAAAAAATAACATTTAACAGCCACAAAAGCGCTTAAAACAGCAAAAACAATAAGCGATAAGCGATAAACAATAAACGATTAAATAGGACGAAGTCAGAGGCGGGCAGAGCAAGAGGAACAGAATAAAGTATGGGAAAAATATATAGGAATTATTAAGTGAACAGAAATGGTGTTTAAATAGTTATCGTACTTTATAATTAACTAAAAACAAAAATTACAAAAATTGACTCACAAAAAAAAAACATTACCCCCTTTCCCCTGGTTTAAGTTGCACGAAATATGATTGTATTTATATATAGTATATATAAATGATGTATTACGCATTGAAAGCGAGCAATCTAAACAACTGGAACTAACAAAAATAATATTTAAAAAAAACAATACACAAATACATACAAACATAAATACATACATACAAATTACATATTTAGGTAAGAAAGTAAAAAAAAACGGCAGTTTTGTTGTCTGAAAAAGGCTCAGCTGGAAACAATTTTTGATTAAGGCAAGCAACAAAAATTAACAAACCAAATTGCATCTACTCATGCCACATGCCACAAGTGTCGCCCCCTCAAAGCGTTTCCCCAAAAATCCGTTGAAATACGAAAGAAAAATATATATATATATGAAATTTAAAAAAAAACAGTATAAAAACTTCAGAGATGATAGACAAATGTGGACTATATAAAAAAATGAAAAAACAAGAAAAAATAAAAAAAGAGAGAGCATAAAGTAAACTTGATTATGTTTATACTAAGTATATATATATATATTTTTAATTATTTAGTGTTTTTTGTATTAAGTGAAATTTGTTAAACATTTATTAAATTATTATGTTTTAAGTTGCAAAATAAACACGAAATGTAAGCGAATAATTATCCATTCATTATTGTTTTTTACAATCACAGCAACAACAATAGAAAAATTTGAAAAAAATCTAAGAACAAAAAACAAAAAAACCTGTTACTGTATTTTAATTTACATATTTACATATGTATGCCTGTGAAGTGATTGATGAATGCATTAATTGAATAAATCAAAACTACATTTTTTTTTCTAATTTTTATCAAATTTTGAAATATATATGTGAGATATGTTTTGGGACTTTTTTTTATATATTTATATGGCATAAATTGGGCATAGTTCAGGGGCACTGGAAAGTTGATGTATTTTAAAGCATACTCTTGGGCTGCATAATTAAATGCAGAAATAAATAATGTAGCATACTGTTTTGGCTTAGTTAAATGGGCATTTGATTTTCGATGTAACATTTTAAAGCATACCCAATCAATTGGCGTTTAAGATCAAGAGTCTAAAATCCAAACCCTTACAGTATTTCAGTCGAAGTTCGAATGGAACCGTGCCAAAAAAACACAACGTCCTCGACCAACAACCTTGCGAATTTTTTTAGGTAGCTAGTATTTAAAGCACTTTGAGTGGTTCATGAGACAAATAATAAACCCATTTCTTTTAATGTGAACGTTACAAAAAAACAAAACAATTCTCCATTAAATGGAAATATTTACGCTTAAAACTAATAAATGCACATGGTTCAAACTTAAATCTGATCAAGGATCAATTAAAAGCACAGTAACAAATGTAAAAGAATTCAAATGCTGTGCATAAATGCAACAAATTTCCCAATATCTCCAGTCGAATCACATATCCTCCTTTGGTTCCTCATCAACAAAGGTGATGACAGCTGCACCCTTGGCCAAATTGTCGCCTTCGGCGCCACCAACGGACTTGATGGTCGCATCCTTGGGCGCCTTCAAAATGTGTTCCATTTTCATGGCTAAAAAATAAAGCTGTTTAGCCCACAAATCATGTTATATTATTATCTTTCTCATACCTATAAGCACAGCGAGACTGTCGCCCTTCTTAACCTTATCGCCAGGCTTAACCAGCAGCTTCTCCAGTACACCAGGCATGGGTGCAATCACTCGGGAGCCACCGCTACCCAGCTGATCCGACTGGGCGCTCAGGAACTTGGGCTGCACCAGCTCTAAATCCAATTTGCCATTCTAAGCGAGAAATTTAACAAACATAAGTTTAATAAACAAGAGTTTCTCGTAAGGAGACTTACCTCCAGGAAGAGTGTCAGATTTGCGCCATCAATGTTGGCGTTGTATGTAGAAATATTATTGTCGATATTGGCCCGGATTTTCAAGCGTTTTCCTTGCTCAACACGCTCGGCTTTAATCACTTGCCAAGCGCCGCCATCGACACGAATTTCGATGTCGCCAGCATCATACTTGACTTCCACGGCGTAAACTAAAATTAAACAAAGAATGAGCATCTAAACTTATTCAGCGTGATTTAAATACCTTTGTCATTTGTCTTCAAATTGTATCTGCGAATTAGCGCGTAATTTAGACGCATATTTGTGGCAGCCGCAAAGGGATCCTGGTTGCCGCTTGCATTGCTGCTGGCAGCCTGCAACTCATTGAAGATCAATGCGAGTGCAGCTTGGCTCAGTTGCTGCTCCTTGACGACAATTGGGGGAAAGAGTGTGTCAAAGTGCTCATCAATGAAACCAGTGTGCACATTGGCCAGCTGGAACTCCTGATGCGAGGCCAGATCGATGAGGAAGTTGATGTTTGTATCGAGACCAAAAATCTTCAAAACAGATATAATCAATATATGTATATTAATATAATGGCTTTTTTTGTTGGATATATTGGCTATTATTCCATTATTTTTTATTATTATTTCTATATAATAGAAGCTCTAATTTTTAGAAACAAGAAATGAGAGTAAAATTAAAAACATCTTAGAAAAAAAAAATGCACCCGGAACAGTCTCTGCGAGAGAGAAAGAATCCTCAAGACACGTGAAAGCAGAGTGCTTGAAGTGTAGTGTGCCGGAGAAATATGTTTTAAGTACGGAGACCGACAACAAGACGACAAAGATTTGCACATTCGCGGAGTAATTAGGATTGATCAGTTTCAGCAGTGGACACAATAGAGCTAGCAGCCACCCATAATAATAATATAAAGGATACACCCAATCTCACCCATACTCACATGATACTCGCCCAGGCGTGCAATTAGAGAGTTGAGCGCCTGCGTGCGATTCTCGCCCCAGACAACCAGCTTGGCAATCATGGGATCGTAGTGGACAGAGACTTCATCGCCCTCTCGGACGCCCGTCTCCACACGGACATCAGCACTGGGCTCGGGGGTGCTCAAATAGCGCAGAGGTCCAGCGCCGGGCAGGAAACCACCACGTGGATTCTCCGCATAGATGCGTGCCTCGAAGGCGTGTCCCCGTCGCAAGATCTGCGATTGAGTCAGTGGCAATGGTTCGCCAGCAGCCACACGAATTTGCCACTCGACCAGATCGGTGCCGGTTATCATCTCGGAGATGGGATGCTCCACTTGGAGGCGCGTGTTCATCTCCATAAAGTGAAAGGAGAGATCCTCCTTGTCCAGTATAAACTCAACGGTGCCGGCACCAACATAGCCCACAGCTTTGGCAGCGCGCACAGCAGCCTCGCCCAGCTCGCGACGCAGCTCCTCCGACAGGCCAGGCTGCAAAAGGAAGTGGTGAAGTTATAGTTGCGAAAAAATAATTAGATATATACTATATATGATGAAAAGTGTCCTTTGTCAGAGTGGTTCTATTATTTCTTGATATATGTACAGATAAAGACGGCTTACCGCTGGCGCCTCCTCGATGATTTTCTGATGACGCCGCTGCACGGAACAGTCTCGTTCCCACAGATAAACCGCATCGCCGTACTGATCTGCAAAGACCTGAACCTCAACGTGGCGTGGAGAGCGCACATAGCGCTCCAGCAGCACAGAGCTGTCCCCGAAGGACTTTAAAGATTCGGTGCGTGCTGAGTTCAAAGCGCCGAGAAAATCTTCCGGTTTCTCAGCGATTCTCATGCCTTTGCCGCCACCGCCGCGCACCGCTTTGATCATCAGCGGGAAACCAATAATTTTGGCCTCTGCCTGGAGACACTCATCGGACTGATCGTCGCCATGATACCCATTAATGATGGGCACACCGGCAGCAGCCATAATCGCTTTGCTGGTGCTCTTGATGCCCATATCTCGTATGGCTGAACTTGGGGGTCCCATAAAGATGACACCCTCTTTTTGGCACAGCTCTGCGAATTCCACGGACTCCGAGAGGAAACCATAGCCGGGATGTATAGCTTGGGCACCAGATCTTTTAGCTATTTCCAGGATGCGCTCGCCACGCAAGTACGATGAATTCGAGGCGGCTTCTCCCACGCGATAAGCTTCATCGGCCATTTCTGTGTGCAGACTGTGTTCGTCCGGATCCGAATAGACGGCAACGGTGCGCACGCCCAGCTTCCGTGCTGTGCGTATTACACGACATGCTATCTCTCCACGATTCGAGATCACTATTTTATTAATGGGTTGCACTTTTGGCGTGGCTTGTGTGGCCAGGCACCTGCAAAGTATACAAAATGTTTATGTAACACTTGACAACAAAATATAAGCAGATATTCTCCATTTGTGAACTGTTTTGTTAGAGTTTAATACCTGACACCGTTGCCGAAATGCTGCAAAAGTCTTGTATACATTTTATTACTGTTAAATGCAATTAATTAAAGGAATTTAATTTATTGGCAGCCGCCTTATCAGCTCCAATCACGATCAGTGCGATGCACACCTGTTTTGGCGCTTGACGATAGTTTATCTTATCAATAATCGATAGCTGAAGCTGGTGTTTTCGTGTAGTTTGATTGAGTAGGTTGGCAGCTCTTAAATTCAAATTCCAGCTGTTGTGTTTAATGTGTGTATGTATTTTAATCAATATGAACAGTTTTCGGGGTCAAATTACGATTAGCAAATATGCAAATTAATATAATGCAAAAGTCTAGTATATTAGTTACTAATGTTAAATGCAAATGTGAGCAGCGCTCACGATCAGTGCCATTGCACAATGTGCGTGACGGTAGCTTATTCAATTTATAATCGATAGTTCTAACAGCAGTTGTTTCGATTCGACAAGTTGGCAGCTCTTAAATTAAAGTACCAGTTACATTATCGGTTAACTATTTCAACTAATTATGCTGCAATTAATGAATGTATTTTTAAGAATATAAAAGTATTTAATAATACATTTTGCTTAGGAAATTATGTAATGTTGTGCAATTCCAAAAAGGTTTCTAATAGCAAAATAAATGAACCATAAGCTGGGAACGTTGCTCGCTCATTGAACCAACTCCCAGCAATATTCGATATACAATATACGATTAAACTTTCATAAACAGTGACCGGCATAATTTTGGGCTACAAATTGCATTAATTGAGAAGTCGTTTCTCCTTCGTTTTTTTTGAGCAAGTAAAGTTTGAGTTGACACTGACAGCATCATCCTTTTGAAAATTAAATATATTTTTACATAATGCAACCCCAAATAGGGCTTCACTGAGAGCGACGACGACGACGACGACGCCAAGCTGAGTTTTGTTTCTTGTTGGAGGAGTTTGGGAAAATGGAGAAACGCGTCACAATTTTGATGCCGAATGGTCGGCGACAGAATGTCGGAGTTAAGCCCGACATGACACTGCTGGAGATACTGGAGACGGCGAGCGGCAAGCATGGCTTCGACAGCGACGAACATTGCTTGAAATTCCACAACAAGGAGCTCAGTTTGACGCAACAATTCCGCTTTAGCGGACTGCCCAACAATTGTGTGCTGGAAATGGAGACGACGGAGAAACGACGCACTCTGAGCAACGTTCTCGTCTGCATCCAGTTGACGGACGGTACACGCAAACAGGGTGAATTTACACCCGGCAGCAGCGTTTGGCATGTGGTGCAACAATTGTGTTCGGAACAGATTGAGGCTTATGCAAGTCCCATTATCATCTATATGCGCAGCGAGGTGGTGGGTGTGGAGCGTATGCAGCAGACGACACTCAAATCGCTGGGCATCATCGAGGGACGCGCCATTATGCGACTGGTCGACAAGAAGCCGGAGGAGCTGAAGACTCAGGCCAATGTTTATAAGCCACCTTCAGAGGCGAAGTCGAAGGCAGCTGATGCTGACGATCAGCCCAGCACTTCACGCTCGGCCATAGGTGGTGCTGGTGGTGGTGGCTTTGCCCTCACTAATGATATGTTGAAATCGCTGAAGCGTTCAGCGCCCGCCGAGAAATCATCAGGAGAGAAAACAGATGCTGCAGTTGAGGCAGAGAAAAGCGCTGAAGCCGAGCAGCCCAAATATGATTGGGGCAGCAGTTCAGGTTACACGCTGCATAAGTCCAAAAAGGATGATCAAAACGAGGACGACGACGATGAGGATGAGGAGGAAAACGCTGGGCGACCACCACCAGTGGTCAATATAATTGGACCACGAAATGCCATACTCTTTTCGTTGGATGCCGCCAATCGGCACAATGATGATTTGCCCGATTCATTTTTCGATTTGACCGTCAACGATTTGAAGATGGTGTTGCGGGACTTAAAGCGCACCGCATCCGGGACCGAGGATGCCCCGCTGCTCACAGCGAATTTGCGTGAATTGAATCGCCAGACGGCGATGCTGGCCAAACTGAATCAGTACAAGGATTGTGTGCTGCGTATACAATTCCCTGATCGCAATGTGCTCCAGGGAATTTTCAAGCCGCATGAATTCCTTGCCAAGGTGGAGGAATTTGTGCGTGGCTTTCTTGCCACGCCCAGCGAAGAGTTTCAATTGTTCACCATTCCGCCGAAGAAGGTGTTGCCGCCTACAGAAACACTGCTGGAGCTGAATTGTGTTCCAAATGCTGTTTTACATTTTGCATTTGTGGAGGATCGTCTGAATGCGGAGACGAATTGTTTCCTGCAGGACAAATACCTGACACAGCTGACCTCGGAGGAGGGCGCTCTGTTTGCGGTGCAAAAGTATCGCATCCACAAAGCCAGCGTCAGTTCCAGTTAGTCTACTTGTCGTCTGAGTTAGAACGCCCTTAAGCGAACATTTTGCGTGATATTAAACAGATTCGCTTATTATACAAACTGAAAAATTGTTGCATTGTTTGTTTGACTCTGCTTTGAAAAAAAATCGATTTGGTTGGCACCTAAAAAGGTAGGAAAATATTTTGTCTAACGAGCCTGACAGGGTTTGATAATCGTCCATTTAGTTTAGCACTTCAAAAGATAAACACATCGACTTAAAGATAATTCACTTTATTTAAATATCCAAATTTAATTAAAATCTTTGGATTAATGCGTCTGACAGTGTTTGATAAACATCTGAACTTGGTCAAAACTACATTTAGTTAGCACTTAAAACAATAGGAAATTGAATTTATAGATATTTCGACTGTGTTTCAGTTTTCTCACCAGAGATTCACTTGACAGTGTTTGATAATGGACTTTTGTAAAATGCGGAAAAAATATGTCTAATTTCCAGGGTGTCTATGTAGAATTCTTATACTAGCTTTTTGTTAATTAGATTATTATACCAACATTTTAGATAGTTCATTATATTCATATAATTTAATTGGAAAAAACTACAACATTTATTGCGAGAATTGAGTGGACTCAGAAAAACTAAAACATACCATTTAATTTGCAGTAGAAAGAAGGAGAAAAAAGAATTGGCGAAACACAGAACAAATTTAAATAGACCACGAGAACTATTTAATTATTTTCAGCAGCTAAATACTGTTATTTTTTTAATTATATTGAATAGTAATTACATTTATTTTGGTGTCTTCTTCATAAGCACATAATTTCTTGTCAGATATAAAAAAGTACACAAATTAATAACAGTCAATCGTCTTATCAGTTGAAGTTTTTTCAAATGTGGCCAGTGTTGCAAAGTGTTGCAGTGTCACACATGACCATATGTGAGAGAGAACAAAACAGAGAGATAGACAGAGAGAGAGAGAGAGAGAGAGAGACATGCGCATGCGCAAAGTCGTCGCTTTCGAAACCGAGGCAAAAGACCAAAGAGGCCAACTTGAGCTTGGCTTGGCTCGGCTTGGTGGATTTTGGGCTTTGAGTATGTGTTTGCCTGGTTAGCCACAAGCCACAAGCCACAACAATTTCTGATTCATATTCATAGAGTTTTCAGTTTTCAGTCTTTGCTCAGCCGTTGAAGTGACAAGTTTTATTCGCGCTTTATCAGTTTCTCAGTTTCGCTCGAGACACGATTTTGAATCGGATTCGTATGCGGTAAATGCGATATTCGAGACGCGAGACTCGATACTCAATTACAAACACCCATGATATATATATATATATACATGAAATATATATATATATATATATATGTACAAAACGATCGCTATTCACATTTGTGTATTTATGTATTGAAAACAACAAATAAAAAAGAATGCGTGCCAATGTGAAAAAGTGAAATACATTTAACGTCTATATCGGGGCTAGACGTGTGTGTGTGCGAGGCCAATAGTTTAATAACTATTTATTGAATTGTGATCAAAAGGCGAAAAGTGTGAATTTGTTAATGTTTGTAGAGCAAACAGCAATAATTGTGCTTATTTAAATTAAACCGAGCCAAATTTAATAACAAAAACACAGCCAGAGTCAAATATGAAGTACAAGCGAATCGCAAACAACTTTTACCTATGATTTTTATCTTTACGAGTTTTAAGCGCACGTTGTTTGCTTTACGTCCGGACGTGCTGACATCTATTTTTTTGTTTAATTTTTTGGGGGGGCGTGGCAAGTTAAATTATGGCGCGAGCGCCAAGAAACTGAAAACCGAAACCGAAACCGAACCAAACCGATTGGAAAGTGTTCGCCCGTTACGCTTAAGAAAACGCTGCATAGCTATTTACAAGAGGCATTTAACAAAAATATTACTGCAAACAAACATGGCCGTATATTATTTATTGGTTTTTCAAATTTTAATATCGATGGGAAATGCCAAAAAAAAAAGATTCAGCCCACACGGCTTGGTAGTTGTCGTCGTTGTCGATCTTTAGATGGGCATCTTCACTTTTACTTTAAAACTGAAAGAGAGAGTGTTTTTGTTTGAGTCCAGCTCATTTGCGTTTCTGCGTTTTTTTTTTTTTTTACCGGTTTTTCATTTTACGCGCATTTCTTGGCGAACAGCAATTGCTGGGCATATATTTATTTTTTGGTTATTTGGGTAAGCCCAACATTATAGCGCATATAATTGTAATAGCTTCATTAAATTTAATTAAAGGCAACTACTTCCGAGTCAGAGTGCCTCATCTCCGCCGGCACGAGTACTGCATAAAGTTTTTTTTTGTATATTTTAATTTTTTTTTTTATTTTTATAATACGCGTGCCTAAATCCCATCTTAATAAACGTTTATTTTCCACATTTCCAAAGCAGATAAATGAAAAAAAAAATTGTTTCTGTGCGTGTGTTTTTGTTGTTCAACAAGGAAATTGGTAGCCAAAAGTTATACGAAGCTAACAAAGCTAACAAAACGAACTAAACTAAAGAAATACGACGCTTCAAATCCGAATTACAAGTAATCAAAATAATCAACATAAAGCGCTGTAAAAAGTGGAAACAATGAATTTTTTCGTTATTGGATTCCTCATCATGCAGGCGGCAAGTGAGTAAAATGCATTTGCTCTCGCGTTTTGTTTTTGACAAAGCTTTTCGTGTCGGTGGAGTTTAACACCATAATTAATGGGTATTTTGTTTGTGTATATAAATATATATAATATGAAAACATTATTAATATTATATATTAACGGCGATTTCTACTTTCAAAGAAACACATTTTTTGGGCATTATTAAACTATTCACACCTAGGTTAATTTATATTAAATACAAATAAATATTTTGGGAATTATAAAATATAGTATATGATTCATAAAATGCCGAGTTTGTTGCATTTTATACTTAACCATACGTAAACTTACAAATATTTGTATAACCTTGCAGAAAATAACCCATTGAAGAAAACATTTTCGAACCCACAAAATGTATATACTCTAGAGTCATCTCTCCATATCCATCTTTACTAATAGGCACTAATACTGTTCGAAAGCTCACTTGATGAATCTTGGAATATATCCTAGGATAACTTTTTCTTTTGTGTTTGAACTCTGTTTATAATTTAAATATGTATTTAGCTGTTTGCAAATTAAGCGCTTTTAAATGATTCATAATTAATGCATTGATGTTATTGATTTATATTATTCTATTTTTCTTCTTCAATTAATAATGAATGAATGCATTTTTTGCAATGCTAATGACTCAGTTAAAAGCAGTTGACCTGCCACATACTTTTCTTTTATTTTTTAAAATATTTCTTTTGCATTAATAATGCATAAAAAAAATGGTTAAATTTGTTTGCATTGAAAATGACTCACATAAAAACACTTGAGCTGCAACCAACTAAACACAACTGATTTTTTAAGCTTTCCGCGTTTTTCTCAGTGTGATAATGCAGATTATCACAAAATTGCTTTCTTTAAGTATTTAGCTTTGAAATCAAGTTTGTGTCTTAAGTCTTTCGTTTTTTGGCTGGCTTGTCACGCATGAAATTAGTTATTAAACAGCTTACAGAGCAATTCGGTTATTAACCCCAAAAAAAATTCTTTTGCATCACATTTGAGTGACGTACACACATTAAGCAGACGACCGGCTGAAAAACAGCTATTAGTTGGTATACATATGTACATACATGTATATATATATATATATATATGTATTTGGTTTGTAATACAACTGGTTATGCATACTATGTTGACTGAATTAAAGTGCTTTGCATTTGGGTTGAATTTAAATTGAGATGAGCTTCACATTAAGTTCAAGTCACCTGAGCGATATGCAGTTTGCCCACCTGTGTTTACAAAAGCGCGCCAAAACACAGCTCAAAGCAACAGCAACAACAACAATAACAATGAAAACAAACAAAACAACATACAACAATTGGCTTCTGTTATGAGCACATCCAACCAATTATTTAGCTAAAGCTCACTTTAAAACTCGCCTATTGCCGTTTTTCGATAGTTTCTAGCTTGTATATACCCTGTGCCAAAATAAAAATCAATGGGTTGTATGCTTATTAGGACAGTCAGAAAGCAGCCTGAAATTTTGGAGATAAGCGTAGCTTACCTTATTATTCCGAAAGTATATTTCTATATTTTTTAAATATAATGCCGATTTTCTGAATATTATGATTATTATTATTATGAAATTATGAATTTTGAATTATAAAAAGTACTCTTAAATTGCATAACTATCTTTAACGACAAAGTGATTGTTAAAGATCTCTACAAGCAAAGTGAAATCAGAAAGAAATGGTTTTGGCACACCTTGCTTTAAACTTCAATTGAATAAAAATTATATTGAGTTGAGGAAACATTGCTCAATAAGACTCATATTTATAAAAAAAAAAAAAAACTTGTGTGACGAGACAACTATATTCGAAACATATATAGTTCCCTCAAAGTGGACAGATTGTTAATTTACCTGAAGATGTCACCGCCACCGATCTATGCAAATTTGGGCAGCAGTGCTCGCAGCTTACTAAATTGGCGCTATCATTCAGGTCTGTGGCAACTGGACTGCAGCACGATGACAAATTCGGGCATGGAATTCCTAACAACTGGCTTTGCCAATCAGGATGCCAGCAAGGTGTTTGGCTCTTTCCAGAACAAGCTAAATATCTATAATTATGGGATTACACTCACCAAAGGGTGGAATACCGATAATCAGCTCTTTGGCGAGATCAAACAACGTAACAATATAGTTGAGGGATTAATGCTCAAATTGGAGGGTCGTCTACAGCCCTCAACTGGCAGCAAGGATGGAGCTTTTTCAGCTGGTTATGAGGGCAATGATCATACCATATTGGGCAAAATAGAGATTAAGAATAATCCCGTGTTGAGCCTGTCGCTGGTGTTGCGTGATAATGAATTTCTGGGCGGTGTTGCTTGCGACTATGATTTAAGTGCTGACGGCGGGGGAATGTCTTTGAAAGGGGCTTTGGGCTGGTCGGATGCTTTAACATCGCTCCACGTCGAACTGCTAAATAATGAGAGCCTTTTATTCTCACTTTTTCACAAGTTTAACCACCGATTTTTCACCGCCATTCAGATCGATAATGTATCTGAAGGGCGCCATCTGAATATGGACTTGGGCATGACCTATCAGTTGTCAGGTAATGCCTTGATCCGTGCCAAGATCAATAATAAAAACGAAATTGGTTTAGGCTACGAGAATCAACTGCGACCGGGTATAACCTGGTCCATTTCGAGCATACTCGATGGAAAGAATCTCAATGATGGCAATCACAAGTTTGGCGTTGGTTTATCCTTGGCGTGTTAATAAAGTAATGTTGTACCAAGTCCAAGCACAACTAGCTGACTACAGATCTACGATTTCAATATATAGAAGTACTATATAATTATACCCAAAAGTCTGGCGATTATTTTTCTGAGTGCAATAAAAACTGCTATTCTACAGACTTTGCACTGGGGTATTTTGGTTAGCAGTACAAACTCAGCCTACAGCCCTGCTAGTTACAGGGTATTTCCAATGAGTTGACTTTCGATTCTGTTCGATTTTTGCATTGTCTTTCGCTTTGCAGTCTTTTGTTTGGCACTCGCGTTTAACCCGATTACTTTTTGGCTAGCTTCTTTGGGTTTTGAGGTATGGCTAAAACATTAGTTTTTTTTTTTTTTCTTTTGGTTTGGTTTCTCAATGCAAACGAGCTTCAGCATTTAAAACCTTGCTAATGTAAATGAAAAAAAACAAGTCTTGGTATCTGTTGGATGACTGGCAATAAAATAGAAAATAATAAACATAAAACGTTTTGTTCTTTATGATTGATTAATGAGCCGATGAAAATTATAGATGGAATACGGATGCTGGACTGTGGACTGTGGACTGCTCTTAAGTATCTCATTAAGCATTGAGCATAGATGTAGTTCTAGAGAAGTTAGCGATATCTTTATTCATGGCCGCATTTGACAGGTGTTACGATTCGATATATTGATTTGCTTGGCCATAGCACATATATGAATCAATTCGCATGCAAATTAAAATACGAATTAGATTTGTACAACCTTCGCACTGCAATTTAGTCTAAGCAACTTGGCCAAAATACAACAAATTTGAATTTTTCAGGTGCAAAATCTTGGCTATTGCCTTTGACATTGAGAGTGACATGAGTGTTATGGACATAGATTCTTCAGCTGAGGCTCAAGAAACACACACCCAATCAACATCAAATCGGTCAAGTTCAGCGGTTTTCAAGATGGACAAGTAGAGCAGCAGATGACGGTGTTAATTGCCAGTTTCGGTTGTGTTCGATATAAATAGCAGAAGCGTCGACAAATCTGCATAAGCCACACACGCTTCATTTGCATTTTTTGTATTTGGTCTCTGCTCTGCTCATAAGTTTTGATCCGCTTTGGCATGGAATGCGTAGATTGCAGCAGCTTGTCATCTTTTTGGCTGAATCATGCCGGCTGGAAAGCAAGCCAATGGCATGCCCAGATTTTGCAATCTCTCTCTCTGCATTACACTCAGAAAAAGAGTAGCACTGGAATAGCGAAAATCGACCTACTTTTGGCGCTTAAGATGGATGAACTAATTATTCAGAAACTATATTTGTGAAAGACAAGTTTGTCTTTTTGCAAAAGATTTTTCTTAAATTTTGGAAAAATATGTTTAATTTCCAGGAGATTCTTAATTTTTATGTTTTCTTCTCATTTCTACTACATACATTAAAAAAACGTTCTAGCATTAACTTTTTTGTTAATAAACAATAAACAATCTTACAGACTTCAAATACACAAACATTTTAGGTAATCTATTCGTTTGTAATATTTAGCATATATATATAGATATATATATATATATATATATATATAATTATTCGTAAAGACCAGTAATTTTTAGTAGTTGTTTGGGTCATTTTCTAAACGTCAGCTCAATTTATTTTGCCGAGTGTAGGGCGGTACTTGGTTGTGTTGTGTGGTCTAATGGTCAATGATGCTGTGATGTCTCTATAAAAATCCAAGCAGGCAGTCAGGTCAGTCTGATACAGTGATTCATCAATTTGAAGCCAATCGGTTTTTGTGGTCGAGATGCGTCTTAAGTTTAAGCTTCGGCTGTTTCCCTTTTCTTTTATTATTTTTGTTTTTTTTTTTTGCTTTGTCAGTCTTTTGTTTTGTAGTCAATGACGCAGCGCTTTGGAATCGCTTCTCTCTCTCTCTCTCTCTTTCACATTATTGAGCTCTCATATTTTATATAACCCACATTTTTGGCAGACTGCTTTATGCAACTTCTTGATAAAAATAAAAGAAATAATAAAAAAGGGCTAACAGCACTTGTTGCTTTTGTTATTGAAGTTGTTGCCACTTAAGGCAGACCCAAAACGCCGTGTTAAAGCCACCAATAATGCCCCTTGTCACAGAAAACATTCAAAACGTTAATTGCCGCAGACTTTCAAATAGCAATTAGCAGACAGGTTCTTTTTTCCCTTGATGCAAACTCCAGCAAGTTTGCAACAGAGGTCCAAAAACAAAATAAATGCCAGAAAAAAAGTAACTGCAAAATTGCATTGTCATATTGATGGATTTGAGAGGGAAACTATATAAAAAACAGCAGTTAAGTGAGTAATAAGTGAGCAACAAGTGAAAGGCGCAATGCTTGGGCCAGGCAATTAAGAAAATTGTCCTTCAGGTACACTCCCCGCCACATAAATAAGACACCCCTTAAATTTAGTATCCACTGCCGCCAAACCCAGCAGAGATTTAATGTTTGTTTCTAATAAAGTTTACGAACGAAAGCCATTAAAATGCGGGGCTTAGATATAAAAAAAAATAAACTCTGATTTTTTTAATGACATTTAAGAAACTTTTTAGAAAACTCTGATTATTTTTATTATTTTCTTATTTTTAAAGCAATTATTATTTAAATATAATTTAATTGGAGTATTTTAGCTTAAAAAAAACACACAATGTTTTCTTATAGTGACATTTAAGAAATAAGCTAAATGAAGTAAGTTTAGCGTAACACAAAGAAAAATCTTCAAGCATTCCAAATAATTTAGTATATTCGAGCTTTAAATTGTGTGTAATAAATATTGTCAAATATAGTTTTCCTAATTCGTAAGCTGTATTTAAGGTCGTGCATTGCCGCTTATAGTTTTCCCAAACCATAAATTGTATTTATACTTTTACTTAATGTTTTGATTACGGAATTGCACTTGTAATTCTTGGCAAATTCGCAGTGACCCAAAACACAAATACGTAATTCGCTGCCAAGCAGCGCACTTTTTGTTAACAATTAACAATAAATTTAAACATAATTATCGCATCTTCACAGCCAGCATCAGCATGCCAGACCCACAAGCGGAGCACAACCGCAGTTAACAATACAACTAGTCCGCATACAAATACCTATATACATAAATACCTACATATATAAATACCTACATAACGAGCTGTGTGTCTGTGTGTGTATGTGTGTGTGTCTGCCACAAGTTACTATTACTACTCTTGTGTGTGTGTATGTTTTTGTAGGCTGGCGGCTACTTTGGCTCGCTCACGCAACCCGCTCGCTCACGTAAGACCTTCAAAGGTCACGCATGCCGACTCCAACTCCAACTCAAATTTCAACTCCAACCCAGACTTTGAGCTCCAGCTACGTCAGCTTGAGCTGTAGACTCATTTGTTCACCCGGCGCTGCATCGCTTCTGGGCGTCTTTGTTACCTTTTGTTATTGTTGCGAAGCATTTTTTATTGCCCTAACACGAGCGTTGTGCATATTAGTTATAGAGATTGGATTAAAGATCCATAATTAACAATGAAAGATAAACTACAAAAATGTTGAATGACATTATTTGTGCTCCCCAAACTAAGCCGATATTCATGCTGCAGTTAAAATGAACCATAATTATTAAATGTAAAATGTTGAATCAAAATACTAATGATAATTTTAAATAAAAATTATGTTATGTTTGCTTGTTTTGCAAAGTGTATTTGACTCTGGTTAAGAATGTTGCCAGGAATTAGTAAACTATATATTTAAAATATAGATAAATTCTGATGAAATTTTTGTTTTTCAAATTGTATTAAGCATTGTACTCCCCAAACTAATTTGATTTTATTCCTGAATATTTTATTTATTTTATGTCAAATTCATAAAGTTAACTTATGTTAAAGACTGGATTTTCAAGCTGATTATATTTTTTGGTTGACATATTTTTGGTTTATACAAAATTAAGTTTTTCTAGCAATTGCTTTGCATTTTCTATAAAAAATGTTTATCTTATTCTTATTTTTGAATAACAACAGCAGTGTTTGTCATGGTTTGACCATTATTATTCTTTTCTTTCTGCTTAAGTATAATCTTCAACAAAGGTCTTTGGATTTCCATCAACTGGAAAGGCTTTTAAGATTTAAGGCCATTTAATAACATTTAAGTTGTTTTCTTACTCTCAAACATCTTAATTATAAATAAGCCTCTGTTTTTTGATTTTATAAAATTAAATAAAACATTTGTGGTATCACAGTAAAGTTGATTAAAGTCATGTCAGAGCATCTAAGATTCGTCATACTAAAAACAATTATTTGAACTTCTCCTTTGTGGTTGTTTCTTGCCCATATGCCACACACACAGAAGGAGACAAGTAAGCACATGCAACAAATGGTCGCTCAAATTGCAATTTAATTCGAAACTTTTTGTTAGATCTCGAAGTGGCCAAAACATTTTGTTTTTGGGTGTTTTGTTTTTGTTCGGGCCATATCACTCACTGTCAAGACCATCATTCAATTAACATAATTAACTGACAAAACGAATTAGCATGCAGATTGGCAGCCAACCAAAAACTCTGCGATGTGTTTGTTATTATGGTATTGTGTTTTTTTGGGGCTAGTTTCTAATTTGGCACTTGTCCATCTCTTGAAAATGTGGCTCACTCGAACAACTAAACTTTTGAAGGTCAACTTTGCAGCATTATCTTCTAGTTACGCTCAAGATCCCAGCGCAATATTGTTAAAGACTTTTCCTACAAAAGCCAGCGAATGGATTCTGTTGTGGGAAATTGGAACCTTAGTGTAAACCAAAGAGCGAGGTCAAATATTTTGTATTGATATTCAGATGGCTGCGAAAGCGAAAGGAATTCTCAAAATCTATGTATGGTAGATTAAATCGTTTATTTCAATCTCAAAGTTGTTTCCTTTTATAGTGCTTAACACCTTAGTCGTATCTATTTTCTGGCCGATGGAATGCAGTGGTTTTTAAACAATGCTCAGCGGCTTGACAATGAACATAAAAACGCAGGCACACAATGCAAACTGAAACTGAGCATTTAGATACATTTATAGATATAAATGTATAAAAGATACCATAAAAGAGCGCCGCTCAAAAGGGAAAAAAAACTGAGGTTAAGGCCTGCAGAGACACTTACCACAAAAATTTAACGCTGTGAACCCAGATGCTCATCTGTTGGGCCCATAATTTATACACAATATTTGCATTTATCATTAAATTCAATTAATGCCAAAGCAACAAAAAGAAGAAAAAAAAAGACATTCCGCAAAGGCGGCCGCAATTAATATCAATGTTTGCTGTTGCTATTTGATAGTTTTTTTTTTGTTGACCCACTTTCGCGGCGAGGTGCTAACTGGATGGGCTAACTGGCTGGGAGAAGGTTGCTGGCTGGTGAAAATTGCACAGGCTGAAACGGAAAGTAACTAAGCCAAGTTAGTTGCTAGCTGTGGCCGGTCAATGGCAAATGCACTCAAAGAAAACATTGCCCTGAATTTTAGAAATTCACCAAGGGTTTCTCAGCCTGTTATTCAGTAAGTACATTTGTAAAAGGTTGTGATTTTGTAAAAAGGATAGCGCGCATTTTATATTCATTCGTAGTGATTCATGATGCATTTCTAATTTTACGAAAAAAGCTTTTTAATATTTGAAAATTATTTCTAATAACAGGATAAGCTTTCTAGTTTTCAAGACGATTTTCATTTAAGGGTCAGTTTCTAAATTTTGCTGAGTGTGGATAGATGGATGGCTGACTGGTTAGCCGGCAATATACCAACTGCATATTTATGGCTCATTATTTGTTCAGTTTCAGTTTCAATTTCTATTTGTCATAGGCAAGCAGCCAAGCAAGCAACCAATTCATAAAGACGCCGCACGGGTCTCGAGATGATGACGGGTGAAAGCTGTCTGTGACTAACTGAGTTGACGTTTCACGCTGTTGTTGTAATAGTTGTTGTTTATACAGTTGTTGTTATTGTTTTTGTAGTTAGTTTAGTTGTTGTCTTTGGCATTGCGCCGGTCAATTAGCCGGCTATTGCTCTGCCCCACTGTAAACAGTTTCAAGCACTGCACAATTTTGATTTTCAGTTTTTCTTTCGCTATTTGTTTTTCTTTTTTTCATTTCTTTTTCTTTAATTGTTCTGCCTGAACTCATCAGCATTTTGCTTTGCCAATTTCACCCCAAAACTCAATCTATTTTAATGTCTTTATTAACTAGTCCGTTGACGTTTTATTTTGTTTTTGTCATTTTTTCTAACCATTTCGGGGCGTAATTAAAATTTCTGCTCGCTTCAAAATAAAACCCACGCGGCGCATACGTAATGCAGATTTATATATTTTTTATTTAGATTTTCCTGTTGCCATAATTTGGGTAAAAGTGCAATTATGTTAGTCTTAATTAAAGTGAAGCGATTAAAATATTTCAACTGACTTTGATAAATGAAAGTTTTTGGTCTATAATGACAATACAAATGTTTAAGCAACCAATTTGAAAGAAATATTTTTTAAATGCATTTCAATGGACAACATATCACAGATATTTTTGAAAAAATTTCAAAGTTTTAATAATTGTTTTTATGTATTGTATTTTATGTATTTAGTACATATACATTTTAGCAAATTATTTATCGATTCCATCTATTTTATCTAGTTGTCAATCTAGCACATTTAAGAAGGAAAACAAAGTTCAAGTTCTAGGTGCAGTTTAAAGTGGCGAATACATGTCAAGTTTCAATCGAATATCGTTAGTTAGTTGTGCTAAGTGAGGTTTACAAATATGTTAAGTAATTGCACTCGAAGCATTCACTTGATTTGCACAGATTTCTTAATTGGTTTGACTTTGAAAATAAACCACTTTTTATAACCACTTATAGTAGAATTAAAAAATATATATGTATTCTTGAGCCATATCAATTTTAAAGAGTAGTTGTCTTGTCTAAATACCATAATATCTGTGTCTTAAATATATATTCAAATCATTCTTTATCCCTGAATAAAGTTAAAGTGAGAGAATGCGTATAATAAATCTGTGCTAAAGATTTGAAGGTAGAAGAAATCATCTCCGACCGCATAAAATATATTTATCCCTAATCAGCATCCATAGCCGAGTTGATTTAGCCATATCCCTCTCTGTCTGTATAAATAAGCCCATCTTAGAGATAATACGAGCTAGAGACTTCCTATTTTGAATGTAAGTTCTCGTGTCTCATAGGCAGATTAAATGTATTTCATTTTTTTCGATAACTGCTTACGTTTCGCGAATATCGATTCAAATCGATTTTTGATGGTAATAAAAGATACAATTGTTAGAATATACTCAATTGCTGTGTAATATACTCTGGCATATTATACATCAACCTAAATGAAGATTGGCTGAGAAATGCTGATTTCGTTAACCCAAACAAATTGTTATATTGAGCGAACTACCTTTAGACTACAATATATTTAATAGTTGTGTTCAAGGTAGCTGTGAGCACTCTCGACTGGAGTATTCTAACTTGTTTTGTGTTTAGCGAATTGAATTCTAGAAATAATCCATGTTAGAAGATGTTAATGATAATGTTGCCTTGCCATGTTCACTTCTCATTTGTTGGGAATTCAACCATTAATGACACCTAACTATGTTTCCAGTAACCCCAACTGAACCGCAAATACTCGTTAATCTAAATGAAAACGACAAAAATTGGCCCTCGCCTGTGGCAAAGTTCGCATTTTTGTTGTTAAAACACGCTCCATTTTCCTTGAACCAACGAGCAGCTTAAGTTTTAGCTTTTAGCACAGACGACCATTAATTGGTCAGTGGCAACAAGCCACATCTGTTAACCACATTTGATATCGATGCTCTGGCAAACAGTTTAAACTTGAAGTGCGCATTTGGCTCAATGGGCTCAATTATTATGTGCACTCAGAAAAATCACAAACATTTTAGAAATTCGCAATGGCTTTCTAAAAACCTTTCATTTCTTAGTTTCTGGTGGTTTTTTTCTTCTAAAATTTCGATGAGTGAACAACAGAAGAATTTTTACTTTCGATTTTTTGTTACTTACATTAATTAATTAATAATTGAGAATTCACAAATACAAATATTATTCGTTGTTATTAAATCTTATTGAAATAATTGCTAATAAGTTGATTTGGGTAATTTTTTAATTTTCAGAGTGTACTTTAGGTTAGAAAGACAATCATATATATCCATAATTTCTGTAGGCACTTTCCAGCCCAGAGTAGGAAAAGACAAATATTATTGGGGTTTCAATTTTTCTGAGACATATCACAAGATATCTGATATGGCTTTATGGATGGGGCATATTGTCTGCCAATTATGTGTTATGCGTTATGTTATCTTTGGTATTTTGTAAGAATCCATTTGAGGCTCGTTTCATGTGCCACTTGACACGCTAACAATTTAATTTGAACTCAAGACTTAAGCTGCAATTTAGGTTCACTTTGTTGCACTGCGTTAGTTTTGGGTCGTCGTCGTTGATCTTTATGGCTTATTGTTGTCGCTTGAAATATATTGGCTAACAAACTGGCACACTTTAACTGCCTGCTTATATATATTTAAGTTATTTTAAGTGCTGACTTGTCATATTTTACGTTAAACTGTCAAAATGTCAAAATGAGTACAAGTCGGTCCATCAGGAAGTTTTCTCAAATATTTATGGTTGCAGCACTTAAAAATTGTAGTTCTTTTTTTATTTGGGTGGGGCTGTTAATTATTATCTTTAGCTAAAGAGCATGCCAGCAATGTTGCCCTCTGGCATTTGATCTTTGTTAATAGATACAAATAATAAGGGTTTCCGGCTTAGACTGCCACTTAAAAGACTTTTGTTCAAGTTGACACCTTGATATGGTTATAGCTGTGGCTGTCTTTGATAGCAGAGACACATCAATCAAATTTTTAGCCTACGCCTTTTGAATTTAATGCGGGCCATCTTTTTTTATTACTATTATTTCGTTGTTTATTTGTTTATTTGTTAAAAAGGTTTTTTTTTTGCCAAAAACTGTGCCACGGACAGTCACGGCTATGGCGAGATCTTTATAATTGGATTGCAATGTTGGGCCCAACCCTAAACAACCCACTCAGAAGCACAAACACGATTTCCGAGCCTGTTTCCATTGTCTAAGTGTGTGTTTGGTAAATGTTTTCGAAATGCTAATTCCCACATAACACACACTAAAACTAACACTAACACTTCTACTACAACTATAACTACTACTACAAATATTAACTTATCAATGTCAATGTTTTGAGTACTAAATTAATATTGTAACCTTTTGTATTATATTGAAGAAGTTTCCTATTGTGTGTATGCGTTTTCTATTTATTTATAGGATTGGCTTGCGGGACGTGCGTTTTTATGTCCGAATATGGTTTCACACTCGATTGTAACTTCAAAAAATCTGGACTGTTTCGTGTACGAAATTTGGGTGGCGTCAAGGCGCATTTCGGTTTAGGTAAATCCAACATATCAACGAATCTATAACACATCCCTCACTCCCTTTCCCCTCCCCATCCCACCTCATCTGTTCTATTTAGTTAAACTCTAACTTATAACCTTAATCATAAATTGTACATACAAAACGATAAAGTGTATATAGTTTTAACTTAAATGTTAATCAAGCAGATGACCACAATAAAGAGAAAAAATCCGCCGCATTTAAAGCCATCATCCATGCCAATGATTAATGCCAATGCCAATGCCAATGCTAATGTTGATAGCAATATCCAGTTTAGAGTGGATCAAACAGAGAGACAAAGACACGGTTCAATATCCGTAGCAATAGCATTGACCATTGGCTATTTATTTGTAACCCTAATTCACATTTTTATCTGTACATACAAGAAGAACAAAGGCAGACTAAAATAAAACAAAAAGCGATTAATTATCAACGATTTGATTGATGAAGTCGTTGTCTTCATGAGTAACCCTATCCATAATGGTGCCACATTAACAACATTTGCTTCCAGGTCTCAGTGTGGGCGATGAACTCGGCTTCAAGGAGTCGTTGAGCATTGTGGAGAGCGATCGACGACGTGCAATTAACTATCGGAATGGACCGCCAGAGCTGGTGGGCGTGTTGCCCTCCTCGCGACAGAAAGAAGTGAGTGTTACACTCAGAAAAAATACACTGTTCTCAATTCAAGAACAACTGGAGTTGAACTTCCAAATATAGTTAGTTTTGTTCATATTCTAAAGGAAATAAAAATTTAATTTAATTTTTATGAAAATTTATTTTTATTCCATTCTCATTTTGGGATTCAAGCGGAAAAGTCTTGTTTATCCTGTATTTTTTATTAATGTTTCCTACACTAATTTATTTATTTAATGTCTAAGAACAGCCCAAAATTTTAAAATTAAAGTAACTAATAAAATGATATACATTTAAATGTGAATAATAGTATTTAGATTTAAAAGTATCTTCAGTCCCAATAAGCCTCCTATTTTCACAGAAGGAGGTCAGTTTTAATAAGCGACTCTTACACGGCGAGAAAATACGCTGTTCTAAATTAATATAGACAGGCATAGAATACAGAAGGATTTTCGAATATTCGTAAAAATATATTCTTAAAAATCAATATTAAACAAATCAAACTTTAATGCTAATTAAAGAAAACTCTAAAATTATTTTGTATGCTACCAAAATTGATTGGAAAATACATTAGTTCTTCACTTTAAATCAAGAATTTGGGCTGATCATATAGACTTTACCAATTACTTGAAATGATAACTTAACAAGTTCTTGATATCAGAACAAATTGATGAGGAATTGATAATTTAAATGTTTGAAAGGCCGAAAAATCAAATTTAGTTTACATTTGGGAATTTTGTGATATTTCGTTTAGTATTTGTTTCGTACTTGATTTGAATACATAATTGAGTGCTCTCATTGTTTTCTGAATTTATGGGCTGCTAACTAAGACTAAATATAATTTGATTGGTAAAATTAACTAGAAGTGTTCTTCGTTTGAAAGTTTATATTTAGCTGGTCTTCAGCTGATTGACATTAATAATAAATAAATACATTGTACTTAAAAATAAATAAAAATTATTATATATATTAACTAAAGTAAAGTAGTATATTAACTAAAAGTAAACTAAATTCCACAGGCAACAGTGCAGCATGCACTACCCGAGAAGCGCATCACATCCCGTTCCTCGGGACCCGGATCCTACAATCTGCAGCTGCTGCAGCAGGCGGCCAAGGTGGCGAAGAGTCAACCACAGCCACCACAGGGCCAACTAATGACAGAGGCACGTCCGCTGCCGATGGGCGTGCCCATCTTCAAACCCATACCACAAAAGGCCGGAGGCAACAACGAGCCACAGCCAACCCCAGTTGGGGCACAGCGTCGCATAGCCGTGGATACCACACAACCCAGAGTCAGTGTCAACAACAAACTGGTGGATGGAAATGTGAAACCGGTGTGTACAAAAAAACAGATAAATTATTCACTTTTATTAACTATTATTCATTTTTATTCAGCACTCGAATCGAACATTCCATGCCGACAATCAGATGGTGGCGCAACCCAAGCAATCTCTGCCACAGGCTGTGCCCGTTTTCCAAGCGATGCCCGACTCCATTTCCCGGATTGCCAATGTAGGCAAGACGGAGTTGGTGTCGCCTCCGGCAGCGGAGCAGCGCACCCTGGGAAAACACCCAAATTATCTGCAGTTCGAGGAGCCCAAGTTTGATCTGCGGGATGTGACAGTTGAGGAGCTTGCGGCGGCAGCAAATGTTACCGTAGACACCATCAAGCATGCCATCTATGTGCGCGAACAGCAACTGAAGGCCGAGCATCGAGCCATGCTTGCATCTAAGCTGCGGGAGGAATTCATTCGGACATCCACAGTGAAGACCACAACGACGACGACGACGACAACACCAAAGCCAAATCAACTGGCTGAACACAAAGTGTCAAAGGTGATCATTTTGTTGCCTAAAGATGAAAACGTTATTAATGTCCCTTGAAATACAGCAACCCATCAAGAGTAGCTTAGCTTATTATCCGCAAAGTATACTTCTAAAAACACAATTATTTCTACAGGATTTTTGTTTTCTGAATTCCAGTTTCGATTTTTGTGAAATTTAAAAAAAAAAAAACACAATAATGAATAGATAAAGCGCATCTCTTAAGAAATGTTTTCCATATATTTAGAAAGTATTTCAGAAAATTAACAATTTTCTTTCTAGTTCTCTGACCAATTTTCTAAATTGCAATGCGATTTATCATTGAGTATAGTTTTTAAAAATGTTTTCTAAATAATATAAAACAGTTATAAGAACTAAAAAAAAAGCCTTTCGATTTTGAAGACAATTTTATTTTTTTTTTAATTCGAAATTATTAAGGTTTCTTATGCAATTTTGTAATTTCCAATTTATATAAAGTGTTATCGAAGCGTAATTTAATTTGACCCCGGACAATCTTAACATGATCTTTTTTTATTGCAGGTCATGAACGCACCCAAGGAGTACTATCCCGTGGGCTATGACAAGAACTTCGATGATAACTTCAAGTCAAAGGTCGACTTGCCGCCAACGAGTTTCTCCTGCGCGAGGCAAAAGCATTTTCCAGGTCTCTATGCCGACACCGACCTGGGCTGCATGGTGAGTTAATAATTGTAGAAAAGCCATCATGAATTATGTAATTTATTTATAATATTCTATTTTTTAGGTATTTCACGTGTGTGCTTTGACGGATGATGGAATGGTGCGCAAGTCATTCTTGTGTCCAGAGAACACGTTGTTCGATCAGACCATACTGAAGTGCAACTGGTGGTTCTATGTGGATTGCAGTGCCAGCAAGAGTGTCTACGATTCGAATATACCCATCTCGAAGAGCTATCAGCTGATGAAATCGCTCACATATTTCTCCAAGTACAACAACCAGAAGAGCGATCAGGATGGCGATAAGGATGAGAATGCCGTTGACATTGATTCGCTTAGGGAGTCCATGGAGGGTGTCTCTCGCCGCCTAGAGCAGGCCAAGAATGCCCAGGCCCAGCTCCAAGAGCTGAAGGCAGGGGAAGAGGGACAGCAGCAGCAGGTGTCCAACTAGTTTTAGTTATATAGTTGCTATCTGAGATCTAGTTTAAGTTAAGTTCATGATCGAGCGTCTCTGGTCGATTTGCCGTACATAGTCAATGTCTTGCGAAAGCCAACAACAAACAATTGTTGTCTCTGCTGCTGTTTGTCTGTTGTCTGTTGTCTCTGGCCAATCAATATATACAAAAAACACCCATAATTTCCTATGGCATTTCCTAGCTATAGTTAAGTGGATCATCTCTATATATAGTTATAGCTATATATCTATATATATATATACTTTGTAATCTAGTGCAATTGTAAGTGAATGTTGCGGTTAATATTACATATTTCATATTGCTATTTATTTATTATATTTTTCGACAAAATAAAATACTACGTGTTACTCCAATTACTTCAATTGTATCTCAAGTCACACATTGGATAAAGTGCAAATAACTAGTCGGAATAACTGGTTATGGTATTAACATCCTGCTCTATAAATTTACATTGGCTTTTTCATGTGACTGATCTAACAATATGAAAGAGCATTTGGATAAGAAAATAGCAATTCAAGGGAGCAAATATAACAAAACCGGTGAGAAGAATAATCAAGAGAAGATAGTAGGAAATAATCCCATTAAGTATATATATTCTTCATCAGCTTCAACAACCAAACCGCTTTAACCATGTCTGTCTGTCTGTATTAGAGCTAGTGACTTTAAATTTGGTGTATATGAAATTGTATGTCAAACGCAGATGCAGAAGAATATTTATTTTAATATTAATATTCGATATTAATCGATTTCCGATAGAAATAAAAATACACAATTCTAAAGATAAGGCTTTCAATTGATATATAATATGAATAATATGATAGTTTGTTGATCAACTGTACAAATTCAAGCAAGATTAGAAAATAACAGCAAATTTGAATTAATCCATTAACATATTGGAAAAACTACTAAAAGCAAGCTGACAATCAAAAACTATAAGGCAATATCTCCCCATAGCTCTATAGTCTGTGCTTCAGTGAATTTCAAATCTGGAAACAGAGTATGTTCTAATCGAGCTGACTCAACTAGGCACTCGAACTTGTTTTTCTCTGACTGATTACTAAGCATCAATCAACATATTATCAACTTACCTGATTTGCTTTCACCACCTTTGACTTAATAAAGCTCATAACAAAATCAAATAAATAAATCAAATAACTGAAACTTAATATTATTATTATTATTATTTATTAAGCAAAGCCCAAGACAAAGACAAAGAGGCAAATAAATAATGGAGTTGGAATTAACGAGTAATCGCAGCAGCTGCGTTGACCTCTGACCGCTGACAGCTGGCCATGGCCAAGAGAGCCAACAACGTTGGCCCTAATGTCGTTGCTTATGCTTATGGGGAGTCGGAGGCGGATTCGGAGGCGGAGACTTGTCCACATTGCGATCGCTCTTGTCATGAATGTGAACCGCTTCGCTGAGCTCCACATTGGCATGCAGCGCGGCATCGTTGGCATTCAGTTGCGCCTCCTGGGCAGACAGCGTTGCCTTCTCGGCCGCCTCGCGTGTCTCCTCGTAGTCCAAGCGTGCCGCATACGCCTGCGATTCGATGTGCTCCAGCTTGCCCTTGGCCTGGGCAACCATATCGATTTGTGATGACAACTCAGCGGCGGCTTCAGCAGCTGCCTTCTGGGCCAGCTCCGAGGCGGATTGGGCATTGTTGAGGGCAGCTGTTAAAACGCTAACATGATTGATGGCCTGCTGGGCGGCATATTGAGCCGCTTTCGCTGAGCGTTTGGCCTGCTGCAACTGGGTCAGTTCACCTTCAACGGATTTGTGCGCCTCGACGCTCTGCTCCTCGAACCGGTGCATCATCAGCTCCTTGCCCTTGAGCACGGCAACCACGGTGCCGGCTGCCTGAGCGGCTGCTTGGGCCAAAGTGCTCTTGGCCACGTACGAGGCCTGCTTGCCGGCTGCATTTTGACTGGCTGCAGCGGAGAGTGCCTGATCCGCGGAGCCCTTGGCAATGTTGCGCAAACCATTGTCGGAGAGATAACCTCCACCTCCAACTCCAACTCCACTGCTGCTGCTGCTGCTGGTGCTGTGTCCACTGCTATGCCCACTGTGCGTATAATCGACATGCTCGTAATGCGGACTCAAGTGATGTATATTGGGCGCTGCAAACTCATCATGATTGATGGCCTCGAAGACGAATGGCGGCACCTCGTGATCTATGAGCACAGCATCGCCATGTGGTGGCCCCGGATGTGGTGGTCCTGGATGTGGTGGTCCTGGATGTGGTGGCCCCTGATGTGGTAGCGGTGGCACATTAAAAAGATAATGTGCATCCTTGCGCTTCACCTTGCGTCCGAATGCCGGCACCTCACCTAAAAACAGTCGGAAGCAATTTTATTGATGCATACACTCGACAAAAAATCGCACTGAATTTTCGAACATAGCCCTGAAAACTAACATGTTTTTCTTGTCTAGCAATAATTTACAGGCATACGAATATATTTTTGTATAAATTAGAAAGATTTTCCCTAAATGGATAAACCCAAAAATATGTTGGCATATTTTGACCTTGAAAACTAACAAGTTTTTCTTGTTTTTAGAAATAATTGTTAAATATAAGAAATAATATTATATTAATATACCTGTGTTAAATCGACAATCCAATCGGTACCAAAAGTATGAGGAATTTCTCAAATTCAGGGCGATTTTTCCAAGTGTATATATATATAAATAAAATCGTGAGCTTAAGCACAACTTACCACACAGCAGCAGCAACAACAGCAACAAGTGCAACATCATCGGTGACATCTCCCTCTGTCTCGTGAGTTTCTGTTTATGCAACAAGACAAAGGAAAGTTTCTTTTTATGCAATTGGTTGGCAGACAGGAAGCAGTCGTTGCAGGTGCACGCTGTTCCTGTGGCAGGCCAATTGATGGCTGATCATGGGATTAAATAAAGGTGGATGGTGTGCAAAGTGAATAAGCAACTACAGCTGCCACAACTAAAATGACTACAACCGGTTGAGCCAACGACAACAATAGCATTTTATTGATCCTTTACAAAAATAGTCTTCGATTTTTATGAAGTCTTGTTTGAATTTCCAGTTTCGCTTGCATAGCTCAAAGGTTGTATATAAAGTTGAAAAAAAAACCGGAAACAGAAAGTTTCCATTCCCTTTTATACTGAATTCAAATTTCCTACATTTTCCCATAAAAGCTATATCAAATAGTAATCTGATACTGATCCTTTTTTTTGGTAAAGAAAATGTATTTAATATAAGAACTCAGTTTTCAGCTGATTCTTTATATTTGATCTGTATGATAAGATAAAGTAGAATAATCCTATGTCAATGATGTTGTGTCCAAATGAGAGAAGCATATTAATTAGCATAACTTGAAAGTTTGGTTTGAATATCTTGCTAAATAAAATCTTTTTAATACAAGATAAAACGTATCTATGGCAGCTAGATAATGTAATGATCCGATCAGATAGCTTTAAAACTGAGGTATGGATAGATTGGCATGGCTATATCGACTTGACTGATGAAAATATCTATAATTTGTGGGGTTGGAGAAAACGTTTTCGACATTATCATAATTACCTCTATAAGGTTATAGTAATACAATAAACCGAACAAACCCTACTCTGAAATTCGGTGTTTCAATAACTCAGCCAAATCGCAAGTTCTTTCAATCTAATTAGTTATGATAATAGGTTTTCAAACGAACATGTTTAGAGCATTGTTTTTACATTTAAGCTTTCAAAATAAAATATGAATAAATAAAGTTGAGCAAAAATATCTATTCAACATTAAATATTATTTGTATTAATGCAATAAAGAGTTTTACTTAGCTTTGATTGAAAGATCGTTATTTCAAAGCAGAGTAAATGCTGGTAAGATCAAAAATTTATACAATCTTCTTTTTCTAATTGATTCTTAAAATAATAATACAAATGAAACTATTAAACTCATTTTGTGTTATTCAAAATCCATAAAAACATAGTTTTTTATCTGTAATTTTGCCGCTTAACTAAAATGTTTAAAATAGAATTATTTATATATCATATTTCCTGTTCATCCTACTTTCCCGCAGAAATAAAACCTAAATCTTTGATCTGTCCATAATACAAAAATTAAATGCACAGTTAAATCCAAAATAGCGTAGATTCTTAATACATGAATTATCTCATTATCCGTATCCAGAGAAATTTAAGAATTTATGCTCAGTGATTAAGTGTGTCAGTCAGTTTGTTGGCAGCAATGCGAAGAGCAGAACCAGTTTACTTTTTAGGCCGGGACCAACTTGCAACACACACACACAGACAAGCACATACAAGAAACTGGACAGTGGCAAGAGTCAACTTTTCCAAAAGACAGTAATCACTCACTTTGACAGATATCCACACACACAAGTTTTACGCGAAACTCTGCCCAGCTACAAACATAAAAAAACGATTTGCTCAACGATTTTTCTTGTAGTTTTTTTGTTTTGGTTTTTTTTTTTTTTTTTGGGTGGTGCGCGTTGTCAAATTGGACACGTCCTGTGTGGTGCGCAGGCGAAACGTTTCTAATACACAAATGAGCGAATGAGCGAATGAGTGCCACAATAGTCAGTTAGTACAAAGTCGATCGGCGGGTTCGCTGGAAAACGCTTTTACTTTCTTTTAACGGAAATGCATCGAAAGCTCTTCGTGTAAATCCGGTAAACACACGTTGCCAATTGCCAGCCGCCGCCTGGAAGCCCAAAGCATTTATAAGCCAAGTGGTTCGGTGGCTGTGGAGCGTCTCCACACTCAGAAAAAAATCGCCATAAGATAAAACCATTCTAAAAGCTACAAAACTTGCTGGTTTTTAAAAACAATTCTAAATTTAAGAAATAAATTATATTTTACAGAAATGCTTTCTATTATTAAAACATAAATTTCATACACATTAATTGGAAATTAAATTTCTCTTCTTCTTCTTCTAGTTCTCAAAAATGTTTTCGCTTTGAAATTAAGAATGGAAATCTTTATTTTCAAAATAAATTCTTTACAAAATTCAGATAGAAGTAATACAATTTGATCTCCCCACTGCCATACTAGATTTTAGCTGTCTGCCTTGGACTTAATATTATATGTAACCAAACAGCGAATGGTAAGAAGCACAAATATAAAAAAAACAGCATAAAACTAGACATATTTTATCGAAATTTTACTCACAAAAAAGTCACAAATCTGCTCTTTAGAAATATGCCTTCTGCTTAACAAGTTGAGCTACACTTGGCGCTAAAAGTGTGTTGATTTTATAAAATTCAGGTTGGATATTTTTTTCTGAGTGCAGCTCTGCCTCTGCCACGCCCCAGCCGAGGTCGTGTGCAATGAAAGTGCAAACCTGTTGTCCGTTTACTTTATGAGTTTGGAATGCAACGCAAATTGCTCCGTTTTGTTGCTGTTGTTGTCGAGCAAACAACAACAACAATAGAAACAGCAACAGCAACAACAACATAATAATAAAAAAAAGCAACACCTGGCAGCTGGGTCAATGCTTTCTTGGATAATTTGAAGAAAGGAGGCGCCTCTGTTAATTGCTTGGCAGCGATTTAAATGGCAGCAAACACCAAAGCCTGAGATGTGTGAATTAAACATGACATTTGCTGGATAAGTACATGTGTACGTATCTGTGTACAATCATTTTGTAACAGTGTATGTATGATTTAAGCACATGTTTGCTTGCTTCCTTATTTGAATATTGTATTTTTCATGCAACTACTTCCAAGAGTTGCAGATGCAACTGGTTGCTGCTGCTGTTTACTGTTTGGCTTTACTGCTCAACCTGATCTTCAATCTGGGGATTTTTCGGCTTCTATCAGCTTATTTAGTTGCCTGTCCATCAGCTTAGCCCCTTTAGAATCTGCGTGATAAATCCTTCTCAGACTCGAATGCAAAACAAACGTAAGAAGAAGATTACATACCCTTGCAGAACTGAGCCCGCTTTATCACATTTGAACTGAATTAATCTTGCTTGTATAGCAAGCTTTAAAAATCTAGTCGAGACAGCGCGACTAGTAGATACCCAGTACCTATCTGTTATACATCCCATTCAATGGAATATTTTTGCAAATGTGTCTTTTATTGCTATTGTAGATGATGCCTTCCGCCCGTTTGCACAACTTGTCCATAATTGTTTTTTTTTCTGATTTTACCCTATCTCTAATTTCTTCAATAAATATATAATGTTGGACCAGATTTATTCTATCTATCTATCTATTATTAAATCTAGTTATTCACTTTTCTTTTCGGTCTTTGAAATTTTAATTGTATTTAAAATTTTAAAGTAATTCTTTAAAGTTTTGTGGAATTTGGAATTTTAATTAAATTATTTATCATTTAATTTGTAACTTGAGTTTGAATTTGAAACTTTGTATTTATAAATAACCAAACTAAACATCAATATTTCAAGCAGCTTACCTGGAATATATTTGAATATATTTGATAACTTTAACCCAACCTAACCTAATTTTGCCGAGTTATATTTAATTTATTTTATAGTTGAATTCAATACAAATTCAAGTTGTGATCTTTGGTAATTGTATATTTAGGTATGTTTATGATTCCAATTATAAACTGAGAGGGGCTCTCGAAAATGTTATGCTTGGCAAGCTGTCAAAATCAACATTTTGTTTGCTTGGCAGTCAGCTAAAGTCAAGACTCAAGTTTTGTTAGCTTTGTTTTGATGTAAATATTTTATTTGTTTGCAATGAGAAATTGAATACTCAGAAATACACACAACAAGAGACAAGCCCGTTTGAATGTTTACTAAGTTTCAATCAAACTTGCCACACTGTTCAATATTTATTATCAGTCATCTGTTTGTTAAATTTGATATTAGAAAAACTTTCCTTTTTTTTAGGAGCTTGAATTAAACTTTAAAAACCTTTTTTTTATTTATGAGTTACTCTCTATTTCCAGAATTTAATTATGGATAATATTGATTATTTGATTATCATCAGGCATTTATTAGATTATTTACTTTTTATTCTTGGAATCTTTCTCTCTACTTCCAGAACTTCTTGATGGACATATTGCGTTCGGAGTCCTTCTGCATGATCTTGGAGACGGCCATTTCGAAGTCCGCCTGGTTGACATGAACCCGACGCTCTCGCAACGCATACATGCCCGCCTCGGAGCAGACGCCTTTGAGCTCCGCACCCGATGCGCCCGGCATCAGTTCAGCAATCTTGTGCAAGTTGATGCCACGCGTCAGATTCATTTTGCGCGAATGTATTTTCAGGATATCCAAGCGTGCCTCCTCGCCAGGCGGCGGGAATTCAATCTTGCGATCGATGCGCCCAGGACGCAACAGAGCCTGATCCAAGATATCGATGCTATTGGTGGCCATGATCACCTTGATGTTGTTATAGCTCTCAAAGCCATCCAGCTGATTGAGCAGCTCCAACATGGTGCGTTGCACCTCCGAATCAGCACCATGGCCCGACTTCACCCGGGCCGAACCTATCGAATCGATTTCATCCATAAAAATGATAGACGGAGCATGTTCTCGCGCCATGACAAACAACTCGCGAACCAGGCGCGAGCCCTCGCCAATGTATTTCTGGACCAACTCCGAGCCGGAGACACGGATGAAGGTGCACTCCGTGTGATGGGCCACAGCGCGAGCCAACAGAGTCTTCCCCGTCCCTGGCGGTCCAAAGAGCAGCACACCCTTGGGCTGGGCAATGCCGAGGGCATCAAATAATTCGGGATGTTTGATGGGCAGCTCGATGACCTCCTTGATCTCAGTGATCTGCGTGGACAGACCACCAACCATTTCGTAGGTGGAATCGGGCACCTTCTCCACCAGCATCAGCGACACCACCGGATCGACCTTGCTCGGCAGGATCTTGTGCAGCTGATAGCTATCGCGTCGCAAGGCCACCCTGCTATTTCTAGTGATGGCATTGATATCGAGGCTCTCGTCTACATCGACCACATATTTGCCATCGTGTCGCACTTTCACCAGCACCTTCTTCGTATCAATTGACTTGACAACCTCAGCCACATAACTGCCATGTTCGTGCAACAAGAGCAGCTCCTCGCGCAACAGTCGCACTATCGAAAATTGAATAGATGTGGCAAGTTGGCAGGGGCATCTTCTCCAGATTTACTCACCCTTCGAGTTGAGCTCGTTGCGTTGGGCTTCCAGGCGCTGAAGATTTCGTTTTTTCTCCGACAATATAAATTGCAATTCGGCAATTTTTTGCTCACAATATGAACTGAGACCGTTGCTTGTTTGGGTTGTTGGCCGTGGTGCAGTATCAATTTCCGTCTTAAATATATATTTTTTTAATTATTATTTATTTACAATTCAGAGTCATTTTCGATTACTCACCGGAGCGGACATTTTATAAATACCTATTCAAAATCTATTCTCAAAATGAATCTTTATTGCGGTTGGTCTGCAGTCGCTTTTGATTATTTTGTTGGCATGAGATGACAGTTTTAAAAGACAGTGCTGAGAAGCGTCAACACTGTTTCTTCAATAAGCTGCTGTGCAACATTGGCCAATTTTTTTGAAAAAGACTGAAAAAATACATATTAAAACAACTTATTATGATAAATACATAATATTTCATTATATATATTTATGTAATAATATATCTACAATGTAAATATTATATTAAAAAAGACGATAAAATTTGTCAAAAATAATAATTAATTATAATTCTATACAAATGTTGCTTAGGCCACTTAGACACAAATTAGTAAATAATTCTCGGCAAGTGAGCTGCATACTAAGCCTAACGGTCAAATAACGTGATTATTATTATTGCATACGCCCCAAAGTATGCCAACTTTTGTATCCAAACAATTATTAGATGTGCTCTTTCAGATACAAAAAGAGATTGTGTGAGATTCCATAATAGAAAGATTTTATTGATAAAAAATACTAACATTCCAAATATTTAAATATGGTGAAATCAGAATTTGGCATGAAAACAATCAAATTTTACTTGTTCAAGTACACAAGTTAAACTTGTTCAATTATAGATTAGGCATGCATATAAATGTTGTATTATTATTAGCAGGAAGTTATCGTAAAACTATAAATTGCACGTAACTTAGAATTAAGATATAGCTGCTGTGGCCGTAGGCCTTGCATATAAATATTTCATATTTACAAAAAAAATATTAAAAAAATACTACTACTCGAAACCTCTAATCGTGAATTATTACGAAGGCATTACCTTGAATTTTCACAAATCGAATATAAATTCACCAAATGGAAATCACGGCAAGTCAATTATTATTGGGAAAGTCTTAAATCTGAGCAAAGTATTGATTAGATTATTGATTCACGTAAAAGGCAGCTGATGATGATGTTTATTTATAAATGGAACCTTAGCGATTTAAATGTTTTTTTTTGGCTTGTAGAGAAAAAAACCAATATACAACTTTAGTATATAATCAAATCTTTTTTCCAGTGAATCGCAAATGAGAATCACAATTATTAAACCAATATTTATGATTTTATTTAGGCACTAATTTTACCGCTCCATGTTCTTGATATATATGTGATGTGCATGATGATTATTTCTATATGGAACTATAGCAATTTAAATGATTAATTGGGTCTTATAAACAAAAAACCCAATTTTAAACTTTAGTGGTATACAATTTTTAACGCATCGGCAATCACAAATGAGAATCACAATTATTAATCAATTATTTATGTTTTTATTTAAGTACTAATTATAGCACTCCATAAGCTTGATAAATATATAATCTTTTTGGTGTTTATTTATATGTACAAATTAAGTGATTAAAACCTTATTTATAAGTTTAGTGAAATCAAATTCTTACTCCGTTCAGTAATCTTAATCCCATATGATTTATTTTATGGAGTTATGGAAATTTAAATGATTAATTTGGACTTTTAAATTAAAATCCCTATAATGCAATCAAATTTAGAATCCCAAATAAGAATCACAATTATTAATCCGATATTTATGTTTTTATTTAAGTACTAATTATAACAATCCATATGCTTGATATTCAGTATAATACTATGCACAGCAATCAGTTAGATAAATAGACAACAATGAGGTGCAAAACTTTGGATTTTGTTTAACAAAAAATTCACAGCAATTTGCCCAAAAGTCAATCAAATAAAGCGAATAAATAAATGAAAGATTGCTACAACTTAAATGCTAATTAAAAATATATATACGGAAAATTTCATATAACTGACTATTTGGCTATACTGTTTGTTAAAATTATTGTTATTGTTGTTGTTGTTTGTAATGTTGCTGACAATTTGCGTGGGTTTCTTTCGTATTTTAAGTTTAACCTCCTTTTTTTTTGTTTTTTTTTTTATGCCTATACAAAGCGAAACAAGTCGCTGACATTGATATTGGTCTAGAGAAGAGTTTTTTTTTCTTTTTTTGATTTTGTTTTTCTTGTGAAATAAATATACAAAGACTTAAAAAATTAAACTATTGCTAGATGCGAGGTTAAATTGTCGTCTTCTCTGATAGCTTTTCGTGCAGCGTTGTGATATCGTATATAGCCACCAGATCTTTGTTCAGACCCTCGAATACCTGAGCGACACGCGGCTGCAGATTGTAAAAGAACAGCGGCTGATGACGTTGGGCAAAATCCATGACCATCGTCGATATCACCTTGGCGGCGGTGAAATCAGCCCCATAAATATGGGTACAATCGATGACAACCGGCAGCGTCGATTTAACGCCCTGCTTATTGATCACCTTCCTCACAAATTCCATCGATGGGAAGATTAAACAGCGATCCGGTGTTAGCATCAAGTAACGCTGACCACCCGGTGTCTGCAAAATTAAAAAGAAAAAACATAAGTATTTGTTTCGATTTGAAATAAACTCATCTTTTTATTTTTACTTACGGAGAGTGTTTCAATGCGCAACTTGGGACGTGCCGCCTGGTAGAGAATAAAGATGACATTGATGCCAATGCCGACGAGAATGCCCATTTGCAGGGGCAACACCAAACAGGCGAAGAACGCACTCAGGCCGGGTATCAAATCCGTTTCTGTTGGGAGAGAGAGGAGGTTAGCGGTTATCAAGTTGTAGTGTAAATAAGAGTGATATTGTTGGGAATTGTACGACTAGTAAGATACCCTGTACAAACACACAACAAGGATTTTTTTAGAATCTTGATTAAAAATAAACTGCTTGTAAAAGTAAATCTAGAAAATCAAGAATAATTAAAAATTTTGGGCAGATGTGTTTACTATTCCACACAGATATTTTAAACACTATCCACATTGTAGCTCAACTTTAATTTAAGCTGCTTTAGAAAATATATTTACATATAACATGAATATATAAAACTCATTAATTCCAAATCAAGGAGTTTACCTTTATCTTACATAACTGCTCATAAAAATATATATCACATGAAACTATCAGAAGAAGAATATAGAATTGTTGACTTATGTGCTAACTATTTCCTATAGATATTTTAAATACTGTCCACATCCATCTCAAATTAATCAGTTACACTGTAAAAATCACTGTAAAAAACTGCTTGGAAAAATATAGAGTAAATAATAATATTCGAATATATCAGTATCTTAAATTCTATCCTAAAGTCAACGGTTGTGTGTACTTTTTTAATGCACATATTTAAGGTACTATAAACAAATAAAACAACAAATTTTGGGTTTATTTTATATCAGATAAAAACTGTGAAAGTAACCCAGTAATCATCTTTTATTTGTTACACTCAGCAAAAAGCTTTAGAAACCCGATTTAGCATAGCAGTCGAGATATCAAATCTTATTATTTCTTTCGTTTTTTTTTAATGGTTTTCATTTCCACATTTTAGAAATGTATTTTTGAATGATTTAAAATGTGTCTAATATTTAGAAAGAAAACCATTAGAAAGGATAAAGAAGTTTCTTTTTATATATTTAGAAATTATTCCAGACAGCAGAACATATTTCTAGAATTCAGTGTGATTTTCATTTGAGAAATTTATTTGGTGATAAAATATCTATCAAAAAGATTATTTTCTTTTTTTCGTACATATACGAAGAAATTATTTCTTGATATTATTTTCTATAAAATTAGAGAAGGTCTTCCTATTATTCAGATTTTTTTTCTCGCATATTTACATATGAATCCTAAAATTCAGAAACTTTTTTCTGGTTTTGCAGGGCTGCTGTCTCCCCTCGAACAACAATGAATACTCACTTTTGCTATGCCACATCGGCTTGATGACGCGATACTGGACCATGAAGAGGACCGCAGCAATAATGATGGCTGCCAGGGCCGCCTTGGGAATGTAATAGAAACAGGGCGTGAGATAGAGCAGGGCAATGATGACAATGACACTCGTATAGAGATTGGAGAGCTGGGTGCGAACACCACTCGCATTGAGGATGGCGCCGCGGGCAACGCCTCCATTGCTGCGCAGACCCTGCACAAAAGAGTTGGCCACATTGCAAATGCCCGAGGCAATCAGCTCCTGGGTGGCATCCGTCGGCTTGCCATCAGCTAAAATTGAAGTTCATTAAAAATAAAAATTAAATAAAACTAGCCAAAAGAGAAGACTTACCAAAAGCCTGAACGACAGCCATCGTTTCGAGCAGGGCAATCAGAGGGACCACAATCAAACCGGAGCCCAAAGTGCTGACCATATCCCAGAAGCTCTGACCCTCCACCAGCACCTCGCCCGTCGTCTCATTCAGCAGCGGATCTATGTGAAAGGGAGGCGCCTGAAACTGTGGCAAGCCCTTGGGCACATAGCCGACGGTGCGCACGAGTTCCTCATTGCCACTGACCGAGAGCCAATAGCCCAATCCGGCGACGCCACAAACGAGCAGCGCATTCCTCGCCGTGCCCACCGTCCAAAAGATACCCGTGAGCAATTGCTGCCACATGGACTTGCCCTGCTTGGGGCCCACACTACAAGTGGCCAAGGCCCGCAGGCTGAGCAACACGGCAATGCAGATGAGACCCAATCCAAAGTCGGGCCAACTAATATTCTGAATGTCATTGATAATGCTAATCCACACCTGGAGAAAGGTGTTTCCACTCGTGTGTATGCCCAGCAGATCCTTCATCTGTGAGCTGAAGATGATCAAGGAGACGGCACTGGTAAAGCCAGCACCAACCGGACCCGACACGAAATCAATGAGAAACCCGAGTTGGAAAACGCCCATCAATATCTCAATGATGCCCGTGAGGAAGGTCAGCATAGTGGCCATCTGCCAACTGCCGCCGGCAATTTGAAATGAGAGCAGCGCCGATATAGCAGTCGGTCCAATCGGCACATCCTTACTCGATCCAATGAATATATAGATGAAACAGCCCAGAAAACAGGCATACAACCCGTACTGCAAATCCAGTCCAGCAATGCCGGCGTAGGCCAAAGCCTGGGGTATAACTGTGAGTGCCACGGATATGCCAGCCACCAGATCACCAATAATATAATCTTTTTTATACTGCGGCAACCAGACGAGTATTGGAAAGCGTTTCTCCAGCGTTTTACGCCGGAATATATTGTCGCAAGTGCTGCGACAACTGTCCGTAAAATGGTTCGTCGATTTGTCGGCCAATTCTTCCTCCTCCTTTTGGACGATGCAGTCGCGTGATGTGTGATAAAGGGTATTTGTGGGTATATCCACGGATATTTCGGAGCCGCCATTAAATGCCCCATTCACATGACCCGTATCTTTGGCTGTCATCTTGCCAGCCACAATTTGTCGTCTTTCTCTGTTTTTTTTTTTTTTTGCACAACACAACACTTGTCAGTCCAATAATATTTTTGCTAGTTTTTTTTTCGTTTGCGAAAGCTCTTCTTTTTTTATTTTTGTATGAATTTGTTTGTTGTATTTCTTTTAGGGTTTCAGTTACGGCTTCATCTCACCATCGCCATCAAACACTGCTATTCACTTAACCAACACTTTCATGCGACGACGAAAGTCAAACTGTTCGCGAGCGCGTTTAATGCGCGAATGAATCGAGATCGAAATCGAAATCGAGATCGAATCAGAAGCAGAAGCAACAGCAGCAGCAGCGCAGACAGCAGCGGCGACAACAGCGCGTCGTTTGTAGTGCCGAACGTTTGGGGAACTGATTATAAATAGGTGCGCGTCGTCGTCGTCTTTAATGGCAAATCCGATCGTGTCAACAGCACTCGCTGTCGCCGTCGCAGTCAACGTCGCTGTCGTCGACATTGCTCGACTAACCACCGGCTTTCGTTAGAGCAGCACAGAAAAAAAAAACAAAAACCGGCTTGCTGTCTCTGCTTGGGCTTTTCGTCTCTGCTTTGTGGCCGTCTGTGGTCTCGGCTTGGGCTTGGGCTTCGGCTTCGGCTCTCGTCTCGTCTCGTCTCGGCTCTTGAGGCGTATCGTGTAACAGACACGGCTCAAAGAAATTATAATCGCCGCAGACTGGTAGCCACTTCTTGCAAGCTCGCTTTATGTTTTTCTTACATCGGGCGGGAGGGTATTCCACACTCGGCGAAACAGTATGACGAAACTGCTTTGGGAATTTCGCATTGATATTAAGAACTTAAGAACGGGTGTGTCCTACACTCAGCGAAAAAAAGATTGCTTTGGGAATTTCGCATTGAAACTGGCACTTCTTGTTAGTTCTCGAAATTACTTTTGGGAGTATTCATTACATAACGCTAAATCTGATTTTAAGAAATTTTATCGACAAATTAGCATTACGAATTTCGTATTTCACATTGGAATATCTGAAATTAAGAATATTAACAGTCACTTCTTGTTCTGGGGTATACCACACTCCGAGAAAAAGTTACAAAATTACTTTGGTTTTAATTTTATATGTTTATATATTTATTAAGAGTTTTAGACGACACTTCTTGTTAGTTCGCATTTATATCAGGTGAGTCCAACACTCAGCAAAAAAAAAAATATATGAGGAAATTGTTTTACGAATTTCGTATTCCAAATTGGAATCTGATATTAAGAATTGTAGCTGCAACTTGTCAGAGAAAAACATGCATTGTGAAATGGCAGAGAAAGAGATTATTATAAGATAAGATATTAAGTGTCGAAAATTGCACTCTCATGGACTGACAGACGGACGGAAATGGCACAAAGTAATTATACTCTCGCTATCAAAATATACAAATACATTGTAAAATGGCTTCAACAACTTCTCATTCCCCATCAAGCATATCTATTATTAAGAATGTAATTTTAAGATTTTGAGCCTGAAGATAAGATTTACATTCGCAAATAATAAATGTGTTGTTAAATATACTTGAATCAAGACAATTTTCCCATGTTTGTAGTAAACTTTATGTATTTTTTAATTTAAAAAGAACGTTTCTGAAAGGCTATGCATTTCTAAGCATTTCAGAGATATCGTACTTTCAAATGTAAAAATTTTTCAGGAAATATAAATGATATATATGTAAGTTTTAATTAAACTGACTGGATTCTGTTCGATGAGACTATATTCCTATTTTTATTATTTAAATATATTATCTATGGTTTTTACTGCCACCAGTAAATATATTGAAGCATATAAGTTTAAGTGTATTTCGAGCCTCGTCGGGATTTACATATTTCTTAGAAAATGAAATAATTTATCTTTATAATTCAATGCCAGATGTTTGTCTAAGTGCATCAGTTCGCCTAGTTAACTTGTACAGCGGTTATTTTAGGAAAAATCAGGCTTTTCAAGATTTTGCACATGCACGTGCGAGGGAAACCCCAAACAAGATCAACAATGCAAATTCTAAGCGTTTTTCACGACAGTCACATTGCTGTTAGACACGTTTAGTTGCCATACAAGTCCATATGCACCATAAACCACACACAGTTAAAAATAGTAAAAAAAAAATAAAAAAAATTGCCAAGATTTATTTTTCTTACATGTCGAATTCACATAAGAGCTGGAATTATAATTACGAGTAAAGTGAATGGAATGTTTGTATTAGATGACAATCTGATAAATTAATGCTAAATCTGCTATGGTCGATGGGAATGTCGACAACAATAACTAATAAACTCCCGCTTGAATAAATAAATACTTCGCAGTGGAAGAATTTCCCGCTTTAAATAAATTGATTACTTTTATAGAGAGGAATGCATTGAAATCTGAATGGAATAAATAAAGTATACAATTATGAAATATATTTATTTATTTGCCATCAGCAATAATATTTACACCAAGAACTGAAACTATTCAGTTAGATATCTGACAACATGATACCTAAACTGAGCACTAAACTCTCTCTAATATAACAAGAATATAAATTAGGGTCCTTAAAAAATGCCACTTGACAAATTTTTAATTACCCATAACCATAATCATAAATAAATCGTGAAATTAAAAGTGTATTTAATCAAATCTAAACTCTTTCTTTTGAAGTTTTCTTTAAATTCAAAGCCTTATCTGATTATAATAAAAATAATTAAATGCACCATGTTTGGGCAAAAATGCTTGCTGATTTTAAGTTTAAAGATCAGCATTTTCTTAAGTTTATGACTGCAATTAAATAATGTAATACTTTATACAGCAACTGGACTTTGGGATTTCTCCATTTGGGGGTTTTACCTCAATGCTGAATGAACGCGAGCTAAATGCAAAATTTGTATCTTGTCTGTATTGAGTACGAATTGAGAATGAGCAACTACAAAGATACATAGATATTTATGTGGCGTGTGCCAAAAGCAAAATCAAATAATAACAATATAATTATTGAATGGAAAATAACGTTAAATGATACCCTATATATTTTTATTTATTTTTTTTTGCCTATAAACAGCTTTAGGCAGGCAATCAATCATATATAAAACACGCAGACCTAAGAGCACGCACGCCCACACTCACAGATACATCCAAACACACACACACACACAGACACATTAAAGATACAGCATCTACAACACGTGTTGAACGCCTGATGAAGCAAACGCATCAGCAAACTGGGAAAACGAATATCAAACGCAAAACAAAAGCATCTCAAAACAACTAATAAAAGTTATCTTTGCCAAGTCGAAGATTACATACTCTTCTAAATCGGAGATAAATTGCCAACATCTAAATTTGACTATCTATACTATGAGAGCTATATGATATAGTACTCTGAATGCATAGCTAATTCTTAAATAAAAATCTTTTTCACCAAGATATAAAAACAAGATAATTTTTCAACAGATTGTTCCTATGACAATTATAAGATATAGTAGTCCTATCTATCCTAAAGGAATATAATTATTCGCATATTAAAAAGGTTATTTCTTCGGAAATCTTGTAAAACAACAAGTTTTTTATACAAGAACTCATCGTTCGACCGATTCTGTACTATGACTGTATTGGTGGAAACGAAAAAAATGATTTGTGCCAAGTTTTATGATATGATGCTAATCAAGTAAATGTATATTATTGGAGATGTCTCCTTGAATGTGTTGCAAACATCACGATCATTTTATAATACGCTCCATAAGAAATATAAATAAATAATTATTATGCAAAGATTACTTGCACTTACAGACCTGATTCGACTTGTCCTCATCTAAATAACATAAAGTTCCCATAGGAGCTATATATATATTATAAGATTAAGACTTTCTTTGTTCGGATATAATTAAGCTAAAAATTGTTTCACACCAAAACTCATTATTCGAAATAGCATTTGTAATATCTATGGGAATTATATTTTATAGATTTTGTCTTATTATCTTGCTCGGGTATTTAAAAAATGTTTCTTACCAGAACTCATTCAATGAACAAAGCACTAGTGATGATATAGTGGTCCCATACGACCGATTCTCAGATATGTATTATCTGTAACAAAAAAAAAAAGAGTAAACAAATCAAGTTACACCAATGCAGTACTGAGAGAGTTCAGATAGTTAAGTAGATAGATAATAATAATGTATATAGATGACTTCCCCGACATGGCTATAGACAAATGTAAAATACCCTCGACAAAGGGTATAAAAACAAACCAAATTTTATATTCGAATATAAATCACAAACACAATTAAACCTCTCAAATTTTTGCGAATTTCGCTCAGATTTCTATCGCAATATGTAAATTAGATCAACAGAGATACAAAGTGAACTGACAATAGGAAAATCTGAGGAGAACTCGCTCAAACAGGTAGTCGCAGCTACTGAATGAAATGTTGCCAAAACTGAACAATATTCTAGGTGGGTAGAACCAGTTAAGATTGATAGCCCAACAAGTTATACAACAAGCAATTGAGACAAATTGAGTGATGCGAATTGGTTTTGTTGACGTTTTTTTTGTTTTTTTTTTTTTGTTGATGTTCCGCTTCTCAAGTTATTAACCCTAATTATTGCATTGCTGAAATACTTTCATGTGCGCTCACTTTGCGAATGTATTCGCTCCGGTGTATGTGAATATTCATCAATGTAGATTTGTGTTTTTTATATATAGAAATGTGGCTTTAGCCTTTCGATTATGCACAGTCACAGCCGCATTTGAGATTTATTACAGTCGCTTTTTGTTAACTTTCAAGCGGTCAGATTACGTTCCACATGCGACACGTTAGCCCGCGAGGGGAGACAAATTAAATACATGTATATATGTATAAATGTGTGTGTAAATATATATTGAACAACAATTAAAAGTTGGTTGGAGATTGTTAATTGCAATTCGTATAGAATACTTTTTATTTCCATTGCAATTGTGATTGGGCTGGCGTGCCGCTAATTGTTTAAATCATGTTTCTCATGCTCAGATCAAAACTTCCAAAACCAGTCATCGAATTTCTCACAGTTATTAGCAGCTAGTTCGAGACGTAGATGAGCATTTTTTCCTCATCTATGGCCCTAAAAATATCATAAGAGCTGCAAAGAACAGCGACACACTTTTTAGAAATTTTTTTATTGAGCTTGCTTTGGTTCAGGGTTCGAATCAATGAGCCAACCTCTAGTTTTGATTAACCATGAAAATGCATCACAATTTGTATTATATTTATTTATTAATTTAATATGAAGCAATGCATGAATGATTTTGTTTAAGAATGATAATTTCTTAAAAATATCTAGACACTTTGAATAGCAATAAAAATCTGTTTTGAATGAAATCAAACAAGATTTGAATAAAAGATGTTTTGCTTGGCCTTTGCGTGCATTCGAACAAATAAAAAAAAAAGCAATC